TTTTTTTTTTTACATACGTGTTTAATTCAAATTTTGACGAAAATCGTAAAAATTACGGCAATTCAAAATATGTCTTACCAAACTTCGCTCCGAATCGTTCTTCGTTAACAACGATTTATCCGTGCGTAAAGAAATAAATAAATACACTTTATGTATCCTATCTTCCCAACTTCCCACCTACAACAGTGGTTACATCAATCAGCTCTTTTTTTATTGATTTTTTTTTTTTGAAATGATTGAGCCCGCTGAATACAGAATAATTCAACTAGATGTCTCATGTTATGACAATGATTTTAATTACAATATTTGTGTGTCATTTTTAACGGTGCCTCCGATTTTTACCAAAATTATAATATATTATGCACCTTGGGCGGACCGCACCGAAGAAACTAATTTTTACGAAATCAATTTCATGAAACCATTCAATTAAAAAACAAATAGATACGCACACTGAGTTTCGCGAAACAAAAGTTTCTCGTAGTTGCGCAACCGCGGTTTCGTGAAACACTCTATAGTTTACAGTTATAGTATATAGTGTAAAGTTCATATATATATAGTTTCGTTATAAAATGAAACTATATTGGCAATTTTTAATTTATATTTTAAAAGCTTGTTTTATTTTTTATAAGTAGGTATGTTAATATTTTATTTATAAATATATCATATTATATTTTACGTTTCTCTGATCCTAAAGCCATTCTCTAGTCGGTATTTTTCTTTGTAATATGTGATCCAACTAACTGCATAAACGGTGAAAAGCAACTAGAGACATTCTATGAAAACTTCGAAATTTATCCTCATCGGTGGATAATTACTTTGCAACTATGCAGTCACTATGCTGCTGATCATTTAAAAGTGGATGAATCCAATACTTACGTTTTTTTTGTTTCCATTATCAAATCACCAACTCACCAAAGCACAATCAATATAAATTTGAAATTCATTGTAAGCTCGACCATTGTAAGCTTATCCATTAATCATTAAACAATATACTTTTGCGGCTGGTGACAAGAGGATTCGAATGAGACTGAGGTGAGTCAAAAAAAGTTGGTGTGAATTCACACCCCGCACCTCCCCCAAGTGACGCCCCTGTTATAATGTAGAAGTACGCATACGGTAAGAAAAATGATAATATTTAGGTAATCGAGTAATCAATTTTAATTTTAAAAAAAATTTTAAAGTTGGCACTCGTATTTAAAACTATATTTCTGGACTTTTCAAAGTTGGCCTAAATACATTTTACAATAATTATCGTATTATTATTATTAGAACTGTCAACTATATTATACCAACTATTTATAGAGAATTATAGAGAGTAGATACATTTAATCAAAATGTCGATACTTTTATCAATAAAAAAAAAAATTTCTTTTTAATATATCATAACGTGTATAATAATTATTTTTGTTCGTATTTTTAATTCGTCCTATGTACGTATAATATAAACAATGTACATACCTATTTTATTCTAGGGCAGTAGGGCTGTTGTTGAAATCCAATGAAAACTACATAATAATCACTAATCAGAGTGCGGATTTTGTATTACTTATGTGTACACTGAAATATTCGTTAAAATGTGATCGAAAAAACCTTAAAATATGCGAATAAAACAGAAGAAATGCCGTAAAAAAAACGAATAATAATAAAAAACGGAATATTGTTTTTTACTGATAATTTTTTGTCAACGTAACTATTCTAATCCTAGATTTTAATCTTACGTTTAATTATCGACGAGCCACTACGCCGGGGTACGTAAAAATAAATTTTGATATCAAAATATATGATTTAATGAAACGGAAATATGGGGGTTTTTCGTGTATAGAGTCGCGCGAATGACAAATGGTTTCTTCTATCTTTCATTCAATTTATTAAAAATCATTTTATCAACAAAAGATAGCACCGAAACTTAAAAAAAAATCGTTACAAATCTAAAACGCTTCGAATACGCCGAAAGAAAAATAGCAACGTCGAATTTTATATTTGGAATCCCTGGTGCATAGAACAAATGTATAGTTCACTCTGTTATATTTTTATCCATAACCTATAATAACATTAAAAAATGCTATAAATTTATGGAATTTTATAATTCGAGCCTTGAGAATAGTATATATAGCCGGTACACCGCGAATAAGCTGTCAACAATAAGATCGGTGGTGCATGACTGTTCCAAGTTAATTTTTTATTAGCCGTGCGTGTGCAATATAATAGAAGTCAGACGAGATCTCATTTATCATTCTATGTATTATTCCTTTTCTCTCCCTGAGGGGCGGTCCAACTTAGACTGGTGAGGTGAGAGAGGTATATCCCCCATCCCGTGACCTTTTGCCATTCAGCATTTATGGTTATGTATTCGTACATCGTGTTACTTAATTATTTATAAAAGACAAATTAAAATTATGTTCAGATAATAATAATTGATGTTGTAAAAATCTGTCTCGTCTCCGCCATCGTTAAATTATATTTTATATGCATTGTTACTTCGCCATCATTTTACCTCCACCGCAGTCAATATATCAGCTACCGTAGCTACTCTCGAATGAACACCGCACAGCCGGCTGCTTTCTCGTCGAATGTAAATTTCGATTGTTTTCATTTCTAGAATGATGAACTATTTAGCTTCATAAATGAGTTGATAATCGTTGACGGATACCAATCGCGTATGTCGCGGGCGAAATTGCCGTGCGGAGAGGCGATGGGGTTAAGGGAGTTGCGAAATGTGTCTACCACGTTCGACCGATTGTACCGCCGTAAATCGATTTATTACACAAAATTTAAACACAAATCAAAGAACTATTTATGTTTCGCAGAGGGTTTCAGCCATTTCCCGCTGGCATACGTGTAAAACGTATTCTAGTGTCGTTCAGTCTAGATATAGGCTATTTTAAAATGTATAAACGGGTACCTCTACCTACATTATACGGCAATGATTCACGTTAGAAAAAAAAAAAAAAGTTATTTTTGAAAGGTTACGCGGTCGCGCGTATAGCGAACGGTTTTCGTTCTCGGACCCGCGCGGCCAATAACACCATACTCGATGACAATACGCGTATAATATTATGAAAACTGTAGATGTTTACCCGATGAAAAAATAATAATACAACGGTGCGCTGTACAAGGTTCGTATGTCTACGCGCTAAAAGAGACGCTTCATTTATTAGTGTACAATATACATTGTGTATATTGTATTATTGTATATACTATATATATATGACCCAGCGCTGTAGCCAAGGGCGTAGTCACTGGCCGCGAGTGTCTGAAAACTGTATAGGAAGCAATAGAAATCATTAGTACTTCCCCTAACCATCCGACATTTTTTCGGCTACTCTATTGATGTGACCGTTAAAAACCGTATACGCATACATAAATAAAACTTGAAATCGTGCGGCAAACATAATTATATTAAAAAAGCTGTCCTAGGATAACCGAGATGGGTGCAGCCATTTTTTAAAACATCCTGGCTATTTTTGAGCTGCTTGTAAACACTTGACAACAAATTCTTACTCTTCTAATATAAGAGCCAATTCTAATTCGTCGTGTTGTTTAGACATTACAGTGAATCTGAACATTCTCAACCAGCGGCGTTATAGAGGGGAAGTTAGAGATTATAGCCCCCTCCTCCCGTCGGCTTAAAAATACAAAAAAAAATACGAGTAGTGTATTATTTCAGTCGAGTTACGAGGAAAAGCATGATGAATTGATTAGAAATTGGCTTTTGTTAGGACGCGGTTTTTAAGTTACCCATTCCCATAGTCGAATTGGGTAGGGAAGACGACTTTACGATTCTTATTTGCTATATACGTCCTCCTACCATTGAAAATTCCTGGGCTTCCACTGTTCTCAGCCATGTTTTTGTACGACGCCTCGGCATTGTACAAGGCGGTCCATTTAAACACATTCATTGTTTAGAAAAGTATCAGAGGGAGAGTATAGTGGTGCACAAATGATGCTCCACTCCTCTCCTCCGGCCCAAATTTAAAAGTAGAATATCTCGTCAATGGGTTGACGGAATTCAAAAATATCAACACCAAAATGCATTTTAACTAATACTCCGCGTATATGTGTGGAGTTTCTAACACAGGTTGTCATTTGAAAATCAAAAGTAGGTAGTGGTTTTATCACCGAAAATAAAGGCGACAAATATTAACGTGAATGTAAAATTATTGAGCTGTTTGTTTCATGAACGTTCTATAAAACAAATTCCGAACAAAGTTAATACTTTCCGATACATAATGGGTGGACCCATTACGTTGATTACAAATATTATGCGTATACTTCGAAAATGGGATAAAAACGATTTTACTTGTATCAACTTTTTTAAATATTATTGTCAGTAACTAATACACTTTTTTCTTTTTTTTTTTTTTTCAAAATCTCAATGCGCGCATAGGCACACACCGGGAGCCGTTCCCCAACCTCCCGCGTGAGCACTCCTCCTGAACCCCCATTTAACCTAACGATAAAAACTTCTAAATAAATATCGTGAAAAAAAAAATTGCCCACATCAACCTGTACCTATATAATCTGCGACGATTTAAACAACTTTTTTAAATATTATTGTCAGTAACTAATACACTTTTTTCTTTTTTTTTTTTTTTTTTCTTGTGTCTCGCTCGGATCGTCGTCTATAAAACAACATAAAAACTGCGATGAGCGTCGTAAAAACGTCGAAAAAAATTAAACAAAAACAACACGAGACGTTGTTGATACGTTGCACAAGACTGTCGAGACGGGCACATCTCTCGCGGTATAGTGCGATTAAATAATAATAACAACAACAATATAAGTAATATAGAGGAATCCGCGCGAATAAAAAAAAAGAAGAAAAAAAACGGACGCAAAAAACTGGTCCCGAAAAGCCGTCTCTGAGGCGCGGCGCGGTCATTACGGCGACACGCGGAGAAAGTTTCGCGAACGAACGAAAACCCCCGGTGGGGAGGTGGGGGAGGGGGTGGAGAACCGCGTGTTAATAATATTCACGTCGTTATCGTCGCACTGTACCGAGACCCGCGGGACGATGGGTTTTTCGCCTATAAATACCCAAACTGGCCGGCACTCCGGTATCACTTCGTCTTCGGCCTCTCAACTGCGACCGCGACGAGTCGACGAGTCATATCGTCTGCAGCCGTATCCCGATTGCCGTTGACAATATTATTATTATTGTTATTATTACATTGTCCGGACACCGCGAAGACAATATGGCCGCCGTTTTCAAGGTATGCGATTTTTTTTTTTTCTTTTCTCCAATCAGTTAAGCGACCCGACCGGCCGTTGTTCAATGTTGTTCCGAACTCAATTCCTCGTTTCCCGACAGTTGTTGTTCCTCGATTCGACGGGACCGCCGCGGCACGCCCCGTCCGTTCCCGCATTATTCCCTCTTATCCCCGCGGCACTTCTCGTCCGTGTCGCACGGATTTCCCTCCACCTGCAGAGCCGTTTCATTCGCTTGACCGCGTGCCCGTCGCGGTATTGCCGATCTCCGTCGTATTCCGTCCGCGAGACTTTTGCCCGACGACACGAGACTCCGTTACACTCTGATATTTTTTACGGTTTTTGTTTTTCTGTTTTTCTAACGTTGTTTTTATAATTGTTTATCCAGAATTTCATCGTCTGTCTGGCCCTGATCGGCCTCTGTTCGGCCGAGACCGCCAAACGCAGCGCGACCGGTATCGCCGACTACTCGGGCCTGTCGTCCGCGTACGCCGGTCATCTGGACGGTTACAGTCACGGCGGTTACGGTTACGGTGCGGGCGCCGGTCACCAAGTACCGGTCAGAGTGACCCAGTCCCAACAGGTGGTGTCCGTGCCGGTACCGCAGCCGTACGCCGTGCCGGTCACCCGCCACGTGCCCGTGTCTGTGCCGCACCCCGTGCCCGTGTCCGTGCCCAGAGCCGTCCCGGTCAGCGTACCGCACCCGGTACCCGTGCCGGTCGAACGTCCGTACCCCGTTGACGTGCCACGCGCCGTGCCCGTCAGCGTGCCGCACCCCGTCCCGTACTCGGTCAGCAAGCCCGTGCCGTACGACGTCCCGCAACCGTACCCAGTCGAAGTCCACCAACCCGTGCCCGTGTCCGTGCCCGCCCCGATCGTCGCCCATCAACCATACGCCGCGGCCGCCGTTCCGTCCTACGGATCGTACGGTTCGTACGGAGGATCTTACGGTTCGCTCGGATTTGACGCCGTTTCGTCCTACGGTTCTTTCGGACACAATGCCATCGGATCCCTGCCGTCTTACGGCGGTGATTTTCACCACGGCGGATATCACCACCACGACTTCAAAAAATAATAGTTTTCGCGCATAGTATTATTTTGTATTGTGTACAAGTATAAGTTCATATTTGTACGCGATATATTTTGTATACCTGTACATATCGGTAACGATTGTATTGTATCCTCGTTTTTTTGTTTTTGTATCTACCGTATAGTTTCAACTGTTTTAAGTCGAATAAAAAAATTTTTAAAATATTTCGTATGTTGTTTTTGTCGAAATCCCATAGTTTATTGCACACACATATCGTAGATACTATTACCTGCATAGGCGTGCCGAATTAGGTTTTTTTTCGGGGGCAATCGCTTCGCGCCTAAAATAGGTTGGCGGGCGGATCGCCCGATATGTTCAATGGTAATTAAGATTACCCAACTACAGTTCAGAGATCAGATACGCTCTAAGTTTAGTGTTTTATACTATAAATTACAATATTTACATTATTAATATTATATATAAATATATATATATATCGATAATATTTTCTTGAAAGGGTGTTTACAACTAAAAATCGAAAAATACGTTTTTGGTATCAAAAAAAAAAAAAAATTAAAAATCAAAAATATTTGCAGCATAAATTGGTAAACGGGCGTATTTAAATAAAGTAAATAAAGAAAATTGAGTTGATAATTTTAACTAAAAGATATCCGGGGGTCCTTTTAACATACAATTAAATCAACACTAATTTGTTAAAAGGGCGTATACCATATTCAACGCATGCATACTTTGTGTACAAGGTTGATTAAAAGTATTAATTCTATTGTTTTTCATGATAAACATCATTAAAAACAGTTGCTTCCTGAAAAAAAGTGAAATTGATAAATGCACTTTTAAAAAAAAACACCATCGATATACAAATAATAAATATACCTATAGTATCTATAAAATGTGTAGAGTCAATGCAGTAGCTGATTACGGTTTTTACTGTAAATGAAAATTATGTACAGGGCCTAGAAATTCATGTTTTGAGTGGCTAGGTCCTGATTGTTTTGTTTTGCCTCGAGTGTACAAAAATTATCTGCACGCCACTGGTGTTATCCATGGCAGGACTAAGCTAATGCGGCGTCTAGGAGCCCGGACACTCCAGACCATGAAGTATCGAATGCTGCAGAAAGTAACATTCACTTTCAGAACAAATTCACAACATTTTAAATTTAATGTTTATTGAACATTCGAAAACGTGTTTTATTTTCACTCAGCTCAATAACAATATTTATCTAATAATATTTCCAACGTTTCAAAAAAAAAAAAAATAATAATAATAATAATAGAAATTAATAACTGAAAAATAAGAGTATTTTAGAGTTATCTTCTTCGCCTTCGTCCATCGGCCACCCTAGTTCTAAACTTCCACTGCCACCTAGAATATTTTAGTTATGACATATATTCTACACATTTTTTTTTCACGTTTAAATAATAATGTAGGTATATTAGTGTTGATCAAACGTTTGTTTACCATAGAATCTTATTTCAGGAAAAAAAACAGTAATAATCCAGTTCGTGAACAAAATTTTTGGGTGAATAACGCAATTTGTATGTATTTAATTTTTTTGGTACGGTTTAAATAACTGCCGCTAAACAAAAAACGACACGAAGATAAATTGTCAGAATGAAATAGTATGAACAATTGAGGTTCTATTGTTGATAGGAAGATAATCAATACTCAAATTTAACATCTTCCGAACTCAAGAACAAAAATATTATTGAAGTATACTTCCAAACTAGTTTAGATGTTTATCCAGTAATATCTAAACTTCTTCAAATATTCAAAACACTTCCAATGTCTACTGACGGGAGAACAATCGTTTTCAACACTCCGTCTTTTGGAAACATATTTGAGAAATTCTTCGGGACAAATACATTTAAATCATTCAGCCTTACTAAAATATATCAACATGGATAACAATGATGGTATAGTTGAACTTGCTAAAACATCAAAACGAAAAATGAATATGCATTTATAATTTTTAAAAAAGATAAATATGTCAACTAAAAATATAATTGGCGCTCTAAAATAGTAATAAAATGTATAATGTATAATTATAATACAAACGAAATTCAAAACAATTTCATTTGTAACATTTTTTTCAACCTACCCCTCCTCCAAAAAAAAAAAAATAATAAAATAAAATAGAATAAAAAAATATCTTTATATAATACAAAAAACAATTAAATAGGCTTTATATATTTTATTTAATAACATTCTGTTTAATGTTGTATCGATTTTCCCGATTCCCCCACGTATTTCCCGGTTTTCCCATGTTATATACCGGTGTTTCACATTTGATGAGAAAACTCCTGAGAAAATCGAAAACGATCTCTCTAAAGAACCTCCCTAGTGAAATTTCCTTTTAAAATCATTCCTATCATTGGAGCGAAATTGCTGGTAGATAAGTTATTCACAGAAAAAAAGAAGACCGTAATATATTTTAACTAATACCTACATTTCTTATATATTTTCTCGTTTTTTTTTTTCTGTTATTCAAATTTAATGAGAAAACTTCTAAGAAAATCGAAAAACCTCTTACCTCTTACCTCCCCACGCCGATTTTCTTGCAGAAAAGGTGCTACACGTAGAAATCCGAGCAAGTCTTCTTCTGGTAGAAAAGTTGAGCACAGATAAAAAAAAAAAGAAATAAACTTCTTTGTAAAATCATAAACTTCTTCGCTGCAGGGTCGCCAACACCAAAGGTTGAGAACCGCTGCTATACAATATGTATGTCATAATATATCTTTTAATACGAGTATACAGAATTATTCAACAACATCAAACATTATTTGATGAAGAAACTCAAATCATTGAAACATTATAAAAAAAAAAAAAAACTTCAGCACAATTATAAATTTACAAAATCCCGGGATAGCTTATATTATTATGGTGTTTTAGATTCTGAGTGGAGCGAAGAAATGTACGGTTTTACAAAGATATTTATTTATTTTCTTTTTTTATCTGTGCGCAACTTTTCTGAAAGGAAATCGGTGTGGAGTGGTATCTTAAGGAGGTCAGTTTTCGATTTTCTCAAGAGTTTTCTCATCAAACGCGAAAAACCGAAAATGAAAACGGGAAAATTTACGAAGTGTAATAAATATATTATTACGATTTTTTTTTTCTATGGATAACTCTTCCACCCAGCAATTTTGCTTGAAGTTTTAACTACAGCAATGTTTCTAAAAATAACTTGCACTGGGGAGGTACTTTAGAGAGGTCGTTTTTCCATTTTCCCTGGAGTTTTCTCAGCAAATGTGAAAAACTGGGAAAATCGGTACAACATTAAACGTATATTATTAAAAAAAATATAAAGAGCCTATTTAATTATTTCACTATAATATAGCATCACTATCAACTGAACTCCGCTCAGAATTTTTTTTTTTTTTCCCCGTAAGCAATGGTTTATATGGTTGCTTACGGGTATACATTAAATTACCTAGGACAGTGGCGTCTGCGCCCGTCCCCGTTATCCTATTTTTTTTACTACTTAGAACTATTACTACATCCGTTTTTATTAGTAAACTCTATACTCAATATTATAACCGCCTCTTTTTTCTCCCTGTATGTATCTTGTAACCCCACGATGAGGGTGCTACACAAAAAATACTCAGGTGCATGCCACGATACCCGCGCATCATAATATAATATATTTTATAAAACTGTAAATAACAAACTACTTATATAGGTGCTATTACAACCATTAAAAAATAATTATAAATCGCAATCAATAAAGACAATTAAACCAGAGACGACAACGGCCATTTAGGAACGCGGCGCATAACGCACCGGGTACAGCTCCAATGCGGCCAGTGTTGCTGCAGTGTCTCTCGGCGGGTGCATTGTTTTCATAATCACGGTACGGTGGCATTCTGGAAGCCGATAGTAATGTTTCATTCGCGTATTATACGCGTCTCCACGTCGTATTCGTATTCGTACGTATTTAAAACAAAAGTGGTGTTGTTCTCTCTATACGTGTCGAGAAAATCTATAGATTCCGGATGGAACGGCGAATCTTCGGCGGCATGTAAGCAATTATACAATTCACAATATCCAGATCTGTGTCATCAATATTGGGAAAAATTTCGGAAGAACAGTCGTGTTCCACGTAGGGTTATACGATTGCGGGCAAATTGTATATATGTAGACAGATAACGTTTATTATCAGATCCCCATACTCGCGACGACCCCGCCCCCCTCCCAATAATACTCTCTCTAATAGGAAAAGGTGATAGGTACCTGAAGAAGAGACGTTTATATTTTTGTTTAACAGTTACCTCTACTCCTGGCATTCTCTTATTTTAGTGTTATTACACAATTACCAACGAAAAACGATTCTGAGCAAAGTTATACCAGTCGGTTATTATGTTCGTTTTAAGATTCCGATTGAAAACAAACGTATCGCTTTTATAATCCAGTGCCCTCGCCACAATTAAGCTTGTAACTCCTATTGCCCCACTGGATAGTTCTAGCGCCCCCGAAAGAGGCGGAATCGCTCATTTCGGGTACCAGTCCTCTAAATCACCAATCGTTATGGAATCAAGTTCAGCCGTATACATAAATTAAAATATGCGTCGTTATAGGTGAACAATAATATTATTGCAGTAATGATTATTAATATGTCACTTCTGCCGTTTCCGACTATTTAATATTATTGTCGTTCACGCAGTAACCGTTATTACGACTCGAGTAAATAATTTAACGTAGACCGACGTTAAAAAACGAAACAATCTATATGGTATTTTGTTCAACAAGGTCAATGAGAATAAAATATTTCAACCGTTTTAGAATTGTTTTTTTTTTTTTTTATCAATTTAATAGAAACTAAAAATATCAAACAAATTTTATATTATTTTTATGACGTTTTACTTTATTTCTCGCCTAATCAATTAATGTAAATAATATAATTATTTAATATCTGTAGCCGTATAGTCGTCTTTATTAATCGGAACCTATATAGATATAGTATAACGATCTGTACAATTATATTTTTCTTGTGGAACAGTCGTGGTCAAATGATTTTGCCATTGGTGGGTGGGAGGGGACAAGAAAATTATATTTTATTTGATAACTAATTACTATAACTATAGTTTATTAATAACTATTATAATATACACATTTTTGTTTTTACAACCAAATATATAATATACAGGGTGATTTTTTAGGTATGCTCAACCAATTTGTATTGTTAAATTACGCATAGATTTAATGCGTGTTTATTTTTGGGTTTTCAAGTGCAGTGATATTTTTGCATATTTTGATTTTTCACAACATTTAATGAGTATGTTGTGGCTGTAAAAACTTTGATTTTTCATACAAGAACCTACATATGTTTTGATGTAAATTGTCAATCGGGAGATTTTTCGAACATTTTGACGCACTGTATCTAATCGAAAATTGAACGAAAAGTTTCCTAGTTAATTTGCTTTAAATACTAGGGAAAATATACCCTTATATGGAGACCATAGTCGTGTATAATTGTCGTGTACAGGCAATTTCTTGTTTTAAATCGTGCAGTTATTAATCATTAATATTTTAGGCAGAATAATTCAAAAACTTTTCGTTCAAATTTCAATTATTATAGTGGGAAAAATGTAAGTATTTGAAAATGTCGTCTCGCTATACACTTGGAAATTCTAAAAATCAGAATTCTAATTTATGTATTATTTTACCATAAAAATTCCACTCTATTTTCATGGCTAAATTAAATGCTAAAATATCATCCTGCCTATTATTATAAATATGTAAACAAAATGAGGTAATGGGGAGAGGAATATTCCCCTCGTCGCTCCCCGTTTGACCGCCACTGTTGTGGAAACTACCATTGCCGGGACGCCATGACTACAACAGGGGTGCATTTGAAAATTTTTAATATTCTGTAATTAGACATTTTTTTTTTACAATAAACGTATGGGTTTATATGTAATGAAATGTCCGTCCCACGGACAGGTTCAGCTTTTTATTTTTATTCAGGTATTTTTTTTTTTTTGCTTATCAGTAAATTTGTCTGGCACCGGATGCCGATTTCGCTAGGCACTGGAAACTACACACGGTTTAGTCAAATCGACATTTCGTGGGCATTGGCTACCCCAATTTAGATTAATAAACAAAATGGATAGTTGATTATTCTATGTATAAAAATAAAATTCGTTTTTCGTTGGTACGTTCCTCTAGATACGTCGACGGAAATATTATAATAGGCATAGTAAACTCAAATATCAACTGCAGCATGTTATAGGAAACTGAAATCAAACTATAACGAATCATATACGGACATTTTTATTAGCTCTAATAAAAAAATAATAAAAAATCGTCGATAGTTATCGAAGTATGTACCATTGTCGGTACATACTATACATTGATAAATAACAATATTTATCGATGATCACATACATCCTCTGATGGACGTGCTGTTTGTCGATGGTCCCTCATCTTGGCCGTCAATCCACCGTGTATGCTTTTTTACAATGAACAACGAGAGCAATAGGATAGTATAAATGTGCATACGTAATTTTTTAGCGGTAATTTTTTTTTTTTATGTTTACAGAGTAAATATTCGTTCAGATTTTAGACGTTTATGGTGGATTTTTTTTTTTTTTATGAGATTTAAAAATGTAATTTTGTTCACCAGCGATGCATTGGGAGGGTATGCGACATATTATTAACCCTGATACCTATTTTCGGGTTTACGCGTATACCTACAAGCAAATTAGTTGATTACAGGTACGTTCGCTAAAAATAATACGTACATTAAAGGTGTACGCGATCTTTTAATTTATCGTCGTCACCGTAAAACCGTAAACAAAAAAAAAAAAAAAACTAATAATAAATTATTATTACTTTATTGTACAGCCCGCCACAAAAGAGAGCAGACCGGCAGTCAAGTTTAAAATGTAGATCTTTATAGCGAACATCCCGCTGAACCTAATACGGTCAGGTCATGACATTCACTTTAAAACTAAGTGTATACGTTTTACACCGTTTTATCTACATCGCGGTCCGATTGAATACTACTAAATTCGTAATTTTGGTTCAAATTCGAAAACAAATCCACGGTTACGCGCGTGCACTTGTTAGAAACTAAGTAAATTAATTTTAAAACCATTACAAAGATAATTTACCAACACAAAATTTCAGAAATATGCCAGTAAAAAGTCATTTACGATGACACATATACGTCTGAGCAATGTTTCGGTGTAGTAAGGTGGATAGGTAGTTTGATGTACATTGTATAGTAGGTGGAATGTCATTTCGAACGTAGTGAGAAACATTTTTCAGGGGTTTATTCGATCCCTTTTAGGTGCGCACACTCAAACATTTGTTTACCAATACGCCACTGCTGCAAACGTCCCTTTTCCGGATTACGAGTGTGGGTAGGTACATACATTTCGCATAATTATTTCCACGTCAAACTAAATGATGAATCGTATACTATAGTACAAAATAAAATAACGACAACTAACCCACTGTGTAGGTGTACGCATCGCGGGCGTAACTTGGGGGCAATTTGTGCGGAGAGGTGCCTAGTTTATTTAATTTCGGTATACCGAAAAACTTGATAGTTAAATGATATTTACCATTAATGTTTACATTTGTAAAGAATATTAAAAAATGTATACAACCAGTAAATTATTAAAACTAAACATTTATTTATGTCGATTGAAGTCCACGTCCTCTTTGTGTTCAGTCATTTTTTGCATCAGACTGTTTCGGTAGCGTGCGCAGTATTTTAGTTCGGTTATAAGGGTTGGTAAATTGTAACATTGATTTTTGCACGTCAAATTGTTTAGAAAAAATATTCTCTTTTCGAATTCGTGCGAAACGGTGGGAACTATTCGGCATTTTTATGTATAAACCGCAAACGTGAAAGGTAACTGTGTGGTAATGGCCAACATAATAGGTGGGTAGATATAGACGGGTAGGCGATTTTAAATTACAATTACAAGCGCCTACCTAAAATATAAAGCATAAGTAACGTGAATAAACACGAAATTTTAAAAATGCCACCAATAATAAACGTTTCCACATAGCCGAGATATCGATGATTCGGTACTATGTTGTCTCGAGATCTGAATGTCTGCGGCCTATAAATTCTCGATGACGCGGGATTTATTTGTCACGTTACCCCTTTCAAACCGAACGTGTTAAATTATAACGACGTTTGGTTTTGTTTTCCTATGTGAAAATTGCAAACTGCAAAACGGATAGTTGGGTAACAACAATTATAAATGGTACAATTATAATAGGAAATTTAATTACCGCTAGATTAACACGCAAGTCACGTTGAATATAAATAATAAACAAAAAAAAAAAAAAAATTATACGAAATACAAATAATTTAAAACTCAATCGTTAAAATTGTCAATTTTATTTTAATTCATTTTTTTATGCGATTTCGGTACCTAGGTCTAATAATATTGTTGAAACATAATATCCAATACATTTGTTGAAAAATATTTTAAATCGTTTGTTTCCCCACGAATGGAAGTTTTATCGATTATAATATAATATGATTTAACTGAAACTTTTCCACGACTTCTTTATTAAATGTCATCAATTTTCAATAAAAATAATTAAAAAATGAGTTAAATATATATATATATATATATATTTTTTTTTACATTATATATTTCGGATGATGACAACAAAATGATAACAATGGTGCTCTAATCGGCCGTGAATAGACAAACCCTAAGATGACGAGTGTCTCATTGGGAGCGCGTAAAACAATCCAAAATAAATCAGCTGAACCGTATTTTATCCGAAAATATTACAGCCGACCGTAATGAAGAGATAAGGTCAGGTCTTCCAAAAAATGATAACGCATGATAAGAAATAAATAAAAAGGAGAGAAATTCCGTACTTTAAAATGAAAAACAAGTTAACCAGAATGTGCCCCGAGTAACCACTTCTATGTTTTTTTTAATTTTTAATCAATAAACTTAATTGTAAAATATATTGGTTTAGTTTTGATAATAAATCCAACATGTGTAAGTGGATGTTTATCTACATTTGAATAATTTAAACGATTACAAATAGTTAAAATTAAAAATAATAACAATTTTAAACTTAATTAAATAAAATATTCAAAATGTTAGGTTTTTTTTTTTTTATTTGTTCAAAATTGTGTCGGAATTATAACTCAAAATGTTTTCAAATTTTTGTTCAAGATTTCGACGTTCAAACTTCCAAATTTTCTGATTAAAAACAATGATAAGAAATGTACAAGTTGATAATTATTAGTTTCGGGTGATTCGCCTGAAATATGTTCGGTTAAAACGATTGTTTTATTTTCAACCAAAATAATGTCGGCTAAAATACTTTTCGTCTGTTTTATAGCTCCCCCTCCCCCCTCAAGGTGTACACGACTTCATGATAAACATTTTTTTGGGATAAAAGTTTATTGGTACAAATGTCTTGTGGAACTAAATGTAATATTTCTCAAAAATTCTTCCTAACATTTGTCACTATTGTGACAATAATGTAATATTATTTGAGATTAAAGAATATAATATTGTAACAGTCAATCATCAACGTTGGCCAATATATTTTCATTTTTAAACGTATTACAGTAATTGGTACAGTGTAATACATTGTTAATCAATTGAACATAAATAAATATAAAAATATGTAGGTACATATTGTTAAAAAAAAGTGTAAATTTTTAAATTGTCGATTATGTTTTAATACATTTAGTTTTATGATTGAATTTCATTAAAATTATTTTGACAAAATATGTTATTATGTTCACATACTTAACTTACCTAGCACATTAAATAATAATTATCTACCATGCTTAGCTTATCCTAATTTATCAATTGGCTGAAAAGGCTGCAGCCTAGAGCGCCATTAAATGACGGTGGGGAGATGCGACAAAACAATTTTGTTTTTAATTGATTTCTTTCAAATTTGTAAAGCGTGTAATACCAGGATTTATCATATAAAACTACTATCCAGAGATGGGTAAAACGGATCATTCGAAGGATACCGTTAGGTCAGGTAGGAACGGTTTATTCAAAAGACCTGCAGATTGTATGATTCATTCATATCATTCATTTGAATTATGCGAGTCAAAAGATTTTATCACTTATCATATTATAAGTTTAGAAATTTATTCTGGTTTAATTTGTAAAAATTATAAATTTGAATTACCTACTAATATTGAATTTGTTTCAGTATAGAATGTATTTTGGAATTAAGTAATAAATCATGACTTACAAATTTCTAGTTATTTATAATAATAATAAGATAAATAACAAGGTACCTACTTCTTAGTGACAATAATTATGTTTAATTATTGATTATTGTTTATTAAAGTTATTCAGTACATGTAGTATATCATGTGTACGATATCTTTAATAGTGATAAAATATTTAACACAAGTAGGAAATCTATAAAAGGGAATTAAAATAATTTTTAAATTTTTTTACTGTAGGAATATATTTATTTATTTTTTTGATAATACTGGAATCAGTTCCTTTTAAAATTTTAGATTCTAAGTGGAGCAAGGAATGTATTGATTTTACAATAATTTATAATTTTTTATTTTTTTTTACTATGTACACAATTTCTACCAGAAATCTTGCTCTGATGTATCAAGTGTAGCATCTTTTCTAAAAATATATTTTATCTAGTTGGAACTTAAGGAAGGTCATTTGTTTTATTTTCCAAGCAATTTTCATAACAATTGGAATAAATGGGAAAATTTATGAAAATGATCTGTGGTAATTAAACAAAAATAATTACAATAATTCTGAGTATATTAAATTAATAATAGTATATTTTATATTAAAAAATAGACAGATTTTAAATAATTTATGTGTAATTATGCAGTAATGTAATTTGTTTCTATGTAGGTTGTCCAAAGTATGCTATGGTAACTAATGCAAAAAATAGTTTGACTAAAGTTTAATAATGAAAATAAATAAAGAAATTTAAAGAAATCAAAAGTAAAATACTTTTTGTTTTTTAATTTTATAATCTAACCACTAAATACATTTGTTAAAATAAAGAATAAAACTACAGAGATTAATAAGGATAAATAAATGAAATTTAAAAATATAAAATATATATTTTGATAAGATGAACTATTTTGAATGAATGAATTAATTAATTTCTGTCAAATGCACTGTCATTTCTATCTATTATCTATTAGAAAATAAAAACTTTTTGTGTACATTATTTCTTGAATAAAATAATTATTGAACCATTAAAACAAATCTTTGAATGTTACAATATAATATATTTATATAATAATAGTAATATATTATGCAAGGTAAGGTCTAGTCCAAATAGTCTAAATAAATGATTAACTTCAATAATTATTTTAATTTGTTGACAAATCAAAAGTTGATTAAATTTCATTTAATATGGGTAAAATCACCATATTATTTTACAATTTAAAAGTAATAAAGCTAAGAAAAACAAAAAAAAAAAATGAATAAACATAATATATTGTTTATTTCAATTAGGACTTCTCCTTTTAATAATAATTTTTATTATTAAAAGGTAGGACATACAAATTTAATATTATTTAAGTGGGAAATAAACTTATGTTTTTTTACTTAAAAGAGCTTTAATGTCTTCAGCGTCCAATGTTTCGTATTTAAGTAATGCTTCAGCCAGAAGTTTATGTTCTTTATGATGCACATTCAGGATGCTTTTTGCACGTTCATAGGAATCCTAAAATAATTTTAATATTGAAACATACTATAGATAATAAAAGAAACAAATAAATAAATAATAACACTATAATAGTATAGTTATTAATTTATAATACATATATTCTAACTATTTGAAACCTATTTAAATCAATAAAATTACAATATTGAAATATTATTTTACCTAATAATTTGCATATTCAAATTAATTTCATAGCAGTACTAATTTATTTTATTTATTTATATTTATTTTTTTATTTTTTTAGGGGAGGTTATCAGTCATTAAGACCATAAAAAAAACTTTAAATTCTCCTCTATCTCTCTCTGTCCTCAGTTACTTTTCTCTAATTGATTCTTGGGTCTTCTGCTTTAACAGCTCTCTTTATACAGTCTTCCCATCTAAGGAGAGATCTCCTAGCTATCTTTTTCCTAACGGGTCTTCCTTAATTACTGCTTCTATCAATGCGCAATTTTGCCTCCAGGCATACTTGGCCCACATTAACCTTCTTTTTGAGACATCCCTCCATACACATGGTTTTTGAAACATACATTGGTTCTCCATTCACCGGTTCTAGGGTTAAAAAAAGGGCCATGGATTTGTCTAAGTACCTTTCTTTCAAAAATGTCTCGTCTTACTTCTTCTGTCTTAATGTTTATATTTCCAATCCACATAGAATGATGGGACAAATTAATGTTATATACCTTTTAATTTTAAAGTTTATATAATTCGATCTGTATTTATTAGAGCGCCGGTCCAAAAAAAAACTTGTTTGTTAATTGTATTCTTATGGATATTTCTGTTTTTAACTCGTTTTCCTGAGTTAAAAGAACTTCGAAGTATTTAAACTGTGGTAGGTACTCTGTAAAAGATATGTCCTTTTTCTATACTCTCTCCCTGTTGATTAATCTTATCTCCTTTGCTAAGTTTCGTGTATTCTAATTTTTCATAATTTAAAATGAAACTGACTTAAAACACAGCTTCCATTAGTTTCTTACAAAATTCTTTCACTATATCCATGTTGTCTCTTAAGATGGCAATACCATCTGCATATTTTTGATTGACTTAATGTAAGACCTCCTGATATATTCATATCTCTAACTACTTTTTCCATCACTAGATTGAAAAGAATTAGGAGAGAGCATTGCATTGTCTCAAACCAATGACTAATTTAAACAGTTGAAATATAGAACATGGTATTTTTATCTCAGATTTTTCCAAACTAGTTTTAATGAGATTGATTAATTTTATTGGGAAATTGAATTCTTACAATATACTCAATAGACTCTGCCTATGTATAGTAGAATCATACACATTATTGTAATCCTACATTTTTTTTTTTAAAACTTGTTTTGTAATAAAGGTGTGGTTTATAGTTGATTTGTTTGGTCTAAATCCTCCTTGGTAGTTTCCCAGAATCTTTAGAAATAGGTTTAATTCTGTCTAGAATGCAGTATAAAAATATAATATTTTCCCTATAATTATTGCAATCTAGTGTTTGTTTTTTTTATGTACTGAATACACCAATGCAATTCTTCAATCCAATCAGAAATTTTTCTTCTGTCCAGACCATTTATATTACGTCATATATTTCTTATATAGTGTCTTCAACCAAATTTTTTAATATTGTACTTCACCAGTGGTTTTATGATTTTTCAACCTTTTAATTTTTTGTATTATCTCAATTCTGGATGAAGGAAGGTAATCAATCTCATTGGATTCTACCTCTCTCTAGACAAACCACTCGGTGGGATCTTTAATTAAGGAGTTGTTGGAAGTAGTCCAAAATATCATTTTAACCTGTGATCAGCGAACCATTGCTATCTTATAAACACTTTACTTGATTACTTAAATTTCTTTCTATCAATATTATTAACAAATTAGAAATTGCATAACAATATGATTATTGTGTGATTAACTCATAGAACTTTTAGTTTTTGAATAAACCTATTACTCTGGATATATTTTTAATGAATTATCTTGATTTTCAGAATTATTTACCTGCATTATTTTTTTTATTTCATTATCGATAAGTTCATTTGTAGCTGGACTATACTCATTAAAACTCATTAATTCATTAGTCTGAGATTCATGAGTTCGGAGTCCAACTTTTTCAGACATGCCAAGTTCTTTTACCATTCTGGTCGCAATATTTGTTGCATGCTAAATGAAAAAAAAAAATTATTAATCCTTAAGATATACATTAAAATATTGTAGTTATATGTAGGTAGTTTGATAAATAAAGTATGAGGTAATTTTTGGTATAAACAATGGACCATATCAGTTGAAAATTTCCAGAATTGATAATTTAGGTAACAAATAACATATTATATGTGTTATGACTTTTAGAATTTAATATTCTCTCAGCTATGTAATTATAAACATGAAAAGACAATATTTAAGTTGCACAAAAGAAAAAGTCCCATTTAATTTTTCAAAAGGTTTCCCAGTCTAAAATTTAAAGAAAAATAACTCATACATAATGTCTCTAAAAAGTGTATTGGTTAAGTGTACAAAATTTAATTTGGGTTGATAAAGTGTTGAAGATGAGGCAAGAAGTGGTCAACCAATTCACCTCTGAGACTCAAAATTAAGGAAATAACTACACAACTTGATCTCTTAAAGATTATTGTGCATGATATTAACTAATGATCAATTTTGATATTTATTGTAAATATATGTTGATAAGAAGTGCACTTCCAGCACAAACATAAAGCTTATAGGGAGTACTGAAATGTTTAAAAAATTATTTTGTAAAATAATGTGTAGATATTTTATTGTTGCTTTAAAGTTATTATTATTTTTATCAAAAAAAAAAGATAAACATACTTTTCATGTGGGTGAGCTGCTGTAGGAAGTTAGGAAGTTAAGATACAGAAATTTAATGAATATCTTTAAGCAATGATAAACCATTGCTTACAAAAAAAAGATTCTGATCAGAGTTCAGTAGATGCACTTTCAACAAAATCTATGTCATATTATGGTGCACATTATAAGTTTGCACAGCAAATGAAAGGTATTTTTCGATTAAAATAGTCCAAGCAAGATAGCTGAGTCTCTAGATACACCTAAAATGCATTTGGTTTGCCTCTGTTTAGGTAAAAGGGAAAAAAAGTGCAACATTTTTTTTTTCAAAACACATGTTTTACTGAGGACTCCTAGCATGACTACTAGGTGGTACTTTGGCTATAACAAACATATTAAAGAGTATACAATATAGAATAATTCAACATAACATATAATATCTGAACTTCAAAAAGCTGTAATTTCAAAACTTAGTCAGTCCGCTCAATTCTGACTTCACCATCGTTCTTAAATCGGCAATATAATATATAAGTTCAAAAAACAAAAATTGAAAAATTAGATTTGTTCCACATAATTTTTTACTCAAAAGATTTTCATCAAAATTTTTAATTAAATTTCCTCTATAAAAAAAATACTACGTTTAACTCATTTTTTTTCTACAAATTATACTCTTAATAAACCTCCTGTTAAATTTTAAAGCATTTCTGTTCAAGTCCAACAATTTTACCACAGAGTATCTACCAAATAAAAATTATATACAAAACTTGTAAAATTAAAATGTCTATAAAAAGCTTAATTATACCACATCTAGAAAAGGCAATTATAATTTTTCTGTCCAAATTTCAAGTCTCTAAAAATATTTTTAACCGAGTTACAACAAATAACAAAATTAATAAAATAATAATAGTATTAATTTTGTACATTTCCCATTTTTCCAGGTATTATGAAAATTGCTTGGAAAATAAAAAAATGACCTCGCAAAAGTACTATCTGGACAACATTCCCTTTCAGAAATGGTGCCACATATATATCTGAGTAAGATTTATGGACAAATTTTTGTATCCAAGGTAAAAAAAAAAAATAAAAAAAATAAATATCTTAGTAAAATCAATACATTAGATTCACTACAATCAGAATCTAAAATATTAGAAAAAAAACTTCAAATAAATGGCATTTTCTTAAAAATTGTACTAAAAATATACCAATATGGGAATAATAATATTTTATTATTTCTTAGATATAATTCAGTTTTACAATCAATTGTTATCAATATTAGTTAGCCAATTCAATGATAAAGAAGGATAAAGAACTATAAAGAACGTATAATTTAAATTATAATTGTAACAAGAAAACCTACTTTTAAATCATTTGAAGCTCCAGATGTAACTTTGTCTGGACCAAATATTATTTCTTCTGCTGCACGTCCGCCCATCATTGTATCCATTATAGCTAACATTCTAGATTTTGTTATATGATATTCTTCTTTTGCTGGTATGTATGCCGTCTATCCAAAAATAGATTAATACATAATAATTTAAATTTTCTAAAAAATCATTTACATTTGTTAAAAAAAAAATAAAAGTTTTAACAAAACTTAATTAAAAATGAAATAATTCTTACATGACCTAATGATGCTCCTCGAGGCATTATGGTGACTTTATGAAGTGGATGAGAATCTTTGGTAAAATACGCAACAATTGCATGACCACCTTCGTGATATGCAGTTATTTTATTTGCTTCATCATCAGGAATTTTTGTCTTCTTTTCCGGACCTACAATTTTTAATTTGCTTAATTTTTCCTATAAACTATAAAATATTAAATAACTAAACAGCTAAATTACCCATTAATATTTTGTCCCTAGAAATTTCTAAATATTTCATAGTAACAGTTTTTTCCCCATCGCTTGCAGCTTTAACAGCTGCTTGGTTAATCATATTTTCAATATCAGCACCTGTAAATCCACTAGTTCCTCTAGACAATATATCAATATCAATGCCTTTACACATTATTTTTTTAAGATACAACTCCAATATTTGTTTACGTCCTACATAGTCTGGAAGTGGAACCTAAAAATTAAGTTTTATTTATTAAATTAATAATTTTGAAAATTTCATAAATTTCCTATCACTTATTTATTACATCAACTTCAATATCAAAGCGACCTGGACGAAGTAATGCTCTGTCTAAATCTTCACGTCTATTAGTAGCCCCAAGTACAATAATGTTCTGATTTTGATGAAATCTAAATGGGAACAAATATTTACTAATCAATAATACATCCATATAAATTTGATTTGAAATTGTACCCATCCATTTCAGTAAGTAATTGATTTATTGTTTGGTTAGCATAGGGATGTAAAACCGAATTTGTTCTTTTTGCACCCACAGAATCGATTTCATCGATAAACACTACACAAGGAGATCTTTCTTTTGCCGCTTCTAAAATTAAATATTATGTTAATTAAATATACAAAAAAAAAAATTTAATTACAAAATTGATATTATAAATTGTTTGTAAATAATAAAATTAAGAAGAAAGTATCATGAGTTTTTATATCTGATCTATAGAGAAAACGGGCCGCTCTCCGACCAAATCGAATCGCTACTGTGCATCCCCACACCGAAACACTATCCATTTATCCACTCCCGGATCTATCGACAGCGCTGCAACGGCGACTGCAGAAGTGGTGCAGTTGTTGTACACTGAGTTTCAAATAATGCACTGTTGACTGTCAATAGTCCACTGTTTATCGCCAATTGCCGTGGTGTAGGCACACATCATTTTTACAGCGTTTGCTTTTTGTACCTTTGATAATTTTTACTTTTTTCTCAGTTTTTTAATTATTTTAAAAAAATTATGTAAATATGACGAATAATTAGTATTATAAATTTGTAATTTTATCAAAAATAAAATAAAATATAAATATGACAAAAATGATAAATTGTAATTTTAACGAAAAAAAATTAAATGTTTTAATATAATTATTTATTATTTATTAAATATATAACTCTGTATTATACCTACAGTGTTCAATAAAATATTAAATAAATAAATATGTATACAAAAAAAACAAAGTCTGGATTATTATAGAAGGTATATACGATAGTTTACAATTTGAAAAATTATCAAGAGGTTATAAAACAGCAAAGGTAAATAAATGTGCGATGCACGATGTCTGATAATAATAACAATTGAATTTCTACAGAATATCCTAGGGGTGTATAGTCAAAAATGGAAGAAATTACAATCGGCTGCCTTCGCTGAAATCAAGTTATGTGGAGGGGGAAAACATGCGCACACGCGGCCCGTTCTCTCCTGAAACAGACTATAATAATTAATAAAATTAAAATAAATTTACTAAAAAGATCACGTATTCTTCTAGCGCCTTGTCCAACTAAAATTTCATCAAATTCTGAACCAGCTGCGTGGAAAAATGGCACTCCAGCTTCTCCAGCAACAGCTCGAGCCAACAGTGTTTTACCAGTACCCGGTGGTCCAACAAGTAACACCCCTTTAATACAATAATTAATTAATTATTAAGTATAAAATAAAATAAACTTTAGACATTTTTTTTTATACCTTTTGGCAACTTGCCACCTAAAGATGAAAATTTAGATGGATTTTTAAGAAACTCTACAATATCTTTCAGTTCTTGTTTAGCTTCATCCACCTAATGAACAAAAACAAACACCATAATATAGTATCAATTCAATGATAGGGAGTAAAAATCAGTATTTAACATAATAATAATAATATTATAATATTTAATAATTTAATAATTTTTATTTTTTTTTTAACATAATAAACATAATCAATATTTAACGAAGCTTTAACAAAATAATTTTGTATCATTGCATTCAGGATTTTGAATATAAATTATTCTACCATTCCAACTTTCTAACTTAGAACAGTTGCCTATAGTAATATCAGACCAGGCATTTCTAAAAGAAATATTATCTTTCAATATTGCACATAGATTTGGATTTGTCTCTAGATAGATAGACATAAGTCTTAAGAAGAATATAAATAAAAGTTTTGGTAAGCACAATTAATTGAATTATTGGATTTGAAGAATTAGGATCATGGTATATTATATCAAACAAATTTGATTAACACTGAACAATTCACAGGAAAAGGGTTCCCCAATCCTCAAAAAAAAAAAATATTGATTTCTTATATAATTCATCAAAAATAGTTACAGTTAACAAAGTTTTTATTTTGGTTATTTAAAAAAATTAACACCCATTCCAAATATTTACCCCTTATCCTATTTATATCATAGACTATACTACTCTCCTCTTTGAAATTAAAGATTCATTAAAATAAGTAAAGTGGTTTACGAGACTTTTGCTAATGTACAAATAGATATGAATAGGAGTTCAAAGTTGAAACCATCTAAAGGTACAAAAATACTATACATGTATAAAAATTTTAACTCAGTTACTTATTTTTATAAATCTGTAGGGGTATTTAAATATGACATTTCTTGTGGAAACATAAAATGGTTAAGGAGCGAACAGATAGTTGAATCCAAAAAATTAAGTCTTCATTTTGGGAGTCTGTAGAAGTGTACAAAACTAAAAAAAGGGAATTGAAAAAACACAGGCATGGTAAAATTAATTTTGAAGTTCTATCAAAATTTTATCACTTCACTCCACCTATAAAATAAAAACTCTAATTCCTGAGTTTGAACTCACTAAATCACTAAAAAAAAAAAAATATGCAACTATACCAGGTAATCCATTATGGTGGGTACACTCATTATCTTGGAAAGTATACAATTTTTCCAGACTTTGTTTTCTAGAACATTTAAGAACAAGCAGCTCTAATTGTATATCTGTGTTATTTTTTATCACCCTTATTTTTAGGAGTTAAACAATTACTTACTTTAAATTTTCAATTAGCTACTTTTATTAAAAATTCCATAAATAGATTGAGTATTAGTTAAAATAAATTTCGGTGTTGACATTTTTGATTACTGTTAAGCTGTTAACAAGATTTTCCACTGTTAAGTTTGGCTTGGTGAAATATTAACACATCGCCACACAAATGATACTCCACAACTCTCCTTCAACCTAAACTTAAAAGTGGAATATCTCGTAAACAGATTTACAAAAATCAAAAATTTCAACACTCAAATTTATTCAGCTAAAATACTTCATCTATTTATAATATTTTTAATATAGGTTGCCACTTAAAAATCAAAAGTAGCTACTGGTTTTACCCCCAAAATAAGGGTGACAAAAATAATATAAACATAAAATTATAAAGCAGCTTGTTTCTTATATGCTCTAGAAAACAAATTCCAGAAAAATTGAACACTTTCCGAGATAATCACTGTACCCACATATGAATCACCCAGTATAACAAGATATTACAGTATAATAATCTCAATTTTGGGGAAAAATTTGATAATAATTAATATATAAAGATTTTTTTATTATTATTATTTTGAAACTTAGTTAAAAACAATTAGCTATAACACTTAATAATGAAAAAATAAAAAAACAGAATACAAAACATTAAATTATAAAACTAGTCTAATTAATGAATTTTATAATAGATATAGATCATAGGAGGAAGATGTGAAGAAAGAATTGAATACACATTGAAAGAGAGATTATGGGAATTTATTAAGGTAGAGAGAGCATTAGTTGGGAGATGAGAGTAGGGCAAAGAAAAAGACTGTGGGAAATATTACAAATTGAATCGGAGGCGTGGAGAGTGTAAAGAGGGGAGTTATTAAGAAAATGTTTGTAGGAATAAGATGGTGGTAGAGTATGGCCTAGTCTAAAGGGAGAGGAGGAAATTGTTTTCCTACAAAGATTTAAATTATGAAACTGAGTGTATAAACATTATATATTTTTTATTTTAAATTTTGTTTTAACAACAATAATAATAATATTACTTACTTACACCCCTTGAAGATCTAAAATGATTTCTATTGTACCTATATATAGACAAATATTTAACTTACTCCTTTAACATCATTAAATGTCACTGTAATTTCTTCTGAATTAACTTCAACTTGATTAGTTATTTGGAATTTGAACATGGTTCCAGTCAGTAGGGCTAAAACATAATATTATTAAAGAATTGTAGGAATTAATTATTTGTATAAGATAGTTTAATGCATTACCAAATAAAGAAATCAATGAAGCAAGGGACAATCCAACTATAATTGCAGACTGAATAATTTTCCACCATTTTTGAGATTTAGTAGTGACTTTTTGGTCACGTGCTACTAAATAGCCTTCAGCAAATGATATTTTTAATCTTTCTAATTCTTCTGGACTTACATTTTCCTTCTTAATTAAATCTATAAATAAAAGTATTAGAAATAGGAAGTTCAGTATTTTTAATTACAATTTACACTTAATATTTTAATGACAATATAATATTATAATGGAATGGTTTAAACTACAATTCTTCACAACATGTATAATAAACAACACAAATACACTTGTTTTTACTTATATTGGGTTAAGAGCCATGCAGTACAAATACATGAGAATATCTGTGTGGATGAACATATATGTATTTGAATAAAACTGGATAATTTATTATTATAATAAAGTGAAAAGCTGTGGTAAGTAAAATTAGGAGACACATCATGACATTCACATATTATCCTGAAGCCATCAGAACAGACTATATGGGTAGTGGCAAATATATATATATTTAAAACAGGGGTAAAAATATAAAATATATGTGTTTTAATACTTTTGTAGTATGTGTACCCAGGATGTACACTTGTACTGTATTACATGTAGTTTAAACACAAAATAATATTGTTAGTAACAAAGTCAATAATAATATTTAAATCACATATTATTACCTCTCCATTTATTATAATCCAAATCAGAAAATATATCAGAATTTTTCAAATTACTCCCTTTAGAGAGTGAAAACAATTCTTTTAATCGAGAGAGATATTTTTCATCATTCTCCTTTGTAGTATTACGCTCAGTCTTAAAGTTTCTTACTTGAATGCCTAAAATCAAATAATTAAATAACTGTTAATAATTGAAACATTGCTTATCGAGCTAAGGATACATAAGAATATGGAACTGGTACTGAATTAAAAAAAATAAATATGTCTATCTTAATTGATTACTTAATAATTATTCATACAAATAAAATCCATAAAGCCTAACATTTTATAGAAAAAGAAAATTTATCTTTGTTAAATTTTATGTTTGATATTTTTGTGTAAACTTGATTAATAGTAATTTTAAATATAAAATTAAAAACAGTATTTTATATGTTAATAATACATATTTAGTAAATAAGTCACATAACTATTTAAGATTCTGAGCATAGCAAAGAATGTTTTGGTTTTATTATAATGTGTATTTTTTTTTTTTAGTTATGTTGGGTTGCAAAAAATATCCCGTCCAAAATATTTATCTTCTTTCTTTATAAAAACAATTATTGAAGTTTGAATTCTGACAGCACAATTTTTTTATTTAACGGATATCCACTAACTTATTAACTATTAGTTTATAGGTCAAATACTAAACCATATCTATGGACTAAACTGAGTATAATCAATAACAAGTACATTACATACATTTAGGTTAGCTCATTGGTAATAGAAACAAAATATTTAAACATTTAAATTACACATTACTATAAAAAAAAATTAATTTTATAGCAAGTAGGTAGTTTATAATGTTATATTTTTTAATTATACATATTGAATATTATATTGTTTTAAATATATTTTTCATTAGGTTTAGAATATAAGGCAGAGTAATAAATAGCTACAATAAATAAATCTGGTATTACTGTGGTATTTTGGTATTTATGTTCAAGTATTTAATAAAGATCTATGCAAGCTATTAGTAAAATAACAGTTAGATTTACATTAAATTCTCAAAAATCATCCAAAGATGTAATGTGTATGACTTATATATTATTTATAAGTTATAAATATTAACTTGATTTGTTAATGCATATTATGGTAGTACTCCATGAGATATTTTCTAAAACTGGCTAACATATTATGTACAGTTAGAATCATATTATAAAAAACTGTATAAATTAAAATATTATATTTATGTTAATTTTAGTGGAAAAATAAATTATAAGAAAAATAAACTGGTCAAACATTAATTATGTTATATTTTATTTTTCCAAAAATATTACAACCCTGAAAGAACCGAATAAATGGCCTAGATTCCCAATATCTAAATGATACAAAAGGATCTAGAGGCTAGAGGATCTAAACGACTAAGTGGCTTAAATCATATACAATGGATAGAGCTACTACTATACTTTATGTGTAAAGTATAGTCAATATTAGGTGTGTCACTCCTACACATGCCTCACCTTATCTTTTGTGCTATCTGATAAGAATGTCTATCAGTAAAGTGTAATAAAAATCCAGAAAATAATATTGCAAATTTTAAGCTGAGCTGAACATAAAATATATATATATACATATAATTCTACTAAAATAGAATATTTATATAAAAAAATAACAGCAAATGAAGTTATGTGTATTGTTTTAATTAAGTAAAACATATCCAGTAATCATTAGATCACATTTTTGAATTTATCAATAGATGCACATTGGACTTCTCTAATCAAATTTATATAAACTATTACTTTTCAGGAAGAATGTATATTTTTAAAAATGTATTTGCACAAATCTGCAAATAAAATATATAATATATTGCCCCATACCTGTGAAACTTCATTTAACAAACAAGCAACAATTGAGTTTAAAATAAATGATATAATGATTCCTTTTCATGGGATGTTTATATCATTAGTTGATTTATCTGGTTTATCAAATGATTCATAAATTATAGGTATGTTATTATATTTTTTTTTTTTTTGTTTAACTAAATATATATTTTAATGTTCTTTAATATATAGATGTTGTGGAGATATTAATTAAAGTACAAAAAAATAATTTGTAATAACAAGAAAGATACAAGAGAAAATCCAACTTTATAGTATACTATGATTGCTCATAATTCTCATACAAAGGTAAGTTTTTTCTATCACCTACAAATAATTCATCAAAATATATTTACAGTTGTAAACATTTTTAAAATATTTACTGTATAAAAGTAAGAGTTTTTATGTATTTATATAATATACCAATGGTATAATCAATAATACCTATTGATCAATACATAGATGGGCATTTATTGCAAAATTTGACAAATAAATTAAACAAAAGGGAAGAATTGGACTGATTATGTGGCCAACCTCTTCTGAATATGATTAGCAATGTAAATTACAAAATTTAAAAAATAATGTGTTTATTAAATAACAGTCGATTTAGACTTAAAATATTGATATGATGGAATCAAGGATGACATTGTTATTATTAACATTATCAAAATTCAAATCAAGCTCTCAATTATCATTCAGTAAATTTTCTAGTTTTAAATTAATCCTAAATGGAACAAAACTAAAACTACGATAATTGGTAGGTTTTTTTTAAATCGCTGATGAACTTAAAATAATTAATTATGTTTGAATACACATAATTATTTTAAAATACTAACATTTTATTTGTAAAATCTTAAATACTACAATAGGTTAAAACCTTAAATTATCTATTATTTCAAATTATATGATATTTTTTTTAACACCAGTGAAATTTAATATGATTATGATAATATACGTCATAAATTCACAATTCATTTCTTAGAACTACTGTGTTTTATTGTTGTGCTCAACAATAAAAATTATAAGTCATGATTTTAAAAATAACAGTTAGTTTAATAATGTGTTAGGCCATTCTCCCACTAAAGCAACGTAATGTGATTTAAAAAAAAATCTTATGACCTGTTGTCATGAGTTCTGCACACTATAAGTGACTAGAATCACTCAGTTGCAAACAAATGACCTTTTGAGGATGACAATTTTGTTATAGATAGCATATTAGTATTAAAACCGTAAAAATTAAGAAAAGGAGATATTGGGTACATCCATGCATACAAAATAATGTTAACTGTTAAAATCCTGTTGGTGCTAATGAATTAATGCAAGATAATATAAAATTTCAATTGTTTTATCATATGTTAAAAGAAAGTTTTAACACAGCCTCAACTAAGTTTATTTAAGTTTATTAGTCACATTTATTAAGCTACTAACAGTCACTCGTGATTAGTTGCTTTCGTGTCACATTGCAATCGCATCAGTGGGAAATCATCGATTATACTAATACATGTTTTATAAAACACAAAATTATTAGGTGATATTTATTTTAAATTGTATTACCTTAATGGGAAAAGACAGCACTAGTAAATTCAAATATTGTTTCACTAGCAATGCGTAAAAAAAAATTAGTGTATAAATGCAAAAAAAGTTTATGAGTCACAATTGAAATGCCGGTTTGAAAATATAGATTAGAAGATTTACATCAAAACATTTGTTTTTAATCTCTATACTGTCTACATGTTTTTTTTAAATTCATGATATAATTTTATATGTACATGATTTGCAGTTTAAATTATGTTTAGTTTACCTATAAAATTATGTTTAGTTTACCTATAAAATTAAATACTCACTATGTACATTCTACACACACACACTCACTTAATATTAAAATTAAAATTGAAAGATAAAGTGTAATAATTGAAAATAACTTTCAAAGAATAAGTAAAAAAATGAATATTAAAACTATTATATATATAGACTTACATAAATAAGTAATTGGGCTACCATAAATAATAAAAATACCTGTGAAATAAGGTCTAGGACGATATAAAAAATGTTTGGCAGACTCATGAGTATTTGATACCATTAAAATGTGCTTCTTAATGTCATAAACATCATGATGACATTTCAGTTCCAGTTTCTTGTTACCAGTTTTTTGTAACAAACGTATTAGATTTTGATGTTTTTTCAGCTTACACTGAACTGTATATATGGATCTGCTCATCAAATATTGTTCAACTAGTTCACTAGGTATATTAACGAGAAGCTAAAAAATAAAATAATAAATATATATTATATTGACAAATACACTCAAATAAAAAAATTTAATCAAAATATTGATACAAATTTATACTTAAAAAATGTTAATACTCCCTAATATTAATTATAGATAATGTTTTAAATTATAAATGAAACATAATTTAACACATTATTAGATAATTGTAGTTTTAATAAAATATCATTTGAGAAATATGAAATTTACTGATTTAGTATAGTCTGGTAATGCACGATCTATTGTTTTGTTATTAATATCAGTTTTATTTGGTTTCAAATTTGACTTCCGAACTTGAATAACAGTAACTCTAAGTGGAAACGCTGCTGCTACCTGATAATATAAAATATATAATTAATAATATAGGTTGGTACACTTAAAAAAGTGTATAAATTCAGTTAAGTTACAGAACTCATTTACATTTTATTTTTAAATATGTTTTAAGACACTGAAAAATTGTTTGACATACATACAGTATTTAAATTGTTATAAATTCTAAAACAATAATTTTTGAAAAAAATGAAAACGAACACAGAAGCTAAACTGCATTTGTTCCAAAACTCACAAAATAGGTATTGTACATAACGTTGCAATACAACAATACCAATATATTAAACACGTGAATTGAAAAATTGTCTTTTGGATAAAATAATAGAATAATAGTCAATCATGATTATTGCAGTATAAATATATTATTATGTTTATTGGTTATTTCTATTCAAATAAATTACTTAAAATATCCGAAAAAAAAAGATTTCAATGAATATTAGTTGCATTTGGTAGGCTATACAAAAACTAAAATAGATATTGTTCACTAATTAATTTTATAATTTTATAGATTAATAAGAATTTAGTTTTTATGAGTCCTATGCACAATATAATTTAAATGATATTATACAAAAATAAGGTAGTAGATGTTGTTTAACAAGAAACATTTTAGATACTAACTTATTAAATATGACCTATATCAATAAAAACAACAATACACTGATATCTACTTCCCTCACAAATAACCTAAAACCTTACAGGAATAATTTCTAACAATATTATCCATTACACAAATGCAGTCGAAAATCTTTTGTAATTTTTACACCCAATAATGCAACAAAAATTATTTAACGAGCAATAACACCTAATGGTTACAACTACTTTGATGTACATTGATTCAAATGACAAAAAACCCACATATTTTCAAGGATAACATTTTAACAATGTGCAAAAAACAATCTAGCTTACATATTTATTAACCTTGGTAAACTCACCTGTAAGGGTATTGCCGACCCTAGTGTAAACATATTAACTAAACGAAATGGTTTGTAACGAGAATGCAACTACTGCGACGAGAGTCCGAGTGACAAAATATGACGTAGTCTAATAATTTTATAAACTATTTGTAAGAAACGCGTTAATAATTCAGCATGTACATGTTAGAAATACCATGTTTCGTATGCGTGTCTACCTACCTATATCAAAAAAAAAAAAAATTAAACTTTAAATTTTACACATAATATTTGACAAGCCAACCGGAATTTTTTGTCGATATTAACGATAATATTATAATGTATAATATTATATATTTAATATTAAAACAGTTGTACACGTGTAGGTGACTGCATATAAAAGTATTTGATCAATTTCACAAATTAAAATAACTGGGCACAACAAATAAATCACCGAATTACAAAAGGAAAAAACTGATTGACTTGTCAGTAAATATCCGATATCGTTGTACCACTTTCTTTAATATAACCTAACTCTTGGTTAAAGGATCTGAAAATTGTGATAACTGCTGACCGTGCAGTATTTTGATAACAGGGAACTCTCGAAAATGTCGGCCGAAAATCGGTACACGAGTTTATTAGGTATATACATAGTACGGGTGATGAAAATTTTTTATTATTTAATTCAATTAAAGAAGTATCCAAACGATTTCAAATTTGTTTGATGACGTCATGTCGGCATTATTTTGCTCTGGGTACGCTGGGCAACTGCTGCAACAGCCGCCACTTCTACCACCACCACCACCACCGTTGTTCATCTCCTTGCAATACAAAACCAAACTCGACACGAAGTTATGACCGCGGCCGAACGATCTGATGCTTACAGTATTTTAACACCACGCCATGTTGTAATACGTTTTTTTTTTCTATAGTTTTGCGTCGTAGAACGGTATTTTGTAATATTATTACTGCCAAATTTATTTGGATTTTCACCCAACTATCTACTGGTAAGTAATTATATTCATGTTATTAATATTTTAAATTTACACTCGTGATTTACTGTAGAACTATATTATTGTTTAGATATAGTGGACTAGTGGCATAGTATTTTTCTAATACAGACTCTGGAATATAATCACGTGTTAAAATGAAGAGGTCTCAAGTTCCGCCACAACAGTATTATAAGAAATTTAAACCATCAAACGACAGACACAATATGATGGAAGGACGCTTACTGCCATCATTTCCGATATTCACTGATGCTGAAATGAGTACGTTTAAACCTCCGCCGAACATACAGACTTCAGGTTTACTATCTAAGGACAATGTTTGTGCCCAACAAGAAAGATATATCGATTTATGGCAGCCAGATTAAATCAAATACAATAATAACAATAATATAGGTGCCACTGATTCGTGTTCAAATATAAATAAAATATTCCTTTTATATTTAAGTTCTATAAAAATATAAAATTCACATTTAACAATATTTTCAATGTTGCCATACCAATTATGTAATTTTAAAGAATTGTCAAGCTATCATCATTCCGCAATGAATTTTGTTCACTAATATTTAATATTATATTATTCATATATTTTTTGTATATCTTGAAGTGAGTAAGATTTCATTGACTGACTCATCCAACAAACAGATTTCATTTTTTTAAGTCAAAAGACATTGCTCAAAACATGATTTGATGTTGCTTGATTAAATCAAAAATAAATAATAACAATGGATAGATAGATACTACTAATTTGTGTTCAAATAAATAAAATATTTCTGTTATGTTGAATTTTTGTAAAAAAAAAAAAAAACATATTTTGTCCCCCAAAATATTAATATGAATTAATAATTTAAGTTTTATATTGATAAAATCATAATCATTACATATTATTAATATAATTACATATTTTTGTTACTTAAAATTTATTTTATTTTTTTATTTTTTTACACTCCAGTTTTTTTAATAAACTTATTAATTTATAATACTTAGACCATAGTCGAAAAAATGTTAATTTTAAGTTTATCAGATATTATGTATTGGTATGCCATAATATTATAAATTATAATCATGTATGTTTAAAAACATAATAATGTTTCTTCTATATTAATCATTAAATATAAAAAAACACGCTCAGAACCTATAAATAAATAAAATATTTCATTATTTAATTTTATAATACTCAATCTATTTATCTACCCACTCATAAAATCCAAATCCTGTTACCTGTCATAATATTTCCAGATCCAAAACTTCTAGATAGCGTATGTGTTGATCGAAATCTAATACAGTGAAGTCACTTATTAGACTTATGGATATATGGTTCAGTCACTTATTAGACTCAAAATCACTTGGAACAGCCTGAACATATCCAAATAAATTCTATGCTTTCTCCACTACACCTATAAGGTTCATACAGTTATATGACTCATTTTGTGTTAGTCCCAAAGTGAGTTTTATAACCACTGTATTAATAATGACATTTTCGGGATGTAAATAAAAAAATAAAACTACAATGTTTTATTATGATATACTATTTATGTTTCTCAATGTAATCTCATGAAAAGAATGGGAAATTTATAGCTCATATAACTATAAAAAATTTAAAAAAACATTTTAAACAAAGCAAGAAATGCATTTAAACTATTTTCAAAAACCCACAAAATATATCAGACTTAGTAGTTTTATTTTGTTTGTATTATTTAATGTATGACTTTTTATAACAAGTTATATATTATTTAATATTCTAAATTGTAATTAAATATATACAAATATAGTACAAATAAATAATAAAAATACAAAATACTTATGAAAAAAATATTTAAAAATTTGATGGTAACAGCTTGTAGATATGCTAAATCTAGAAAATAATACAAAAAAAAGCAAAATTCAATTTTGTGTTTTATTCTAAGTATAGTATCTATAAATCAAATTTATAGGTATTATCAATTACATATATAACATCAATTTTATATACATATATGTTTCACATGCTAATGAGAATAAGCATTCTTTTGTATAAAAGATCCTTTGTACTTAAAACTCAACCTTGCCTATAACAGCTTATTGTTTGACTCTTAATTCCTTTCCCTATACTTCTGTACAAATTAGTTCTCATATCAAAGCTATGTAATCTGCAAAACGCACCATAATACTTCCTCTCACCTATAATTCCTATCCGAGATAGAACAAATTCCAGATCTGCCAAATTTTTATTTAAAACTTCTCGTACTGTTTGACAGAATTTTACATCAGCCATAAACCTGACAAAATCACATTTGTTGCCTCTTATAACAGGTAGAGAATACCATGGGAGTATTATGATCCTCCCCCACATGGAACTTGTTGATAAATACATAATAATATTATTTATGTAATAGTTTCCCATTAACGTTATACTTGTACTGATCAATCTTTTATGATTCTTATATATTATATATTCTTGTTCTTATATAATCTTATATTATTAGGTAGGTACCATTATCTGAACCTCTAGTTAAATATGCATTTTGAAATTCAAATTTTTTCTTATTTGTGTGAATTTGTTTAACTGTTCATTTATTGTATAGTTATTCAATTGTTAATATTATTCTTAATTATGAGGATATTTTTTTTAGTGAAGTTCGGTAAATAATGAAATGATTATTACCAAAAATGTATTTTTTTTTTTAATTGTTTAAAAAAGTACCAACTATTAAATAACAATTTACATACTATCAATAAAGTATTAATATTGAACTTTTTAGATTAGGTTAAACTAACCTTGTATATCAGTAATATTTGATGATATTAAACTATGGAACAATTGGTGATGTGTCCACTAATATTATATTGAAGACAATTTATTTCAATTGGTGTTAATTGTACATTTCATACTCCATTTGGAAAAAAAAAAATATAAATTAATTTTATAAAAGTATCTGTCTATGTGATAACATTATAATAAAGTGTTATTAAATTGGTAGTGATTTTTATTTTATTTTTAGTTGTAAAACTAAAATTAATTTTTTTTTAATGTATAAGTACTTATTGTAAATTTGTTTATTTTTTAATAAACAAGTTTATAATATTATGTATATATATATTGAAATCAACAGACTTAATTGGAGATGATTTTGACAAATTTGGTTATTTAAAAAAAAAGGTTAAAGTAACATTTGAGTATCTTTCAAAATTAAAATACAAAACGAATTGAAGTACTCTGTAATATTTTATATTACACAATAATATGTACTAATAACAACTGATAGGAAATGTTATCAATAACATTATCTTGATAATATTTTGAAAGGAATTGTTTTTTTTTTTTGTAGGATAAATTTCATCATCTCTTTGTTTTGAAATGTTTTATATATTTAAGTTTAATATTGTGTTTTTGTTGTTTTCAATCTTTTGTAAAGCATTAATATAATTATAATTGCCAATGTTATAGTATTTGATAAATATATTAAAATATAAAAAAAAATATGTAGGTACTTAATTAATTTAATTGCCAAGGATTTTAATAAATGTATTTTGTTACTTATATTATGGTAATATCAAGATAATTCCCAATATTTTGGTTTATACATCCTACAGTCCTATGTTTGACTAAAATTATTAAAGAGTTTAATAAAATGTTCTTTTGTATGTTATTTAGGCAGGTATATCTGATAGTCTGATAGGTAGGATACCTAGGTGCATTATTCATCCCTATGTCAAATTTATTTTCAAATTTTCCGATAAGATAAGTATAAAATGTATAGTTCCATAGGTATTATTATTAAAATGCTTTATACAATGTGATTACTGATTTATTAATCATATTTGACCAATTTTTAATGTTAAATTTTACATATAAGTATTCAAACTTTGATTTTTGGAGTTTTAAATTGTAGTGAAAGCCAATATTTCCGAATACCTAATTCAATTTTTCATAACATTCTAGGAGTATACTATGGCAATATCAACTTTAGTTTTTTAAATCAGAACCTGCATGTTTTAATGTAAATTGTAAATCAGATAATTTCTCTGAAAATGTATTGTAATCGAAATTTGAATAAAATTTTTCTGAGTTATTCTACTATTAATCTATTAAATAACAACCAAGGCTGTAGATAGTATGTTTGCAAAACGAAAATTGAAAAAGTAATTCCCTAATGTTCTCCACTAAATACGTGGGGACAGAGCTCTACAGTAACAACCACGGTTTAAAATATACAAAATAACCAGTAATCGACTTAATAAAATAAAATAAAAGGGACTATAAGACATAAACAAAAAAAATTGCGTCCCTTGTAATTATTGAACTCCTCCCAACCTGTGGGAGGCTTAGCAATCCACACTTACACCAATTTTCCAACAACTCAGTACCTAATTAATAATTTCCGAAAACAAAAACTACCTACCTACTGCAGGCTATCTTTTGTTTACATAATACTTACTATAGTAGATATTATTTATTTTAGATTCTAATATAATGGTTACTACTATGATTCTATTATGATGATGTGTTTATTCTTTTTCTGTGTGTGAACCACTTTTCTACCAGAAATCTTATTTCAATTATCAACTTTAGAGACGATAATTCCTAGTAAAAATAGTTGTCTCGTTGATGCAATAAGGAGGAGCAAGCGACATCTCAAATTAAACGTCTTTACGAGGCTAATATTCATAAGTTCTTATGAATATTATTATTGTTATGAATCATAGCATATCAATAAAATGGATTGGCTGATATAAAAATACAAAACGAGTACTTACAAAAGTATTTTAAATAAAACAATTACAAGTTTATACCAATTTTTGTGAAATAAATAAGCTGTAGGTAAGCAGCAGGCTATTTTTGTCTAGATACCTATCGCAGTGATATGACACATGTTCAATGGAAATAATAACCTCGGAAATCCACTGCATTATCTTATAAAATGTGTATAATAATTAATAATAATACAATGTCCTATCCAAAACAATAAAAATAAACATTTTCAAAGTTATACGTTTACGATAAGGCTGTAGAGACTAGAGAAGCACTACTATAGGGGGTTTTCTTATTACTAAAAACTAAAAATATTAAAATTTACGTAATTTTTTCTCGGTAATTTACCAAAAAAAACGCCAATTTTATATATTTAGTTATCATGTACTATAGTGTAGTAATATTAATGATTATTAAATTATTTCGATGTTATCGTGATGTATACCTACGCGAAAAAAATATGTTCCATTATTAGGTATACACTATTATAGGTAATTACATATACTTACCTAGTAAATTATGTTTTATAAGCATGAGATACCTATAACAAATTTTATTAACATTAATATTTATTATTATTATTTTCATAATAGTTATGTAGATTACACTATCACCATTGAGGTGGGTGGTGTACATTGCACTAAACACAATATAACATATTATTACTTGTCTATAATTAAATATCGTTATGTTATGTTTAATAAAAGAATTCGCCATTGTCTAAAATACCTATTATTTAAATGAAATTGTTTTTATTTTTTTTTTTTATTATGAACGCCTCTGATGGATTTATATTTATTTAAAAATTAAACTTTTGGTTAAAATGAACACAAATTTATAATCAAATGAAATTTCTATGTACAATATTCGATTTTATAATAAACTTAAGAATACTTGATTCGCTATAAAAATTCAGCAACAAATTGATTATATTCAATAACGATTCGTAATACCTACGTACCTATTCTATCCGCACCAAGTGCCTTACATAAAAACAAATTGTTTTTAGTTAGGTCCTTGCTTAATGGGTCACCTGGCTATTATGAAATGTCCAATCTAGTATATGATTTATTTAAATTATAATAATTATTTAACTGTACCTACTAATTTAAGTTTATGTTCTAATATTTTAATAACGCCCATTGCCGTTTAGATATATTATATTACCTTATCAATTTATTATTTCAAGTTAATTTATTATGTAAATAATCACATGGATTAAACAAATTGATGCGTGTGAAAAATTGATATGAACACAAGTTTAAACAGTTGTGTTGCACATACGATGTTGAATGGTGTTTACTTACCTACCGGGTAATCAAAATATAATAATGTTAAAATATAATTACCATCATGTAAAACACGAAATCGTATTATAAACAATAAATCAAGAATAATTAATTTGTAAACAGAAAATGATTTACAGTAGAATACAAGTACAGAAACATATGCAAATTAGTGGTTTTACGTAAGCAGAACTACGAGTTTTATTAATTATTATTTTTATCGTACCGTTTTAACTTAGTCCTTAGATGTCGTAAAAACTTTTTGAACAAAATGTTTTTACCACGTCTCGTATTATCCTGCATCGTTCTAAAATGTTTCATCATCACTGTAACGTGTAAGTAATAATCCCATACCTATCTACTTCAAATGCAATAGTATAATACATAGTTATAAGAAATTAAATACCTAACCACCTCATTTTAGGTTGAAGGAATAAAATTCCGCACGTTTTATTTTATTTTTTTTTCTAACACGATTCCGCACGCTCTATTTTGTTCATTGAAATACAATAGGAGTTGGGTGCAATGTTGTCAAATTTATTATAAACGGTGTGGTTCTACGTTTATTACGCGAAAAATAATGTAAAATAAAACTAGTTCTTTCATATAGTGAGCCGTCATTACAAAAAATAAATATAATAATGTAAAATAATGTACAATTTAATATATTTTTCCCTTGGTACATAAAGCCAAAAAAAGTTAGATATTTTATAATATTTTGATGTATTTTATAATTATTAAAATGTTTTATAACGTTTTATATACGTTACCCTTTTCAGATTTTATTATCTCTAATTGATTCTCCATTCTTAGCTATTATACATTTTAACACCGTAAAAATATAAAGTATAGCATAGTGCTCGAAATTAATACAACTTAAGGTATTGAACTGTATCCACGCGTGACATTATAACAGTTTTGACTAGACTGACTATACTGGTCTACATACCAATAGTTATTGTGGGTGATTTATCAAAATAATCTCGTCATTATGATATTATTGTTATAACATTAGGTACCCTTGTCATAAAAAGTATTAATCAAATTATATAGACTCATGCAAATTAATGTGTATTGTTTACTATACTTTGTTTACTTGTTTTATTTGTTATCTTTATCAAAAGACTTAACTTATGTTATTTTTAATTGATTTGAACTTGAAAAGTTGTGGTAAATAAAGAGGTAAATAAATATAGTTGGATAGAAAAAAAGGTCGAAAAAAATGTAATATCAAACAATGAACCTGCAGAATCGTACTCTACCCATTTGAGGTATTTGTGCCCAGTGGCGTATTTACGAGGAGATATATCTTCCGCCTTGACCTTTTTCGTAATATCTATATATAATTGTAATCTCTACAATTTATATGACAATTTTTAAATTCCAATTTCTTTATCTTGTTAGTCAGTAAATTAATGTGTTGCTAATGTGGTTAATAAATCAAAAAACCCGAATGTAAACCTATATTTTCTTGTTTAATACGAAATATATATTATAAAACCTACATGGTACTACTTAAAATATGAAGTAGATAGGTTGAATTAGTACCTAGGTACTTACCTAAATTCTAAGTTAATTACTTACCTATAGGTTTTTGGTTTTAGTAATATTTTAGGGCAGATTTAATTATAAATTTCTAACAAAAGTATATAAATTTAAAACTTTTTTTTAGCTTAGATTATACATTATATCTATAATATCCCAATCGGAAATGTATGACTTATGCCGACACTTACAGAAGGCACAGTATTTTGTCTGTACAACTACGAAACAAACAACTAACTATGAAAATAACATAAACATTAAGCAAAGCCGAAAGCATATAATTTGTAATGTAATTGGCAATTAAATTCAATTTTTATTAAATACATTTTTTTTGTGGGGGGGGGCGTTGTGAATTTTCGATTGGGATGACAGTCTCCAAATTCAATATTTCCTTTGTACGCAAAATCCTAAACACACGATGACTATTCACAACGTCGGTTATCGACATTACTTAATAAAAAACGGAATTGACAAATATACCTACATTACGAAAACTATATGATATTATTATATCATACATAAATCAAATTTCGACTAGAATCATAAAAATCACAAAAACAAAAAAAGTGGGTTCGGCACTGTTGTAGGTGGGAAGTTGGGAATGTAGGATACTTAAAGTTATTTAATTTATACCTTAAATCGCAAAGATAAGTCATTGCTAACGAAGAACAATTTGGAGTAAAATCCAGTATAACATATTTTTAAATGCCGTCATTTTTACGATTTTTGTCCAAAATTCATTAAAACGCTTATGGAAAAAGAACTAATGCATTAAATTCAAATTTATCTTTTAGACCACTAAGTATGACTTAAAATGAACCTCTTTTCAAATTTTCAAGCATTTCTGTTTCTGTTCTACAAATTTGTAAGACGTGGAGTAGAAAATAATACTAGGTATTTAAATTCCTAGTTTCATTTAAAATTTGTATTCGAATGAAATAATTTCTCATTTCATTTAATTACTGGCTTACCTATTACCAAATATTGCAGACTTCTAAGGTACAAATTCTAAATACATAATATACTTAACCTATTAGGTTATAGATTCCGAGCAGAGCTATTTATTATATGTATTATTTTCTATCTATAAACTACACATTTTTTTTTTTTTATTATTATTATTTTCAAAATACTTTGTCTAGTTTTTGTATTTTGAGTGATTTATTCTTTACAGCTATCTACTTGAAAATGTTCTTATAATTCTAATTTTTTTCACGTCTACTAAACGTTCGAAAATCTAAAACACCAATTATGAAAATAATGAAAATAATTACTTGCTTAGTGGTCTGAAAAAAAAAATCTAGCGTACCATCGTATTTCTTTCCTTATCTGAGCGCTCGAAGTTCAAGTTTTAACGAAAATAGTAAATTATTTTATATAGCTAACAATTAATACATATTTTTAAATTTAAATTTACCTATTTACCTACATAAAGTACCTATTTAACCGCGCTCTGATCAAAATGGTTTTTGTTTGCGACAATGATTTATCGTCGCATTCAGTGTACCACCTACCTACATATAAAATAAATTATAAATAATTACACCATATATATTATAATATTGTAACGGATTATCCATTATTTTGTAGTTATCGACTGTACAAGGTCGTAAAAGAAAAACATAATAGGTATACAATTTATACATAACGTAACATCAGCAGTGTAGGTACACATAATTGTGTATTGTGGGGGGGGGGGTGGAGATAAATGTCAAGAAATTGTCTCGTGAGAATATTTTTTTTTAAATCTACATTCAAAATTATGTATATATTATATTATGTAAAAATAAAAATACAATAGATCATAGGGGTGGATCAGACCCCGACACTCCCATGCATAATCACTTTAATAAATTGTTTATCATGCCATAATAATTCATCAGAAATCGTACGATAACGTTTTATCGGTTATGTATTTATGTACGTACACGTTTATTTTCTTTATTAAATTTAAAAATATACTATACCTTACTCAGTAAATATGAAAATAAACAGGATACACCGTAATAAAGTAACATAAACACGAAAAGATCATAACAAAAAACTGTGTCCCCCCCTCCGGATACGCCACGCCGCACAGTGGTTCAAAATTGAAAAAAGATGGCCAAAATTTATTTTAAAATTTTCAAAAACTTGCAAACTATTGTATACAAATACTATCTATGTCCATTTAGGTATTTAAATATGACTAACTTAATCATAAAAAGTAACTTTTTACTTTTGAAATTTATGTTTGAAGAAAAAATTCATTTTTTTTACCAATAAAATGTTTGCAATTTCGGTAATACTTTAAGTTTTTGTGCGCTATGAAATACTATTGAAATACAATTAACATAGGGGTTTTTTTTATTTATCAGTATAGAGTCTATTAGAGTATTTATCATCATTATTATAGAAATATTATATCTGTACTATTAATAATTGTAAATTAATACTCCTTATAGCTTCAGTTATATGTTTAATAACGTAGTGTTTTAAACAGTTCTTTAACCGACCGTCACGCTAATATATATATTTCAAATATCTATAAGGTGTATAGAGTCGGTAAATGTTTAGATTAGCTGCCCATATTTGCCTTTTAGAAAATTGTGATACCATGTTGAGTTTTGGCCACCTTTTCTTAATTTTTTCATTTATCCCCCCCCTCCCACTCATAGACTAAAAAACTAATGTAAAGTATCCTAAATGCCACGTGGCACAATGATCTGAAATTTTATATATCTGTGGTTAGAGATGAATATCTTTATTTTGGTTCTAGTTTTATAATCAGCTGAGTTCATATGTAATTGATATAAACAATATATTAAATCTTATAATACTACAACCGAACGACCGAACAATGATATAAGTATTTTTAAGTATATTTTCCCGGGTTTTTTTTGTTGTTATCAATCGTTTTTAGTGACAAATTTATTGTTAATGTTACTGTTAATAAGTTACTTTGACATTTTTCAATATGTAACTATAGTGTATTGACGATGTGTATTTGATCAAAATGAAACGAAATAATTCAACTAATTCAAGAACCTTTATTATTTTATTATGTTTGTGCCTCCTCTATATCAGAACTTGTAAGTACCTACTGATACAGAGAATATAAAAGTTGATGGTGTAGGTGACGTAGACAAAAGTAAATTGCTTGACGAAAATTGGAGAAGTCCCAATTGATCCCGAAGAAGTTCTTAATGTACTGGCTCAAAAATCAAGAAAAATTGATATAATTCTGTAAATTTAATATTTTAATCAAAAATAACTGAATGTATGTTTTTTTTATATATAATTAAGGGGGAAGGGACTACCACCCCGGCGTTTCAGGAGCTCTTAATTTGGCTCACCGGATAGCCTGCTTAGCTCTTCTTAGTTTCACTTGGAGGGAAGTTTCTTCACTCTTAGCAATTATCTTAGTCCAAACTACCTGAACATTGTGAAAGATTTGATTTACAATTTCCTGGCATGTTTAAAATTGTCAAGTTACTTTAAATCATTGACCGGGAATGCTTTACTCAGATAATACTGTCGCAAACATAGGTAGGTTAGGTTACATCCATAGATACCAACCATCCATAGATATTACTAAGATAACCCAAGAATAAAAAAAAGCTCTCCAATCTTTATGTGCAATTTCATTGAAATTCGTTCAGCCGTTGAAGCATGGTTGACGGACAGATTCACAAACAAACATACAAACTTTTCATTTATAATATTAGTAGGATTTATCTAAATTGTATACTTGCGTTTATTGAAAAAAAACTTAATCTTAAATTAATCTTTTAAAAATTTAAAATTTAATAAATACATTCAACAGATCAGTTGAAAAATTAAAATATAAAACAAAATTAATATAATCGGCGTGAAACCAATTTATTCTTAAAAGGATGAGTTTCAGTTTCGATTCTAGTTATTCAAAAATATTTTAAATCGGCTCGAACTAGGTTCTGATTCTTAATATTTTAAGGATTTTTGTGGTTCCAGAACCGGTTCCTTTCGGTGCTGTTTCAGTCCCTGCTCCGTGGAAAACATAAAGCGCCAAAATGAGATAAGAAAAAAAATCATATCGTACGAAAGCGCCAAAATCCTAGGTACCTGTGTGCTACGGTTAATATATATATATATAGATTTGTATTTATTAACCGTGTCTGTGTGATATTAAATTTAGAACCATATCGTACAAAAACTAAACGTTTAATCTTAATCGACAAATTTATTATCAGATTATGATAGCAATTTATTTACGATATAGGTATATACGATTTTATAAAAACATTTTTAAATATCGAAAAAATCAACCAATTTAATAAAATTATATTTATTAATCCCATTTCTTAATAATCCCAATTCTTATAAAAAACCCATTGGAAAATCAAAAAAAATGATTCCGCTATTGTACTAAGTAGATCAAAAACGCAACAGAAAAGATCTCTGGTTATTTTTTATTAGATTATGATTTATAGAAGAAAAGTTGTTTACAGATAAAAAAAACAAAAATACATGAAAGTAAAACCATCAATACATCTCTCTTTACGCTTAGAATCTAAAAAATATGTACGTATCATTGTAATACCAATACATTCCTCGCTACGTTCAGAATCTTAAAGGCCCCCGAACACTCTGCACTGGTGGTAATTAATTTATGTTTATTAAACGTAAAATATAGTATCTAAATTATATGTCTTTTAATACAAAATTATAGTGCAATTAAACTAAATGTATTATGTATACTAAATATCTACATATAATATGCCTATCTACATTTAGTTTTTTAATGTACTTATATTATACGTTTTAGTTATTATTTTATTATCAAGGATGTGTAACTGGGAATATAACACTGTATATGTAATATGCCGCGTAATTAAATACATTATGTACACAGAGGCATGTCTAGGATCAAAAATGAGAATAGGTCTGATTATTAGTATGACATTTTTTTTTTTGAACATTTTAAATTTCTTTTTTTAAATATAAATTTATACTTACATTTAGTCAGTTATGTAGTAAATTGAATTCTTCTATTTTAAATTTAGCAAACTCATTAATAATAATCTTTGTATTATCTTGAATTAACTCTGTATTGAATTCTCTTTGGACGTCACTCGATACTTACGTTTATTTAACTTTTTCGCTGTATTATCATAAACAAATTACGTTTCTATAAAAATTAAATCATGATGTAAAAAAAAAAAAATACTTACTACATAATGGTTCAAAAAAACCATTATAGGATCGGGCCTACTAGACCTATTTGCTGAATATGCCACTGCATACATACAATTTTTAAATAGATAATACTTACCTGTTTTATAATAAAATTCATATATCCTTTTCTGCAGATACTCAAGATGATACCAGTTCTACTCCAGACAAACCTGATTCGAATACTGATAGTAAAGACATTAATAATATTATAACATTGATTATGATTAACTGTGATGTTGAAAATAAAGTGGTGCATACCTAATTTTTAATTTAGGCCCTCCACCATCTGGAACCCCTCCACCGCCTGGAACCCCTCCACCACCAGGAACCCCTCCGCCGCCTGGAACCCCTCCACCACCAGATACCCCTCCACCACCAGGAACCCCTCCGCCACCTGCCACCTCCCCGCCACCTGCCACCCCTCCGTCAACTGCCACCCCTCAGAGTACTTCGTCGGATTCGACTACTCCGCCACCGCCTTCCATTAATGCTAAAGGAATACCGTCAAGTCAATACAGAGTCATTTGCGATATTAAAAAAAGAAGACCCGGATTAGAAGCAGCGCCACCTCTATGCACAGCGATTGCATCGTCTAACGCTACTGAAGGTTATTTTTTATTAAAATAATAATACAAGTTTAATAGTACAAAAATTTATCGAATAATTTTTTATACTTCAGAGTAAGTATAGGTATAATATTGGAACATTTTTTTTCATCATGAGAAAAAGTGTTTGGTTTTATGATAATTATATCGATTGACAAATGAAGCATATTTGTATTCAAAGTATTAATATTTAAAAATTAAAATTTTTTTTATTATTATTATTTCACGAATGTGTATAATAGTATGCAATATTCCATGTGTTCTTTGATTTATCTGTGATACCATCGTTGGCATCGGTGTTTCTTTTTAAATCCAAAAACCTCCGATGGCATCAAAGATGGCTTTATCACTCACCGTGATTTTGAGTAAGTTGATGAGATGTAGATAGGTGGACTAAATGTGTTTATTATCTAAATTTTTTGATGGCGATAGCCGATAACAGTTAAAATATTTAATTATCATTATTATAGATTAAGGTTTCACGATGACACTGCTAAAATGATGTTCTTTTAATATTTCATGGTGCCAACAGTGATGCCACCGCCGATGCCATCACATATGATTTAAGGAACACATGGACTAATTGTGCACGGAAGATGTGTAATTTCTATAATATTTTTTTCGAATAAATACCATTATTAAAACTTCTAGAGTAATTCGCAGCCAAAATATTAAATACTGTCGTATTATTTTAATCGAACAACCATTTCCAATCATTATAAAAATATTACAATACATTTTTAACAAAATACTTTAAGTTACAGGGACTTATCTTACCTACGTAAAGTTGGTACTACACACAAAACACTACTTTACGAAATCACTCTAACAAACCCTACTCGGAGTTGTTGAAAATTATTAGACAATTATTAGAATTTGTTAGAAAAAATTATAAAAGTTATTACACTTCAAAGATTTATAATGCTAAGTACATTTTCAGCACTTCTTATAAAATAAAAATGTAAAAAGGGTATCAAACAGTATCTATAAGACTAAGCTTAGTATTGTTAGACAATTGTTGGAATTTGTTAGATAAAAGTTTCAGAAATATTTCACTTTAAACATGTAGTGCCAGGTACACACTCAACACTACAATAATTTAAACATGAAGAGAATCATACTGAAAAAATAAGTTTAAATTCCAACAAGTTTAAAAACACGTCTAACAAATATATTTAAATGCACCGCAATGAAATCGATATTAAAATAGATTTGTTTGGGCGCCATTTTACATTTATTGGAATTCAAAATAAATTTCGTTTAAGATTATTGAATTATTAGATAATCGCTAGTTAAAAATCGCTTTAAAAACATGTCTAACAAGTCTATTTTAATATCGATTTCATTGCGATGTATTAAAATAAATTAAACGTGTTTTTAAACTTGTTGGAATTTAAATTTATTTTTCCGCAATGGACGTATGATTCTCTTCATGTTTACATTATTGTAGTACTAAGTGTGTACCTGGCACTACAATACTGAGCCTAGTCTTATGGATATTGTTTACTATTCTTTTTACATTTTGTTTCATATGTAGTGCTGGACATGTACTTAGCACTACAAATCTTTGAAGTGTAATAACTTTTACAATTTTTTCTAACAAATTCTAACAATTGTCTAACAATGTCTTACAATTCCGAGTAGGGTTTGTTAGAGTAATTTCGTAAAGTTGTGTTATGTATGTGGTGCCAGTATCACGTAGGTGCTTATCTTCCGTCCGTTCCGTGAAGTTAGTGGACGCGGTACAAACACCAAAATCCGCTGTAGTATCAAGATTTAGCACTGAATTAGTGCTGGCGAACGGTACCATTTGCAAAATAAGTGCTCAATTTTCTAATGAAATATTGTTTTTTCTGAAGTTGTCCACATTGCGGACGCAGTACATTTTTTTAAACTAATGAACTAGGCGATACAAATGTCGCCTAGTGAAAATATATTGCTTCCTAGTTGATTGTATTTTTAAAGACTGGGCGATACACAATAATAAATTTTCACAAGAAGAATTTGTAAACTATGTAGAAAAAGACGTCCTAAGATAATGAGGACGGGTGCAGTTACTGTTATAAGTAATGTTATGTATACCTGTAAGAAACGTAGTAGCGTATTTTCAACATTTTTCTGGGAAAGGTCCTGTAAAATCATATGTATTTAAAAGGTTTCTCTATTAATAGATGCCTCTTTTTTTGAACGACATTTTATTGAAATTATATCAATGTTTGGGTGGGTCCAGACTCCCTAGACCTCCTCGTAAATCCGCAACTGAAGAAATGATAAACCATTGCTAACGAAAAAACGATTCTGAGAAGAGTTCAGTTGATAGTGATGCTTTGTCAACAATATACGAGTATATGTTATATTATGGTAAAATAATTAAACAGGTATTTTATATTTTCTTTAATAATATTTGTTATACTAATTTTCCTGTTTTTCCTACGTTTTTCCCGGTTTTCCCAGAAAATGTGAATAACCGGAAAAAACCTAGGAAAATCAAAAAATGACCTTATTAAAGGACCTTCCCAGTCAGATTTTCTTTTAGAAAAAGTGTTATCATTGTAAATTGGAGCAAAATTGCTGGTAGAAAAGTTGTTCACAGGAAAAAAGAAGGCCGTAATATTTTTTTGCTAATATGTACCTATATTTCGTACATTCTCTCATTTATCTTCCATTTTTTTCGGTTTTTCACGTTTGTTGAGAAAACTCCTGAGAAACGGCTCATAGTTTTTGTAGTATACAATCATAGTTTAAAAATATTATTTTCAACATATACAAATAAAATGTAATGCCAAACCAAAATTATCTTATTTACTATTCAATATTTTTCTTTTATTAAATCTCTACTACCTATTAACCTACCTAATTAAAATTAGCCAAATTTTTGTAATCGCCACGATCGTCTAATACCTATCAATGAAAAATATCGTGTCTATGCCCACTCACGTAAATCGTTATCGGAAACTATTTAACACAATGGAATTTCACGCTTATCATTATAAATGTATAGGTAAAAATAGTATTGTTATAACTAATTACTCATATTCTTTAATAATATATATATACATATGTACTATTGAATAGGTATCGATAATATGACAATATTATCTCAAATTTATTTATCATTCATTATTTAATTATTTTTCTATTAAATTTATAGTTTCTTATGACAATTTATTATTGTGTCACTCAGTCTTTAAAAATACGATCAACTATATGACAACATATTTTCTCTGGAGGACATATGTATCACCAGTTCATTATGTTAAAAAATGCACTGCGTCTGCAATGTGGAAAATTAAATAATAAGTGATATCCAACGCCTGGATAACATGTTAAAGTAGTCATGTGGCGTGCATTTTCATGGTGAAAAATGTTTGAAATTTGTATCATATGGAACATGTAAGAAATAATCCAACATATCAAGAAAAAAAATTATTTGTATAGTTAAAAAAAAATTAATTTTTGTATTTATATAGCAAATAACTTTATAAACAAATTAATTAATGAAACGATTAATGGGGGGCGATCGCTCCCTCAAATATTCCATAAAATTCTAAAAACAGATTTTAATTAAGCCTAAAGTGTACATAAGATCAACTACACCATTTTTCAAATTTTTACACTTACATTCCACAAATTAGATTTTAAAATATATTAAAGTATAAAACAAAAACCTGAAATCATCTACACTTTACACTGAATTTAAATTTGTTTTCAGAATTCTTATCGCTTTTCTACATTTATCGGACTGATTGCTGAAAAATTGATCTAAATTACCCCGGTCTCACAATATAAATAGGTAGTTGCCAAAGAAACAGCTCCATTTTCAACCACTTAAAATAACGATCATAGCATCCCACCAACCTATCCTGACCAAACTCTTTTATTATCAATGAGTATTGTTAGACTCCTAGTTAAACCAAGGCTATACCTACTCACTGTACAATGATTCTACCAAAATCTCTTAGAGATATATTTTTTTGAAGAACCATCTATTTGATCTTTATAGAGTATCCAAAAATAAGTGAATTATACTTCTCAGAAATATCATACAAATAATGTAACATACGTATTAATCGTAACCTGATATTAATAATGACATTTTGGGGATGTAAATAAAAAAATATACCTGCGATGTTTTATTGTGATATACTATTAATGTTTCTAAATGTTACCTCATGAGTAGTTAGGAATTTGTTGTTCTATAAAACTATTAAAAGCACTTATTTTAAAGAAAAAAAACACCTTAATTATTTTTAAAATCCACAGAAAAATTTATATGTTTTAGATTTGTTTTATATGTATTATATTTAATATATGACTACACCTATAACAGGTTTACAGTTAGTTTAATATTCTAAATTTTAATTAAATAAATAAAATGTCGTCTTAGGATAATGGAGACGGGTGCAGCCACTGTTATAATTTATAAGTAATTTAATTTAGGTATATGTGTAAGCAACGATAAACCATTGCTAACGAAAAGATGATTCTGATCGCAATTCAGTTGATAGTAATGCTTTGTCAACAATATATATGTCATATTATGGTAAAATAATTAAATAGGCATTATATATTTTCATTAATAATATTTGTTTAATAGTGTATCGATCTTCCCATTTTCCCTGCGTTTTTCCAGGTTCCCATGTTTTTTACCCGTTTTACACATTTGCTGGGAAAACTCCTGAGAAAATCGAAAAATGTTCTCTTTAAAATACCTCCCCAGTCAGATTTAATTTTAGAAAAAGTACTATCATTGTAAATCAGAGCAAATTTTCTGGTAGAAAAGTTGTCTGCAGGAAAAAAACGTAAAGTTTGCACAACAAATCGATATATGTATACAATATCGATATATATATACATGTATATTATTATATTATTAGATATAAAAGTCCAATACTAATAACATAATATAGCAATGATAATGTAACATAAATTACAAAATAATATCAATTAATAATAGATGTTATAATAGATTATGGAGTACAAAAATACTAATTTGTACATTTTTATAAAAAAAAACCTGAAACGTGCAATTTTGTTCAAAAAAATATTTTTTTAAATTAATCTACATCGCTTGATTTGGACTTGTGGCTTGTTTCTATAGGATTTAGAACACGTTATAATACAATTATGTAATTGCACGGGAATCTGGTCTTTAATTATAACAAATTATGCATACAATTTGACTATTAAAAGTATAGATACCTACTACATAATAAAAAGATGAAATATGATTATGATTATTCGATTTTTGTTTTTTTTCAGCCGGAGTTCAAGATATAGCTCCATATAGAGGATCACTTCCGTTCATGCGCATTTACGATGACGTGTTGTACGAACAGTGGAACGATGTTTTTAATTGTGTTGGTAAAATAACAGTACAAACGATAACTGAAAATATCAAATCAGATAACGTTTGTATGGTGGCCTTTGATTACATGTATAAGGTGGGTACTTATAACTAAAAAAAGTCTTTTAGAACCAACGTCATATATTACCTACATAAACATTGATCGCACTGTTGGGTGGATAATAAACTCCTGCGAAATTAGTTAATCTCCTACTCAGATAATGGGTATGGTGTAAAGTCTACACTGTAAACTCCTATAAATGATGATGAAAACTCTTACACCAGATAGTTTAACTCTTTCACAAGTTAAAGTGATTGCCTACATTAAATCGTATACAGTGTTTCAAAAGTCTTTATCTGATTACGAATTGATATATTCTATAATCAATAATTACAATCAATTAGGTACATACTACTTTATGTATCCTAGCTTCCCGACTTCCTACCTACAACAGTGGCACACCCAACCCCAGTATCAACTCTTTTTTTAAAAATTAATAATGATACCAACACATTCCTCGCTCTGTGATACATGCATTTTATCAATGTATGAAAAGTGAGTAATTTTAACATAGATATTATTTCATTTATTTAGGGGACGGCACAAAATGAGCCCGATTGTATTAGAACTCAACAGATTATCGGATTTTTATGCGAATTGAAAGCACTTAATCCTGGAACGTCTTTTGGAATTATATTATCGAGTAAAGTGCATAAAATCATAAATGGTTAGTGGCCATATTCATTGATAATTTATTTGTTTTTAATTGTTATATTTATATTATCATATTGTTTTTTTTTGGTTTAAAAAAAATTTGAACTATTGTTTAATTTTTTTTTTTATATTTATTAGAATATATGCAATCTGTAATAAAGATTACAATAAGCATATGAACTAAAAAAATAATAATATACATGGCTTGAAAGCTTGAGGAGAGTAGCTACCCAACAGTAATACTCAAACGCAATAAATTGTTAGGCTACTTTATATACAAATATTATGAGTTAACATTTTTTTTTTGTTTTTAAATTTTTTCTTTGTATACTAGTTAAGTTTAGCCAAATCTTGATTTAAATAAAAACAACACTTGCGGTTAATTTCTTACCAAGAGCCTTAAGTACCTATGTTATAGAAATTATTTATCAAATGAAATAATAATAACAAAGCAATATTCATTAAAAATGATTATACCTTTTATTTCAGCTTTTGATGTAGAAAGTTTGAGTCAGCACGTAGATTTTTATATAGCCAAAGCCTATCATTATAGAGCATGTGCAGAATTTCCAGAGCCACCACCGGATACAAGACGAGCTACTGAAGCTGATATGGTAAGAAAATATGTTTAAGCGTATAAATTATTTACAAATAAAAATTATAAATGGGCTAAGAAAAACCATTAACATTTTTACTAAAACAAAAAAATACGCATATGACATTTTATTTAATAAACTTTAATAAACTTAAATAAACTTTAATAAACGATATTTCCAAACTAAATCCGAACGTGACGGGCGATGCGTGCACGCAAATAAAAAAACTACTGCAAAGTTTAGGCATGTCCTCCGTTTAACGCACCATACAAAATAGAACATGCTTCTCTATTTTTTAACGCAATATTGTCCGGGCAAAACCGAATTTTTCGTGAATAGAATCAAATATACTTACAAATAATTAATAACATAATTAAATTTATTCGGTTACAAATTATTTTAAAAGGAGCCGTAATATTCATATATTATATATAAAACTTTTCGGTCAAAATTTGATATTAAAATATTCTTATAAAAAAAATTTCTACATTACACCTAATTTTTTTTTTTACCACAGAGGACAACTTATAAAGTTCTGTTAAATTTTAAACCATTTCATTTTTATCTAACAATTCTATCCACAGAGTATCTACCAAAAAAAATTACATAAAAAAATTCGCAAACATAAAATGCCTGTAAATAACTGAAAAATGGCTAAAATGTTTTAAAAATGTTACCACGTTTAGAAAAGGCAAATAAAAATTTTCTGTCCAAATTTTAAGTGTCTAAAAATATATTTAATTTAATTACAACAAAAAATAAAATTGAAAATAGTACATTTTGTAAAATTTTCCCGGTTTTGGCCAATTATTATGAAAATCGCTTAAAAAATCAAAAAGTAACCTTCTTAAAGTACCACTCAGTTAAAATTTCCGTTCAGAAAAAGTGATTCACTTGGAAATCGGAGTAAAATTTCTGGTCAGAGTTGTTTACATATTAAAAAAGCTGTCCTAAAGGTTAATGTTGTCAGGTGCAGCCACTATTAAAGGTAATTTAATGTATACCTGTTAGCAACGATAAACCATTACTAACTAAACAACGATTCTGAGCGAAGTTCAGTTGATAGTGATGCTTTGTCAACAATATATTATATGTTATACTACGGTAAAATAATTCAATAGGTATTATAAATTTCTTTTATAATATTTGTTTAATACTATACCGAATTTTTCGTTTTGCCAAGTTTTCCCATGTCTTTCCTGGTTTTTCACATTTGCTGGAAAATCGAAAAATAACCTTTTTAAAGTACCTCCCCAGTTAGATTTAATTTTCGAAAAAGTGCTGTCATTGTAAATTGAAACAAAATTGCTAATAGAAAAGTTGTCTATAGAAAAAAACTCAATATTTTTTTACTAATACTTACATTTCGTACATTTTCCGTTTTTTGACATTTTTTTCTCGGTTTTTCCCAGATATTATGAAAACCGCTTGAAAAATATACATCTTTGTAAAACTATAAGCTTCTTCGCTCCACTTAGAATCTAAAAAAAATTAGAATAAATATCATTGTAAATCAATGTAAATTAATCTAAAATGGTTACCGTTATGGGTTTTAACGAAATAGATTTTATTATTTTACTTTTACTCGCAAATCAAGTTTACATTTTTATATAAACTTTACAGTTCACCTAGGTAAATTAGCTTTGGAAAATTGAAAACCAAATCAATAATTTAACAAAAAAATCAGTTCTATAATAATTTTACTTGTCTGATAAATGAACAACTAATTAACAAAAATTATTTTGTTTTAGGAAGTTACGATTTGTGCTTTAAAAGACCAAAAGTATCCTTTGTGTAAAGTAATATTAATGATCGATATAATTGCGTATAGTTACAAAATAGGACTTAAAGTCCATCATTCCGGCAATGTAACTTATACTAATGTAAGTATATATTATATCAGAATAATATAAAATCAAATTATATTAATAGTAATTTGTATGAACAATAAAATATGTATTAAGAAAAACTTAGTTTGGAATAATATGATAAATTATGTCCATTGATGTCTGATATATCGCGAAAATTGACGTCCATGATATTTTTAATACCCAGGATAATATTCACTGTAAGTGGAATTTGACCAGGTGTAAATGGTGGACAATGTCACCAGTGATTATTAACTATCATTGAAACTAATATAGAAATTCCTCCCTTTTTCTGCCCCTGTCAAATATCATGGCTAGATAAATTTTGGCACAACGGTTTCAACTATTTTTTAGTAGGCATTAGTTGCTCTATGTAGATAATATTTCAAACAACCTATTTTAACAGGTTATAATTTTTGTTTTTCTTTATAATTATTTATATTATACATACCTATGGGCTATCTATATAAATATATTTCTAATTCTGAACGAGTAAGTAATGTAAGATGTTTTTTTTATTAAATTTTCACCGAAACTAGACTAAACTTTATAGTACTGTATGGTATATGTTATAATATAAAAAATATTATATGTTATATATTTATATTTATTTTATCCTATACAAAGTGTACAGAATTTTATGTTACAGCAATTTTCTCCAATAAATAATTAAAATGGAGAATACTGCTTAATGAAATATTTTTATTAAATAGTGTAATATAAAATTACATGTGAGTTTGAAATTTAAGACGCTCTTTTCGGTCGGAATATGGGGGCAACTTTTAAAATTCAAATAGCATTCTAAATTCCACAGATAAAAGAAGTATTTGTTAAAATTTATTTGATGAATACTCCATGTATATATGGAATTTTGAATAGTTACCTATAATGAGTATAATTAATTGTAGTAGATTACGAAAGAAATGTCTCAATATAGTTTTCCAAGACAAAACACAAAAATGGCCAAATCTGTAAAACATGAAGTAGAAAACAATACTAGGTATTTAAATTCCCAGTTCCATTCAGAATGCAATGTTTTTTTATTTTTTTCATTATTGGCTTACCCATTTCCAAAAATCTTGAATGAAATTACAAAAAAAAAAACATACTTCATAGTAAAACCACTAAATCCTTTCGCTCATAACCTTAAATGTATATAGTTCATTAGAAATAATTTATATCAATACAAATAATAGAATCTCAGAATTATAAACCATAAATAATTTTTCCACATATTTCTATAACGAGTTATAGATTCTAGATACATAAATACAGATCATCCATTTTTATATTTACATGAATAAATAAATATTCACAGGCAGGAAAGTATAATATACAACGTGTTTCAAAAGTCTTCATCCGATTACAAATTGAAATAGTTCAGCAATCGTTTATCGTAGGTTAACGACCTATATATAGTGGCGCTAAAATCAGCAGTCAAGTATGGCGGTAGCCACCCTTTTTTAATGGGTAAGTGATGATGGATCCATGATGAGTACTTGAGCCATATTTTGTATCGAATTATTAACTATGGAATATTAATTAAGAGTGTTCCATGGGAGATTGTTTTGTAAACGTAGGTGGTGGTCTATACAACTTTTTACCTGTCCACTTTCTTAAAACATGGTTCGCGCCACTGCCTACATGCCAATGGAAAGATGATATAGTCAAATTTATTTTAAATAATGCTACTGTTAAATTCTGTAATAATAAGTGAACTACCATCAGTTTATTTCGGAATGGCGACTCCGCCACAGAAATCGTTTTGCGTCCTCCGTTTTAGTCAGTACAAGTCGACAATATCTGTTAAATGTAATTTTCGAAGAGCTCATGGAAGTGAAGCTTTAACTGCTTAAAGTATTCGAAGTTGGTATTAAACGTTCCAAGAAATATTGGTTGTTTTTGTTTTGAAATTACTGTAGCTTAGATTTTTAGTGTAAACGAGATTTATGCTGTTAGATATTATTACAACTAATTTATGAATTATTATACTTGATTAAGTTTTAAATAAATTACTTTGGTATTAAACAAATTGTTATTTGACGTATTTTTTTTTCAGTTGTGTACAAAAAGATTCAATAAAAATCGTGTATTCTGTTTGGATACACTGGACCAGTTCTTTCAAAAAGTAAGATAATTCTTTCTATTGATGATAAATCAAATTGATACACTATAATACATACTGTTGTATGATGTGAAGTATAAACAAACCTTGTGCAGCAGTAAGACAGTTAGTCAAAAGATGATGTATAATACCACAGTCTAATAATATTAATGAAGTAAATCTAAAGAAACAGTATTTTTCGGAAGAATCGTAAATCGTGCAGGTCGAGAACAAAATAGAATTGAAATACTATATTAAAAAAAAACGAGGCCCTATTGGTGTGAACCAGATATCACAAAACATTATTATTACCTATTGACACTCAATTTGATTTTAAGGAATTTCACATTTCACGTTCAGTCAATTTTGATGGAATCATATTTTCTAAAATATTACAGTATCCTTATTTTTTCATTATTATTAATGGGAGTGATATCGCTACCAATTCTTAATTTTCGAATAGCAACCTATATTAAAGCTATAAAATAATAAAGTAAAAACAAAATTATTAAATGATTAATACTCATATTTAAATATTTAAACAAATAAATAAATGTGTCACCCACCTACAGTATTATAATATGTGTGTCAAAAAGTAAAACACAACTGAATATAAAAAAAAAAATTGAAGGAGTAAAAAAAATATATACAAATTATACAAATAATATCTTATACCAATACATTTTAAATAATAAATAATAATCAAATAATTAATCTTAACATATTTATTTCTATTAATAACTAATTTTAAATAATAATTATAATATAATATATAATATATAATATATAATTCTATTGAAATAATTTATTTCTATATAAAATGACTAATTTGTATAATTTGTTCTCTATGTATTCCTTTATTTTTTCATATTCCTTCGCTTTTTACTTTTTGTCATAATGATTTATAACCTGACGATGAATGTTTAATTCGAAACCAGTCAAATAATATGCATATAATACTCCAGGTAACGCATTAATTTATTTATTTATTTCAACATGTAAATTATTCATTTATAGGTATATCTATATTAAAATACCATAAATAGATGAAGTTTAAATTTAAATACATTTTGCTGTTGCAATTACTGTCAACAGTTACTAATAATTAACAGTTGAATATTATAATTTGATAGTGGTTTCAACCCTGAAAATATATAAACATAATTCAAAATAGAATTAACAAATAAGGACAATGTAACATTTTAGAATATATAATTTTAATGCATTTTTAAATAAAACATTTTTTAATTAAATATTTCATGGGGAATTACACTATAGCATAAAATTTGAAAAAAACTTGTATATATATACAAAACAGATTGTTTATTATAAATTATTTTTCTCATTAGGCCAAATTAGCTTATACGAACCAAATGATGGGAATATACGTGTTGTACGCCGATTTCGACGATCATGGTGGTGCGTGCCTTTGTAAAGACGAAACACAACAAACGACATTCCCCATATTAAAAGAACTAGTCAGAGCGTTAGATGGTCAAGATTCATCAGGATGTTTGGGAGGTTGTACTACATGGGCCCAGTATAACGACCAGAATAATACTGGTGGAAATTAGGTAGGTATGTAAAGTTAATAACAAAAATCATGCAGTTTTTATTCGTACTTCATGTTAAATTTAATTATATTATTTATCTGTTTCATGTTTTTACGTTTATAATTGTTATTTTATTTATTTCACATTTAAAAAATATTCATACGCCAAATAAAAATAATAGTAATTTCGTTAAATAGGGCATAATTTATAATAATAATAATTGTACATGTATTTCAAAAAAATCGCGATAATATAAAATTAATATAATATTATGTACAATTTGTACTATTATTATTACTGAATTTTGATTTTTTTTTCTTTCTATTCATTAACACCAAAATTATAATTTTGTTACATATTAACTCTTATATTATAGGGTAATCTATCGTAATTATATATCACGGGCCTATCCGGATTTTTTGATTTGGCATAATTTAAGCACTCAACAGGAGGAAGGTGACACACTCTCCTGTAAAATATATAACATTTTTTAAATTGAAGCAGATACGTCTGTTTTATTGAGGTAAAAATGTACTACGATAATATCGAACCGAAAGCGTACCGAAGAAATTAATCAATTAAATCAACTAAAATCATTCCCGATTTGTTAAACAAAACCCCATATTGGCTAATATTTTATTTATTGATATATATATGTTAATATGCGACCGATCCGGGTTTCCGAAAACGGTTCTTATCATTTTCGAATAAGTGCTATTCACTGCCAATTTTGATGCAGTACGTTATAAACAATAAAATATAATATCAGTGGTACATCAGTGATAAAATTTCTAGATGAAAAGGGTTCCTATGGCCGCAGCTAACCTACAGCTATAAGGTTTACCGGGCCAAAATTCGTGGGTCATCGTAAATAATACGCCGGGCCGCGACTCACTTACAGTCACGAGGGAAATAATAGTTTTTTTTGCAATACAGTGTCACACTATAGGATCGCAATAAAAAAATTGTGTTCGGTACTAACAGGCTAAAATAACCTTAGTCTACTCCCTCCCTTATAAACCCTTAATCCCTACATGCTCATTCAATAGGGCGGGCATTATTTTTAATAAACTAAATTCACGGGTAATGTTCAAGATTTTATAAGTCATTTGCTTGAAAGAAATAGGCTTATTTGAATCTGGTGTTAAAATAGAAACCTCATTTTTTTTTTTTTTAAATACAAATTTTAAAACACATGCGCTCAACTTACATCTCACAAGGTTTAAAATTTGATTATTTACTCGAATTAAATATCTTCCCATAAAAAAAAAAAATACATTTCGAATTATTATAATAGTTCCGTTTTACCATTTGTGTAAAACACAAAACCGTGTAGTATAGTCATTTATTATTGTTTTATTGAAAATCAATTAGGAGTTAATTTAGTTCTATTTAGGACTGTTCGGAGATTATGTTTCATTTTAAAATTGTTAAACAAATGTATAGCTTTTAAGAGATTACGTTTACCTATATTTTAATATTCCTTTTAGGAATATTTCCATAGGCACCGATATAATTATTTATAGTAGTGTAGATATTTCTCATAACTATATTTGTAAAATAAAAAACATCGTTTCTAGGGCACTATAAAACTAGTACCTAGAAGGAAAAAAATCTTTATTTTTAAAGGGATGATTTTAAGCGATTATTAAAAGAAGTTCTGGAAGACTAGAATCAAAATAATTCAGTGGCGTGGTGAAGTAGATTTCAATATACCTAAACTTCATGGTTGAAATAGGTTGAGTAGGTATAGGTTGGTAAGAAAAACGACAACAATAGATATTTGGTATTAATTAATAATCAATATCAACAAATAAATTGATACTATTTACTATTTAGTGAACTTTCAAGTATTGTGTAGATAAATATATGAACGATTTTCCACTTGATGGTCCATAAATTTTAATTATAAACCATTGAATTACTTTAATATCTAAATCTTAAATATAAATTTTAGGCTAGGTTATTGGCATTAAAACTGGCAAATAAAATGTTTTTAATAATAATAATATATATATATATATATATATATATATATATATATATTTAGGTACTTCCATAAGTGTGTGATATGTATGGTATTGAAAATTATTCTGGAACATTTACGAACATCGAAAATATGAGTTTATAAAATATAGATATTTATTTGTTTTCCATTGATTGACTTAAGAACATTTGTATAAGTAATCTAAGTGGATAACAACAAAATAAATTATTAGGAAGGTATTTATTTTATGATAGAGGTTGAATGAACAAATTATAGCATTTTTTTGTTTTCATACAATTAGATACATTCTTATTTTGAATGTCAAAGTAAGTATGTAGACCTTATACAACGATGTTGATAAAACGATTTAAATAATTTAAAAAATATCAATGTTTTTCAATTTTAAATTCTCGTCAAGCATATTATACTTCTATGTGTTTTATTGGTTTTCTATCATCTTAAATAAACAATCGTTTTACGTTTATCGTTGATAAAAATGTATGTCAAAAATTCATAATTTCATTAAACATATTATATGGAATATAAATCCATAATTAAAACTTCAAACATTTTTCGGAGAGTGATTACTCAAGGGTTTTCGTAGTACATCCTGACATTTGTAAAGCCCAATTAGTAAACCATATATTTCTATCAGCTCTACTTATTTCCTTTTTGAACTCGAAAAGTGATAAAAACTATTAAATTAGTTACTCTAATTATAAAAATATTCAGTTTAAACTAAGTAGTAACGAACAAATTTCTACCGCGTATTGTTAAACGTTTAATAAACCAGGTTAAGTATAGGCAAAAATCTAAAATACAAATTAAACGGTGAACGACAAAGTACGTAAGTAAAACGATTTTTTTTTTTTAATAATATAATAGTAAAAGAAACCTGAAATATTTTTCGGGTTTAGTACATGTGATAGGAACCAATTGCCAATGCCATTATTTCCAAAGCCAAATCGCATATTATTGATTTATCGTTAATTGTAATCTAATAAACAGGATAAACCACGATTTGTCTAAAAATCTATTATTTACATAACAATAATACACAGGTTTTTTTTTTTGTAGGTCACCATACCGACAAAAAGTAAGTTAGTGGTTTGTTGTAACAAAACGGGTTTAGAAACACTAGCTTACGGATCAAATTTAATTTCTCTTCCGTGATTTTTTTTAAATGCAGTTTTACTTGTTAGCTTACTTTTAGTGTTGTTCTACCGTATTCTGTAATTTACCCATAGGAGTAAATTCTATTGAAAACAAGCATAATTTTGAGTCAAAATTTTCTCCCATTAACTCGCTGGTTCACTCCGATCCTGGTCGCTATTGATAAAATTCCGGGAAAAACAAATATCTTGTAAAGTTCCAAGATTTTGGCAATTTTGTAAATAAGTACCTATTTTTATACTTTGAAAAATATCAATAATTTGGGGGGGCTTTCGATCTTATTGGATTGGACTAAGCACCCCTCAGCACCCCCTCCCCCAATTACCGTTTATGCCTTCATCATAATAATTCCTTTCACTTACGTTTTTATTAATAATAAATACTTAATAATACTAAATAAAACTTAATAATAAATTGACAGTCATTTAGAAATGGCAGGTTATAAAGGAAAAAATAAAAAATAAAAATTTTACAAAAAAATCATCCCAGGTGGGGATCGAACCCACGACCTTTGGATTAGAAGTCCAACGCGCTATCCGCTGCGCCACTGGGACCAGATGTTTAGTTGGTGGCTATTTCATAGTAATAAATAATTTAAGGATATTATTTTTCATTTTTGACTTAGGGTTAATTATATCAATGTGTAATTTAACATTGATTATGCATCCATTAAATTTATTAACCAACCAAGGTCAATGTTATTATTATCATTTTTGTAATGTTATTATGGTTATGACATTAAACAATGTTTTGATTTTGACTGTAACATAAAAATTATATTATACATTTTGAACTTAGTAGTACTTATTTTAAATTAATTATTTTAACCTGAACGAGCATTGAAACATAGTGAATTTTTAATATGACGCAAACGATTCCAATTTTGACGATGAGGAATTTGACAATTTAGCCTTAATGATTGCATTATTTCCTAGACAATCAAGAATATTTAAACCATGAACTGATCATTTCTCTTGATGGAAGGATAATACATTTTTCGATAGGTTTTGTTTACCGAAAAATTCAGTATGATTTATAATTTATAATAACGGAATCTGTTCTAAAATTGATTTGCAAGTTTATATTATATAATCAAACAAACATTTTTATCAAAAAAATCAATACTTACATCACATTCTGCTGCTGTAAAATTAATAGTACTAGTTGAATTACTTAATTAAATTCTCTAACTAACTTGAATTCTGAATTGAATAATCCTTTGTCATAATAGAAAGTATTAATAATTAAAAATAAATTATTAAAAACGACTAATGTGGAAAATGTTTAATGGGATATATATGGTATGAATAATATTATTATTTGAGTAAAAGTAAATGATAATTTAATTGGTGATAAGACAGAGTATCACGTGTATGAGTACAGACTGTAATACAAAAAAATTAAAATATTGTATAAAAACTACATTATGTTTTAATCATTGATTAACTAAATATTATAACTTAATCACCCACCGTGCAACACACAGAAATTTAATCAACGATTACAATTTGACCATTGATTTACTTAACTACTGTTTAATCACGGAACTGTACAACTGGGCCTTAAACGTTTAAAATTGTTAAATGACACGTCGCGCGTCTGTTAAAATAAAATCCACTGGCCATAGTTTTGAAATTCCGGGTGAAAATATAGTAACAAAAATTAAATAAAAAATTTTAAAAAAAACCATCCCAGGTGGGGATCGAACCCACGACCTTTGGATTAGAAGTCCAACGCGCTATCCGCTGCGCCACTGGGACTTGATGTACATCTTTACGTGTTATTATCAATTTAAAATAAACACTCGAGCATTATTATTACGTTATGTAGAAATATTATGGAATGCAATATATTTTATATTGTTCAATGATCAGCGATTTATATCGATCAGCATTGTCATTTGACATTTTTTTTCACGGGATGCAAAATTAATTTTAAAAATTGAATAATAAAGCTAATACTACTAATAATAGCACTTTGTTCACTTACTAACCACATAAAGAACAAAATTAATATATTTCTATAAAAAAAATTCTAATTTACCTACTATTTATAGCCCAAAGATACAGAATATTATATATTTTTTTTAATAATAATAAAATAAAAAGTTTCATATCTTTTTATTATTATCACTAAATTATTGTGATAAAACCACAAAAAAACATTTTTCTAAAATGTTTTTATCAATTTTAAAAGTCCCTTATGTCCCTCACGTTGTTCTGTCTCTTCCATATCCTTTAGTTTTCCTCTAAATAGTTACTTTAGTCCAGTGGTACCAGACCCTATATTCAGGTAAGGCAGATACCCTACCTCATAATATTTTGATGGTGAGTGGGTGGTTCAATGGTTGGGTCAGCGTGTTACTTATAGTAAATTATGAAAAAAAAAAATGTTTATAATTAATTAGTTAGTATTTAGATAAACTTATTTATGTAACCTACAGCCTAAAATCATGATAATTATAGTTAATAGATATAGTAGCATTTTACTTCTTACTAATATTACTATATAACGTTTTTACGGGCGGTAAAGTTTTTGAGCATGTATTTAAATTAAACTTAAAAACTGAAAGCAACACACCAAGATTTATCTTTAATTGTCTATTTATTTATTGATTTATTTATAAATTAATTTTTTTATGAATTCCACTCCTCTTACTTCGAGGAATTAGTGCTGTGACGGACCTAAATATAAAAAAAATAAATCAACTCGACATCATCAAAATTAAGATTAACGTCTCACAAGAATTGAACCAAATGTAAAAAATTAGCTTCAAATCACTAAGCACAACCATCTCATTAAATTAATAAAATTATTGCAAAACATTTCAATCATCCAATTCAATAATTTTATTTATTTATTATACTTAAACGTTATGTTAAATTTTATAAACTTTTCACGCATTCTAATTTTATTTTAAAGGTGGGCTGCGTTCAAAAATATTTTCTTCCTCAGAAGGGCGACAGTTTCAAAAAGGTTGAAAACCACTGCTATAGACAAAAATTAACACTAATAAATGAAGCTAAATTAACAAAAATAAAAGTTACATAATGTTTAAAAAAATAAAGGTACTAAACAAAGAAATTCTGATATATATCCTTCGTGTGATAAAATAAAATATATAAAAATGAAATGTTACTAAGCCTATGTTAAGGTAAATGAATATAATGTAAGTTTACCTTTATAAGATTTAGTTAATCGTACTACTAAAAGATCATTAGAGAGTATTAATTATTCGATACTAAAGATTTGAAGATTTTATACATTTTAATTTACACTCTAAGTGGAGATATGATGGGAGATCTGGGCATTTTGAATATCATCAAGTGTATATTAGTGGATAAGCTAGAAAATGAAAAAAAAAACAGCAGGTTAATGTAGAATGTAATCAAGATATTTATATCTTAATATTATTAAAATTATTACTATATTTTAATATTTTATGTTCATTTGAAGATTCTTATAATGATACTTGTAAAAATAGTGATACTCACTTAAAACTTACTTACTATATTTGAATACATATTACTAATTTGAAAATATACTACTATTTTAGAAAATATTAATTTGTAGCACTACTTTAAAAAATTTAAAATTTAAAATATTTGTAGTTCTTGTGCGTTTTTATTTTAATAATATTCAATTATCAAATAAAAAAGACGTCCTAGGATAACGGGGACGGGTGCAGCCACTGTTATTGATAATTTAATGTATACCTGTAGGCAACGATAAACCATTGCTTATAAAAAACGATTCTGAGCGTAATTAATTTAATAGTAATGCTTTGTCAACAATATATATATATATGTTATTTTATAGTAAAATAATTAAATAGGCATTATTTATTTTCTTTAATAATATTTGTTTAATGTTGTACCGGTTTTTCACATTTGCTGGGAAAACTAAGAAAATCGATAGATTTAAAATTGATTAATAATAACACAAACACGGAACTATTTTGTATTTAACATTTTTGACATTTAAAGCTTGAGTTAAGTCAGTTTCAGGTCAAAATATCTCTAATTAAGAAAATCTCCAGTAAAAATACCTCTAATAAAAATATCTCTGATGGAAATATCTTTTATAGACAAAATGACTCCTAAACAAATTCTCTAGGATTTATATGAATTTTTTTATTATTAATTTAAGATTGTCAGCAATCCCTCTTAAAAAAAAAAATAAAATAAAATTTCAATTGAACAAAAATTAAATAAATACTTTAAAAACATAATTAAATTTAAGATTTATGTTACAGTTTATGATTGTTGGAAATCCCTCTGAAATTTCTTAATTTTCCCGTTTTTTCCCAATTATTGTGAAAACTGTTTGGATCTTTAATAAACTATATTAAATTAGATAATTATCTAATATCTTGAAATAATTTTTTCATAATATACATAATACATATTTCTTGTTAAGTATTTCTGTAATAGAATATAAATAGAATAAAATAAAATTTAAGAGTATAGGCAGGTATAATAGATGTGTATGAGGAACGGGGTCTAACAGGTGGTGTATGAAACCGGATGAGTGTCGGGTTCATTCGGGAGTCGATGATTATAAAACGCATAATACGTAGCTACAGAATATTATTATGATTGGTATTTATTATTTGTCATGTGTGTGTTGGTCTACTACTCTGCAAAATATAACAGTAACAGTGAAAGAATCTTCTAAATTAAAACAGCAAGCGGTGAGGAGGTGCGTGTGATAGGCCCAAATGTTTGAACGTGTATGCGGCCTTTGACGATCGACGATTTTATGACCTAACATCACGGCGCTACGTTGCCACTCTGTGCGGCGGACAACTTAATGTAATGTGACGCGACGCGTTATACTACACAGAGTGATTCACTAAATATGCTTACTCCATTTATTTTTTATTAAACTGTGCATTCATTCAAATTCTGATTTTTGTAATTTTTAAGTGTAGTTAAAGCCGATATTTTCGAATACTTAGATTTTTCACACTTACAAAATATCCTGTGGCCATACCAACTTTGGTTTTTCAAATGAGAACCTATATTAAAAGTTCCATAAATAGAGTATTGCTTTAAATACATTTTGATGTCAACATTTTTGATTTTCGTCAACCCTTTAACGAGATATTCCACTTTTAAGTTTGTGTAGGAGCAGGTAGCGGACTACTAATAAAACACCACGCACCGTGCTGCCATACAAATGATACTCCACTACTCTCCCCTACCTTAACTTAAAAGTAGAATATTTCGTTAAAGGGCTGACGGAAATCAAAAATGTTGACATCTAAATGTATTTGAAATAATACTCCATTTATAAAATTTTTAGTATAGGTTCTCAAAAACCAAAATTGGTAACACCACAAGATATTTCTTAAATTTTGTGAAAAATCGAATTATTCGAAAATATCTGCTTTAATTAACTACACTTAAAAAATGAATTTTTCTATAGAACAACGAGAACTTTTGATTTCTAAAGTCCAAGACCTCCCTTGTGGAGTGATCGACATCCGGACTACAAAAAAACAGATTAAACGAACAAAATGTGGGAAAAAATTAAAAAACCTTTCCCAATCTCTTCTTAGTTCATCATAAATATGCGAAAATTCACTCAGTGTTTTTCGTTTTTTGTTCATTTCGTAAACTCCAATCCTTTTAGTTTTTCCTTAAAAAGCGTTTTCAAAATAATGAATTTTGTAGTAATAAAATACGCCGATATTTAGAGGACATTGCCATAATGATGACTAAAGGACTACTAAATATTGCAGACAACGCTCATCGCTCACCGTTCACCGCGCAACGCTCTCCAATGACACGCGGCCTTACTCTATGTCTCGGTCGCGCACACAACCTAACTGATAATTTAACATTAACTAAATGGATAAAATACAAATAATTAAATAGTTTTAGTTTACTCTTCTATTTTACTTCACTCTACTAAAATTAAAAATATTATTTGTTTATATTATGAAAGATAAATACCTATTTAATTTTCTTTGCTCATACTTTTTATAATACTCCTATATAAATATATACCTTTTAATTAAAAATATGCATTAGTTTTGCATAATTGAATGCTTTTATGTAATTGCTTGATTAATATTTTTTTATTTAAAATGTTTCATTGCTATATATTGCTACTATGCATATGATTTGCTTTATTTATTTAGATTGAAGTCATACTGTGTGTTCCTCATTAGATTTTTGATCCATCAGATTAGCAATCCAATGGATTTCGATGTTCCTCATCAAATTCGATTAATCTGATTACTAATCAGAATGCTTCTCGATGCATCGTAATATCAGATGATCAACCAACAGAGGTGCGCTAGATGATGGAAATGTGATACCATTATTTTTTAGTGTTATATGTGTTATCACCACGGTTTAAGATAGAATGGTTACGCGTTTAAGCTTAATGACTAAGTGACCAGGATTGCCTGGTCCCTCATATGAACTGACTGCTAGTGTCATCACTTCTATATATTTCACTAAATCTAGCTAAAAACAGTAATTTTCTTTTAAAATTTTAATTAGGTACCTATAATATATTTATAATATAAAGATTTATACAATATATTTTTTTATATATTAACTTATATTTAATCTCTCTAGGTATCTCAAATCTCAATTATTCACTAACTCACTGTTCCACTTTATGTCTTTGCACATTGTCAACCACTTACTATTCTACGGACTATAATATTGGCGTTGTTTAATTATAATTACATACTATTATACTAAGTACATATTGACTTACAACACATTTTTATAGTAAATATTTTTAAAGTAAATCGAGCATATAAATTCCTAATATATATAATTACAGACTTAAATAGTAAATACAAATTTCAACACAAAAAGAATAAACATGAAGTATTTATAAAAATTAGTTTGATAAATAAGTGATTAAGATTTTATAATAATAATAATAGGTATTAATTGTGAAATACTGAAATCTTAAAAATGTATTTAATTCATTAAAGAAAATATTTTGTTTAGTTACCTTTATTATTAATATGTTGTTTATTTTATTACATATTAACTAATTTTGATAACATTTTTTTTGTTCATTGATTAGCCAAGTATGAATATTGCCTCATTCGCATTGTATTGTACATTACATATATATTGGTCAATATTTCACTTTTATGTTCATGGCATGTAAATGTTAAATTCAAATCTTTGTTCTGAAAAATTTTTCATTTTCCAGTTTTCGAAATATTTAAAATAAATAATTATTAAAATGATTTAAATATCCTTTAGTTTTAATGTTGACAATCACTACTGTAGGATTTGATAAAATACCATTTTCAGCTTTTAAGCAGTTTAAACATACTTCACATTTGGTAGTCTTTGTAAGCGCCTTGTGATATATCTAATAACATAATTAATTATTAGTTGATTAAGATGAATTTAAAAATGTACACAAACAAAAATATATCATTATAAATGTACCTATAAATTATTTACATACGTTTTAAATCAATTTGGTAGAACTTTTACACTATTTAATGCAATACAAACTACTTGAAATAATAAATGAGCTTTGGTGCACTAAATATACAAAATAAACTAAATAATGACTAAGTAATATTTTATCCAATGGTCAAAATAAAGACATTATTATTATTAAACTATAGTAGTAGGGAATGATTTTAATATTTCAAATTATATTATATTATTATATGGATCTTTTTAAGTAATATTTATTTATTTATAATTACTTTTCTTCTTTTTAACTCTGGAGATGTAATTAGAGTAGTTTCCAATGTTGCTTTATTGAAATTGGGGCTTATCATCAATGCCTAAATATAATATGATATTTAAATAACAATTTAAATATGCTTGTATTTTATAGTTATAGTTAATGGCTTGTAGTTAATATTATTATTGTAAAGTAGGTAATTATGATTTTATCAATATTATTAAATTTAAAACTATTAACTAGGTACTATACATAAGTGATCTTACTGAATATTTTTTGATTCCTTTGCCACTTTTCCATTTACTAATGACATCAGTATCTTTAAAATGTTTTAGGAAAACACGATGAGTTTTTTTTAATGTCATCCCTAAACGTTCTTCCAATTTAATACGCTCGCTTTCAATTTTTGGGGCATCAAATGATGTTTTGGATTGCTCATGTGGTTTATGAATACAATAGTAATTAATCGTCATTTTGAAAAAAAAAAAGAATTTAAATATAATATACAGTGTTTATATATATATATCAAAGTTATAAAATAAAAAAATATATAGTTGATTTCAGTTTAACTCAATCATTTAAGTAGGTACCTCTGGTCGCATAGTGTGCATGGTACATTCCGTACAGAATAGAAGCATTATTAAAATAATAATATTCTATAGATTATGAATATGACCGCTAGTTAAGAGCTAGTCAATTGATATAAGCACTTTTTCCAGCCACTATTTTTCATTCGATGCGCGACCAGTCTATCTTAAACCGTGGTTATCATCATTTAGCCGTACCGATTATTTTTCGTTTTAATCGCGTTATCAATTCGTGTGTTCCGTTTTGTGTTTGTTGGTTTAATTATTTGCTTGTTAAATTTTTTTTTCAAAATCATGGACCATCAAAATGAATTTGAATTAATAACCGTATTAGATAAACCTATAATGAGTCACCACTTGATTTGACCACTTTGATACAGTGATAATAAATGTACTTATCCGATGTGATTTTTGTTTTAATTAAAACAATAAACAATTTTTCAATTTATTATTATTATTGTTTATCATGTATGACTGAAATAAATTTAACATTACGTTATCTGAAAAATCATTCATATTGAATATTATAATAATTTATTATAATTACAAATTAATATAGAATATTAACATTTTAACTATTTTAATATTCTAAAATCAATTAAATATTTTACGTTTTACAAAAACAGTGTTCCTCAACTATCAATTCAATGTCCCATCAGATAAGTACAATTTTTGAATGAGAAACATACAGAATGGTTGAGGTCAATAACTAGCAAAGACCGATTAAATTCATCTAGCATGGCTTCATATACATAGGAACATAAATATTAATATAGTATAATAATATATAAATAATATTATATGATTAGCCAAGCAAAAAAAAAAGCATATGCTTTTTTTATAATTATTATAAGATAATGAATTATAAGTCAATACATTTATAGTACATTATTTATAATTTTTTTTAAAACATTAATGTTAAAATTTATCATTAACATTATTAATATATAAACATTATTATATCTATAATCCGTATGTATATTTTGTATAATACTAGCTGCTCATTCGTGTAAACATTGTCATGACTTATGAGTGGTGGTTTACTTTTTTGTTTCAATACTTTCAAACACATGTAATTAAATCCTATAATATTTGAACATATTAAATATACAATTTAATTTTATACCTATTGGAATATAATATGTAAGTAGTTACTTGAAAGTGTTTATTTTACAATCATGTGTATCCATAGAAATCTGCCACTGACAAATTTAACTTAAAAATGCACAGACCAAATTCTTTTACATCAATACATTGTTAGAGTTAGAGTTTGGTGGAGTATTGCTTTGTCAACAAAACGTATATCATATTGTGCTAAAATAATTAAACATATATTATATTTTCATAACATTTGTTTAACATTGTACCTATTTTCTCGTTTTTTCTACATTTTTCTTGGTTTTTCACATTTGTTGAGAAAATTGAAAAATAACCTCTCTAAAGTACTTCCCCAGTGAAATTTCCTTCTAGAAAATGTGCTTTCATTCTAAATCAGAGCAAAATTGCTGGTGGAAAAGTTGTCCTCAGGAAAAAAAAAATAAATAAACATCTTTGTAAAACCATAAGCTTATTCGGTCTACTCAGAATCTCAAAGATAGACATACTTCGCTTGATGGATGCAGCCACTGTTATTGGTGAGAAGTTGGGAAAGTAGGATATATGACATTTATAGTATTATAAACTATGTGAGTATATGCTGTACAATACGTATATTACTTATCTCATCTGGCGTTCGAAAAAAACAATAAAATATCTTTTCGTAATAGGCATATCAAAATACAATAATTTCTTTTGTAAAACATTGTGCAAAAAAAATTTGATATTAAAATACCAAGAATTACAATATTGTATTCTGTCACAGAAAAACACCAAGATTATAATATAATACAGAGTATATAGTCGTGATATTGTTTTTAGTCGGTCCATTATAATATTATACTGAAGCAATTATTATTATAATACTTCGGCTAAAAGACTAAATGGCTGAAAGACTAAATTAGTACATAATATTATTAGTTAAATTATTTAACGTATTTTAAATTTTCAACCAAATAAAAACAAAGCTGTACATTTGTAAATGTTATATTTCGATCATTTTTAGTTTACTCCGTATCATTCGTTCTGTTGCGTATCAATATGTTACTTTTAGCGCGATTTTGTACTTAGAAACGAACCATTCAAAATTAATTTTAAAAAGTAGGTATATATTATAAGTATAATGTAAAAGTTTTCATACAGACTATTAGGTATATCAAGTCGAAATAATAATAACGATAATAATTTATTTAGGTTTAAAGTTAATTTTCCAATGAACCATATTTTATACTATAATTACATTAATTCTCGAATGAATTAACTTTTTTGCTTCATAATGTTTTTAATGACTCATTATTGTGGTTGGGAACTCTAATCATTTGTTTTTTCGACAGAATCAACAAACACCTAAATAACAATGCATTAAAAATAGTCAAAGTTCATAATACTACCATATATTTTAATTATTAGGTACTTAACCATTCAAATACATATAAAGGTATAACTAATTTATTTTAAAACAAATTATTGTTAATTGGGTTTTTGTACTATAATTTATCCATACATTTCCATTAATTACATACATAGTTTTTGTCATTTGACGCAGATGGTAAATTATTAAACTATGTGAAACACGGGTGTAAAGTATACTTACCTGTGTCCCTGATTTATTTCAAATTAGTTGACTTATATATTTTTAGTTGATAATAAATCAACAATGGTCTCGGCTATGCTTGAAATGGAAACACACGTTGTAAAATATAATACCAAAAACACGTTTATTTTCTTTATCGAATATATTATACTTTTCGTCCTTTTATTCTATCTATCTATTAAATACATATTTTGAAATATGTTTTATCTTAAAATACGAGTATGAAAAAAAAAAAACAACAAAATGCATTGAATTCAAATTTTTGTTTTAGACCTCTAAGTACAACTTAGAATGTACCTTGTTTTAAATGTTCAAGCACTTCCCTTTAGTCATATAATTTTAACAATAAATACTTATTACTATATCTAATAAAAATACAAATAAAAATACTAAAATGTCAAACACTTATAAATAGCTTAGGAAAATAGTTAGAATTTTTTGAAAATTTTACAAAGTCTACAAAAGGCCAAAATAATTATTTTGTAAAAATATAATATTTTTTAACCAAATAACAAAACATATTCCAAATACAGTACACTCGGTAATATTTCCTGCATTTTTTTCCCGGTTTTTCGTAATTTTATTAAAAAAATTTTACGGATAAATCAAACAATGACTGTATTACTCTTTCAAAATATATGCTTTTCTTGAAATTTGGACAAAGATTCCGGGTAAAAATAAAAAATCTTAACAATTTTAAATAATGAAATTGTTGCGCCGTAATTTGAAAAAATCGTATTTTTCGTTTTTGGTTTTTCCCAATTATTATGAAAACTACTATAGATAACAATACCCGACTTTCTCGGTCAGTGGCTATTATCATTTATTGCTGTAAACATTTCAAGTCTCTTCGAATATTTTTGTCTGAATTACAACAAAATTGATAATAATAAAATCATTATTTTCCTAAACTTTCCAGTTCTTGACAGTTTGAACATAATACTCTATGATGACACGCCGAGTAAAATAAAAATCAAAGTTTTAAAATTATAGTGAAAAAAAAACAAAAAAAAATTCATCCCAGGTGGGGATCGAACCCACGACCTTTGGATTAGAAGTCCAACGCGCTATCCGCTGCGCCACTGGGACTTGATATTTAAAATTATATTATATTATTACTTTTAAAACCCTTTATCGTCCCTATTGTTTTTCTATCCTTTCTGTATTTCTCATTCTTTCTCTAAATAGGTACTAAATTTACAACACTTAAGTTTCCTATATTGTAATATCACGAAAATCAAGAAAAGCCATCCCATGGCTAACACGATTGAAATACTTCGCATATTGGGTGGTGGACCACTGTTTTAGATGAGACATTGAAAAGGTAGCATATAGAAGAGAATATAATGTATATCTGTAAGTAAAGATTATGGTAACAAAAAACGATTCTGAGCCAATTTCGGTGAATAGTATTGCTTTTTCAACAATATATATTGAATATAGTAAATAAATATGTAAATAAAAAATATATATATACAAATAAAATAAATGAATGATTCTTATCACCCTTATTCTCAAAATTATTATTTTTTAATTCAATATTCTATAGGTTTGAATGTATTCCATTAAATAAACATAATTATCAATACGAGCTCAATATTATCTATAATATAGCCCATAAAAATAATTTCAATTATTTATATAGTTTAAATACTATTAAAAAAAATTATACTAAAGAAAAAATAATACACAACTCACCAAATAATGTTGTTAACTATTATAGTATAAAATATCAACATAATATGTCCAACGAATTTGCTAAAATTCTGAATAATAATTCTGAACAATTTTAAAAATAATAATAATTTAATCAAACGAATAAACAATAGAACAAAAAACTTCACAAAAAATCCCCCTTCTTTTTAAAATGCTAGTATATAAAAACTTAAATGTAACTGTAATAAATTGTATATATATATAAGACAAATAGACATTTTAAAATAAGATATAAAGAACACATTTCGGAAATAAAATTAAAAAAGACTGCTCCTAATTCAAATTTTACTAAACACGTTTTAAAAAATAACCATAATTTAGGTTTTTATATTAATACAGACTTAGAAATATTAAATACCCAAAATAACATATTAATTCAGTTTTAGAAGAATTACATATACACAATGAAATTAAAAAAAAAATTTTAATAATATTATAAATGTTCAAACCAATTTTAAAAATAATATTTTATATCAATACATTTCAGATAATAAATAATAACCAAATAATGTATATTTCTTAACATATCTGTGTTTAATGATAATTAATTTTAAGTAATCTCTCTGATTAAAATAAAATATTTCCATGTAAAATGACCAATTTGTATAATTTTATTTCTATGTATTCCTTCATCTAATTTTTTATATTCGGTCGCGTTTTAAATTTCGACTGTGATTTACCTGACTATGAATTTTTAATTCACGGAACCGGTCGTATAATACACTCATCATAATACTTCAGGCGACGCATTAATTAATTAATTAATTTTTTAATTTTTATGTATACATTTTGTATTAATATATTTACTTACGAGTATTTTATTATTTAATTAATATAATAATATTCATTATAGCAAGTACAATTAATTACACAGTAAACACATATCGTTTATCATAGGTACTAGGTAATAAAAATCTTTAAAAATATTGTCTATAATAGATACTACGAATATTTTTTATTTTACTGCATTATAAAAGCATAATTTCCGCTAATTTACCCATATTTCTGACATTTTTTCTCGGTTTTTTTTCCATTTATAAGGAAAACCGCTTAAAAAATCACAAAATGACCTCCTTAAAGAACCAACGTAAAAAAATTTTCTTTTAGAAAATGTGCTACACTTGATATTTCGGAGCAAGATTTCTGGCAGAAAAGTTTGCACAACAAATCGAAAGGAATTTTTGATCAAAATAGTCCAAGCAAACAACGGTTTGGGTCTCTAGGTGCACCCAAAATGCATTTGTTTTCCCTGTTACCTACCCGGGAAAACAATTTTTTCGGAACTCGGGTTTGAACTTACGATCTCTGGGATGACAGTTACGTACGACCACGAGACTACGACAAACATACTATAAAGTTGACAATATACTTAAATACTTTAAATATAACATAACATACATAATATCCTCGTAATATCAGAACTTCAGAAAGCAAAAATTTTAAAACTAAGTCCGCTCAATTCTGACTTTACTATCGTTCTTAAATCAGCCATATATATTATTAAATGTTTAAAAAAAAAAAACAACAATTTGCATAAAGCAGTAACTAGATTTGTCCCAAGTAATTTTTTACTCAAACAATTTTACGTCAAAAATTGATATTAAAATTCCTGAATATTTGCCGATTTTCCGGTAAAATTTACGATTTTCGTCAAAATTTGATACTTTTTAATACTAATTCTTATGAAAAAAATAATTTTATTTTCCACTAAATTATTATTTTTTTTTTTTATCACAACAACGACTTATAATGAACCTCTTGATAAAGTTGCATGAATTTTTGTTTGGTCAAACATTTATATTCACAATGTACCTACCAAATAAAAACTTAATTAAATTTCTGAATTAAAATGTCTATACCAATAGCTCAACAATTTTACCATATCCAGACAAATAAATATAATTTTTCTGTCACAATCTCAATTCTCTAGTAAACTCTCTACGAATATTTTCAACTGAATTCCATTACAAAAACAAAATTTAAAATAATAAAAAAATTATTTTTTGTAAAATTTCCCGTTCTTTCTTCGTATTTTTCGGTTTTGCATAATTATTATTAAAAAAAAAATTGACATACTTCGCTTTTGGATGAAGCCACTGTTGTAGGTGAGAAGTTGAGATGGTGGGATACAGAAGAAAATTTAATGTATATCAACGATAAACTATTGCTAACGAAAAAACGATTCTGAGCGAAGTTGATAGTGTTTGCTTTGTCAGCAATATATATATATATATATGTCATATCATAGTAAAATTATTACAATGTGCGTGTTCATGACAACAATGTTTTTTTAAAAAGGATTAAAATAATAAAAACTTTTAGTCTTTCAATCTATTTTAACCTAAAAAAAACCAGATTTTCCTCGCTATCTCGAATATTAATAAGAATTTCAAAAAATGACCTTTCTAAAGTACCACACAGATAACATTTTCTTTCAGAAAAGGTGCTATACTTAATAATCGTAGTAAGTTTTCTAGTAGAAAAAGTCTTCACATAAAAAAATAAAAATAAAAATAAACATCTTTAAAACCAATACATTCTTCGCTGAATCAAAATCTAAAAAAATACAAGAAAATCTGAAAATGAATTACTCACGAATGAAATTAAAAATTCAACAAAATTGATATCTTGTCATTTTTCGATTGGAACAATATTTCTGGTAGAAAACATAAGTTGGAAAAATAAAAATAATGAAATCAATAACTCTGCGGCGCGCCGTAAAATTTACCGTTTTACCTATAATTTTCTTTCGGGTTTTTTCCCCAATTATTTCGTAAACCCCTTAGAAATTCAAAAAATGTCCACTTTAATGCACCAGACAAAATTTGCTTTTAGAAAAGGTACTATACACCGAAGCAAGATTTCTTTCAGAAAATTTATTTAAAGACAAACAAAAAAAAAAAAAAATTGAAAAAAGCTCACATCTTAGTAAACCAATAGATTCTTCGCTGTACAATGCACAGTCGAAAATATCTAATACAAAAACAAAATATTTTCAGACTAAAATACCAAAACCAAAATAACAATATGTATTATGGAATAGTATTATTATTATCGTAGTATGATATTGTACGTAATCAGACTATCACTATCGGTATTCTTATTAATTTTTTGAAAAACAACATTCGTAGTTTGGAATTTTTCGGCGAAAGCGCAGCGCACAAGCTGATCGAATTTTAATTTGCATTCCATATATACGTTAAATCGTATATTGATCATTTTAAACATAATAATAATAAAACTGAAAGTGAAAAGAACATTTCACTACTTTTTTAAACCATAAGAAAAGAAGTCGAAGTATTCACGCAGAAACCAAAGATGTGAAAAAAAGAACTAATAATAATTGATTAATTATAAAATAATAATTATCTCGTTATTAAAACTTGTTTATTTATTGTTGTTTCATTGATTTGTGAACAATAAATTCAGTGATAGGCGAAAATCAGTAGTAAACTGTCTTCTCAACTGCAACTAGTAAGAACTAAGATTAATTAAATTGTTTCAATTTGTTTTTAATATAAATTGTAAATTAGATTAGATAAGAATAAATCTAATAAAATTTGGAAGAAAGGCGGCATATTAGTGAAGGCCTAGAGTTGCATTTATGCTAAATAAAGCCCTGCAGTCTACGACTACATTTTTACATATAGATTATTGATGGGTAAATGATTTATATCTTTATAAAGTGTGTAATGTGTATATGTTTTAATTGTTCTTAGATAGAAGATGCTCCTGATGATAATATTAATACTATTGATAAAAATGTTTAAAGCGATTCTGAGATTTATGTCAATGATATTTCATTATTAACTAAAACGTCTAAAAAAAATCAAACATTAACAGATGAGGAAAAAATTATGGTAAAATTTAATATATCTGACTATCTAGAATAATATAACTTATAAGTAATATTACCTAAATTTTCTAAAAGTCTTGTGTCCCCCTCACTCACAAAAACAACCTACGGAATTGCCTTATGTCTTATATTATGTTTCGAATTTTAGAGTTAAGCAATTATAATGTATTATATTATGTGTACTTATAATGTATAATAATTATTATACTATTTAGTATTTATATTTAAAATGAAAAAATTTATATTTTCTAGTTTCTTGCTTTTTGATTGGTTCTGAAACACATTTGGGTCCCCCCTAACAATTTTACTTTTTCAATAATAGAAAATAAAAAGGTCTCTCTTTATTTTCTGAAATTTAAATTTTCTTATTTAAATTTCAGTCATCATGTTTTAATTTATTTCCGTGGTTATCATATTCAAAAATTAGATGATAATTAAATGATAAATAGATAATTGTGTTGGTTTGTATTCGAAGTTTTTACTAACAGCATATAGTAGGAATGTATTTAAAATCAAAGAAGGGGGTGTGGAGGGGAAAATCCCCCACCACTTCTATATGTACATTATTCAATGCTTCGTCCGCTCCCTTAAACAATTCCTAACTGTGCCGCTGTATAATAAACATTTTTTTTGCTTTCTAAATAGATGTCCCACTCAAAATATTTTCAAATTAAAAAAAAAAAAATGTTTTTTTTTAAATTGAATATTCACGGCACTAAAAAATTCCACCAAATACTGTATAATTATATCTTTTTAATTTACCCAAATAGAAAACTAGAAACAAAATACCTACATTATTATGCGAAAATACCGTACTCGTACTATTACTATGTTATAAAATTGTTTGCGTTGCGGTATATATTTCGTAGCCAAAAAAAAATTCGTTTCGATGGTTAAATCGCTAAATGACCAATAAAATTTAACAGTAATAAAAATTATAAATATAAGATAAAATAAAAATAATAAGTAAAAAAGTGCAAAAAATTGTGTACCATCCCAGGTGGGGATCGAACCCACGACCTTTGGATTAGAAGTCCAACGCGCTATCCGCTGCGCCACTGGGACTTGATGTACATCTCTACGTGTTATTATCAATTTAAAATAAACACTCGAGCATTATTATTACGTTATGTAGAAATATTATGGAATGCAATATATTTTATATTGTTCAATGATCAGCGANCACTTACTAACCACATAAAGAACAAAATTAATATATTTCTATAAAAAAAATTCTAATTTACCTACTATTTATAGCCCAAAGATACAGAATATTATATATTTTTTTTAATAATAATAAAATAAAAAGTTTCATATCTTTTTATTATTATCACTAAATTATTGTGATAAAACCACAAAAAAACATTTTTCTAAAATGTATTACATAATAATTGTAAAAATTCTACGAAATTATCTGCATCTATATATTTTAAATGTGTCAAAAGAAATTCATGGATATACATACCCTCGTCACCTTGCATCCCGCAAATAATTTAAAAACTATAGGTACCAGTATTATTTTGATAGTGGTAATATAATTTTTCAACATTTAATGAGATCAATATCTATAAAAAAGTTTTAATGATTTTTAGCTCATCAAAATCCAATCTTTAACAATATCAGTTACAGTTAAAATAACAAAAAGGACTCAATAAAAATCCCGAAAAAAAAATCAAATTTTTGTTTTTTTTACGGACTTTGAATTTAAATTATTACTATTTAAGTATAATTTTCGATCAAACTCGTATAAAGATATTCGTATATTTGTCTATTTTTTTTCTGTTTACTGTCTAGAATACATACTAGTGGTAGGTACGTATCCATTAAAAATCAGACATTTTTATTTACCCAACTATTTAAGTAAGTTATTTAAATAGTAAAATAGTTTAAATAGTTATTTAATGTTACTTTTAGATTCTGAGTAAAGCGAGGAATGTATTAGTATTCCAATAAATTGGAAAAACTGAAAAAAAACATGGAAAATGATATGGAAAGCAGGAAAATAAGTAAAATATTAAACAAATGTTATTAAAGAAAATATGTAGGTAGGTAATGCATACTGTAATAATTTTACCATAATATGACATAGGTATATATTGTTGACAAATCAGCAATATTAACCAAACTCCGCTCAGAATCGTTTTTCGTTGCGTACAGTCCGTACAGACATACATTAAATTATCCTTTTACCTTCCCAAGTTCTCATCTACAACAGTGGATCACCCATCGTGCGAAGTCTGTTCGCATTTTTTTTGATAATTAAATTTTATATATTTCATACCATTATACTTATAGTGTGATAAATCTCAATCCGCTATCACGTGTTATCAGCGGGTCGTGGTAAATATGAAATGATGACGTTTAGACATTGAAAACGCACCTATATCGTTTTTGGACAAAAAAAAACTTTAAAGTAACTCCATGGCTTTAAATTAATCTATGCACTGATTTATGATACTACTTATGGCGTTCGAAAATAAAAATAATCAACTGTTTAAAAAGATTCAAGCCTAACCTGCCTAATTCTTGTAATTGTCGTTTTAAAATATAAAGTCGGGCAACTTCCAACCCTCCCACAGTCCAACATATTACAATATTTCCTTTTAATGAGAAAAATACGTTTCCCGTTTTTCCATAAAAGCGCTGCTGGGTAGACATATTTTAATGTTAAGAATCTTCGATGGCAAACATATAGATAATAAAGATATGAATAGGCTATGGCTATCCATATTATGGAATATTACCTTATAGTACCTTATTAGTATTTCAAGAAGGACAGGTACAGTTCCTTCAAATTTCATAAAGTCTCACATGTATATTTCTCCAGCCCCACTCAATACAAATTAAAACACATTTTCTTTATAAATATTTAGCATGTGATTTACATAATTTTAGAAACGGTCGTGCAAATTTATGCAAATCGCATAACTAAAAATTTGTATGAAAAAATGTGCAAAAAAGTTTTTTTTTGACTTGGGCGGGGCTGGGGAAACGTTTCTCCTACCTCACCTTCAGAAAATTGAATTTTCCGGGCAAACCAAAGCCGTGTAAATTTATGCAAATTTCATGATAAATATTTGCATTTTTTAAATTTGATATGGGTGGGGCTGGGCTGTTTACCACCCCTCCTGGAACATCGTCTTACTTAAAATTGTTATAGGAGTGGCCTATCCATTTATTTATTATCTATGCTCTATGGGTAAACACTAAACATGAATTATAATATTCATGGACTATATATAATATATATTTTAGTTCATGGTTATCACGATTTAAGATAGTACTTATTAGGTATATAATAGGTATAAATGTATAATTTATCATGTATCATATAAAACATAATTAGTATGATAATTATTGTAAAACTTAAATTTGCGTGGTTAAAAGACTTGTTATATTTGACCAATCACTACAGAGTTTTGGTTATAGATATTTTTATAAAATGTATGATCGTCTCAACAAATTTATAAGGTTTACCGTTCGCCAAACACCTATTGATAGAATATTTGACTGTGTAAACCGGGTTATACGGATATTAACATTAGAGTGAAACGGACGCCTTTAGCTCCGAGGTCACGATTCACTATTATAATATACCTACCTAGATGGATAGATGACCAAACATATTATTTAATAGGTAGTTTTCATTTTTAACTAAGTATACCAAACTAATTACTGAAACAAAACAAAATGGAAAGTTTTAACAACCAAGAAACTTAATTTTTTAAGAAGAAATTGTCCTTATTCATTAAAATTTTTTATTGAAGTTGAATATTGAAATTATTTTTGAAAATTTCGCAAAAACAATATGAATATCAACTATTTTGTAATAGACTAAACTATAGCCTATATCAGTGGTAGACAATTGGCCGCCCGTGGAAAGGAAATCAATGGAACGCCAATTTTTTTTTTTACTTTAACGTTGGTTTTTTTGTTTTCATTATTTGTTTCTGTGTATATCCAGAATATCCAAGCGTCCAAACGTAATCTATATTTATGATGTATTTGGCGTATTTGGTGTGTTTTTAATAAAAAATAAATATATTTATTAACTTACAAATTTATGTTTTTTTTTTTTTTGTAGGTGTTAAATAATACAAAATACCGAATAGATATAAAGGTTGAACTTTTATTTTTTGTTGAACTCCAAAAATATATGGCCTTTAAAATTTTTTTTTTTAAATTATCCGGCTTTTCTTAGAAACTAATTGCCGACCCCTGTGGTGGTCCTTAGATCGTATCGTTAGTTTATATTACTTAATCAGAGTTGGGAATAGTTACTGTCTAACTTATAACAAAATTCAAATATATGATGGTATGAATGACTATTATAATGTGATGCTAAACATGTGTCTCTAATTCTGTAAAAAAAAAAAAAAATGATCTTTATTTCCTGCTACCAAATGATGATAGTTAACATCACAGATTTAATATATCAATGGATACAATCCATCTATCTATCTCAGTCCACATTATAGCAAGTTTAATATTCAACTTCAATGCGTGCTGTTTGAAATCGACCAATTAGAAAACGATTGTCCGAGCTCGAACCAGAGAATAGGTACCTATTATAGCATAATATTAACTATTAGAGTGCATTTACACATTAACAAAACCAACCGACAGTCGCCATTGCGATAGTCGTTGTCGTGGAACTGTCGTCGTGTAAATCGTTCGACAGTAGTTGTTATGACAGTACCTACTATCACACTATCAAGCCGAGCTAGACAGTTGACAGTACTATGACAGTGATAAGCTACCTACCTAACAAAAATTGTGATTTGTATGCACGGTCTAAAATCGTGTTTGTAAGTAACTGTGTGTGATAGCCGATAGGCACCTACCTACCAAAGAACTTATCATATTTGAATAAGAATATATTGATGTCGGTCATATTTCGGTACACCTTTCCGAGTAAGTATCATATTAATAAACGAATACCGGTACATATGAGTTGCTTCCAAAAATGTACGAATCGCCTCCTATCCTTATCGTAAATAAAAAGATTAACATACACCAATGGTTTATAAACTAAACTGAATTTAATATAATATTTAAAATAGTATTTAAAATAATAATATAATTGGTCATTAAAAAAAAACATGTACATGAACAGTACTTTTTTTTTAGATGTCTATTATGGTTCAATTTATTTTCGTTCAATATTACCTAATCACTTTCGTCTGCTTATACAGCTTTGCATATTTTTGTCGTGCAATTCCACTATTCTTTGCTATTGGCTAACTATTTTTAAAACAGAATTTAAAACTATTAATTATTTTAACACGTTTGCTCTTTTCACTGATCGTATAATGAATGTTGAAGCTCAGATAACGACAGTAATTATTATACAAGAGATAAAATGTTTAATATTAGTCGTAACAATCTTTCAATGCACAAAAGTCTTAGATTACGACTTTGAATGTATAAATCCAAAATCTAATAATAGGCTATTAATAAGTAACAAACAACATAATATTACTTCGTGATAAAAGATTTAAACAAATCTATATGTTAATGTACACTGTTTGGAGATTTTTGAATCTTTTGTGAAACACTTAAATATTCATTACCCGCCTATTGAGAGGCGACTAGTAGTAGACCCTTTTCGTTTACGATAAAGTTTAGGGTACGTTAGGAGGTAGGGTACGTCAGGAGGCAATTCGTATATACCCGGGAGGCGATTCGTATTCAAATTATTGACCTTTCTGAACTCGGGAGGCGACTAGTATGCACCCACGAATACCATATTTAAATATCTCATTCACTTATTTATTATTAAGTATGCCTGTACTATTCTGTACCTATTCAAAAATAAAATAATGTCCTTCATAAATCGATTTTCGTTTTTCGAGTTTTTATGGATGAAATTTAAACACATTTCGTTATACCTGGTATTCGTGGCGCACTCGTGTGGTAAAACCTTTCACATCTAATTTTTGTACAGCAAAATATTCGAGGAAATTGTTATTCGAAACAGTGTACTATCAATACAGTTATAGCATATTATTCAAAATTGATTTTAAAATTTAAAATTTATATATATTTTTGAAATTTTTTTTTTAGAAATAATAATAATTATATACTGAACATATTGGTTAAATCAGAATTCTCCTATTGAATTTTCTTTTTATGTTGTTGTTAGTAAACCACATAAAACCTAATTATTTTTTATTTCATTCATTTGCATATTAAAGCAACTTAACTTTTTTACTTTTTTTTTTTTATTCAATGTGTAATAACATAAAAAGGTTATTGATAAAATGAGAATATTTTATCGCATACCAAAACACACATTTTGGGGGAAAAAAATTCAAAAATTGATTTCATTATTACATTCAATTTTATCATGAGATCTCTTTTCTACTAAATATCAGTAATATCTCAAGCGTGTAAGCCTTTTTGTTTCTAATACCTTATTAATAGTTGTTTTTTGTTTTTAATTCAACTATGCCGTTTTCCAATGCTGGAAATATTGATATGTTTAATTGTTACATAATGTGTAATAATAATATCACAGCTGCAGTTATCAATACCTATTAAACATATTATTGTTAGTTAATATTTAAAAACATAGATGTGTAATATAAATCTTGTTTTTAATAATTTTATCATCAACTTATGGTCTCATGTTATAATATCCCTAGGAAAAATATTTCCATGTAAGTATTAATTCAAAACCTGAACGTTTATTATAAAATTTGTGATTACAAGTACAATAATCATACTTTATATTATTATATCTTTTATAACATAATAATAATAATTTTATTTCACCAATAATAGAAATGATTAAAATTTGTTTAAAAGAGTAGGTATACACAAGACGTATTGGTCTATTCTCTATCCTCATCTACATCGTTACAACTCACTAATACGAGAATGGACCAAATGCTTCTCAAATACTTTACTCCCTATACATAACGATATAAACACTGGTCCTAACGTAAGACGCTTCTCAAATACTTTACTCCCTATACATAACGATATAAACACTGGTCCTAACGTAAGACTAACTCAAATACTTTACTCCCTATACATAACGATATAAACACTGGTCCTAACGTAAGACTAAAATCCTCCTAACGTAAGACTNATAATGAGTGGAAAATCAGCAATCCTGACAAAATCAACCTAATTAATGACCCAGTGGTAGGAGTACCGGGCACTGACCTCCCGAGAAGGGAATGGGTAGCATTAAATAGATTCCGAACGGGTCATGGAAAAACAGGACACATGCTCCATAAATGGGGACTCAGGCCTACACCAGGATGTGACTGCGGCTATGAAAAGCAAACTGCTATACACATTACTGATGACTGTAATACTCGACGACTACAAGGAGGAATGAAAGAGCTACACAGAGCCACAATAGGCGCAGTGCAATGGTTGAACTCCTTGGACATACAAATCTAATAGAAGACTTACGTATCTCACACATCCATTACTAGTCAACATATTACATATATAATTAGTTATCATTTAGCCAACTTTTATTTATTTATTTATATTTTTATCTTTCTTATTTTATATTTATATCTATTTTCTACTATGTTACCTATGTTTAACTGTGAATTGAATGCAATATTTATCTAAGCCATACGAAATAATAATAATAAATAATTGGTCTATTCATAAAGCCTATGGATGTGATGTGAATAGAACTTATAATTATAATATTTAACAGAATACAAATAAAATATAAAATCTATTCAAATTTGTTAGAGCAATTATACCAATTAAATTATTAAATCTTGTATTATGGTTATGTACAGAAATTTCAATATCTTTGTAATTAAACATAAATAGACATACATGTTTAAGGTATAGGTAATGCCTTTAAATTATTAAGGCTATAATTTTTGTAGATACTATTACTAGGTATAGTCTTGATAAGAATAAAGTAAATTTTAATGGTAGTATTAATTTATTAGTAAGTATATAATAAAAGCCTCCCCAGAAAGGTAGATTGTAAGTAAATAAGATGTAAGTACAGACTGAACCAAGCTAGTGAAGCTAGTGAATATTCAGATTTTCAATTTAGGTGATGAAATATTATTCAGAATACTAAAAATACAAACAAATTTTCGAATAACATTATTTATATGATTAATGTGTATGTTCCATCTTAGATGATAATCAAAATGAACTCTTAGATATTTAATAGAACTGACTTTTTTTTAAAAAACATTATTGACCACTTTTAATATTTGAAGATTCACTATTATCTACAACAACATTATACTTTGTATCATCCAAAACTTAAGTGTTAATACTGAAATGTAAATAGCAGAATTTTTCAATGTTTAATTGCAAAGAGTTGTTATCAAATCATTTTTTAACTAATGGTAAAATATAGTAAATAAATATTAGAAATTATTTTTTAACACTAAAAAAATGTTTATTTCAAAGTAATTTTTTAAAATAAATTTGTACGTGTTATAAATAATAAAATCGTGTTGTTTTTATAATCATTTTTTAATGTTTGAATGTTAGTTAATGTTTTTGATGGGGTGATAACTGTCAAATTGAGGACTTTAAAACTCATATACTAGTTTTACTTTTTTTTTTAAATATTTTTAAGTAGGCTTTTTTGACGATTTAAGCGCTTTCATATAGATTTCAAGTGCATATAAATCCGTGCCTAAGTCATTACAAACTCATAATCACATACCTTATGTGTAGTATCAGTGTGTGTGGTGTGACATGTGGTCTTATAAAACCATAATAATTATGATTATTATTAACTATTAATAATTATGCAAAAAATGGACTATCAATGTAACTGATTAGTAAGAAATAAATTTGAATGTTAACAAACTTTAAAAATGAATTTATAAAATGTATAATCTTGTATAATAAATACAAATCTCATTAAAAAAATTTACATTTTTTTTTAGTTTCAAAAAAATATATGATACACAAATTATAGTGCTGAGATGTCATAATTTAAAAAAAAACTTAAAAATATTCAATAGAAAAAAAGTTATGACATTTGTAAAATAGTCTAGTTACTCTGTATATGTCATGATAAAATAATTAAATAGGCATTATATATTATATTAAATAATATTTGTTTAATATTTATTGATTTTTTTTATTAGTAGGCTATACACAAAGCTAGTATATTCAGATAAAAACTCATAATTTAAATTTTTCACAATGAATATTAAATAACATATTAATGATAAAGGAAAATAAGTAATACTTTATTTATATTTTAAATCAAAAATAAATTGTTCATTGATTTTCAATCAAAACTTAAAACTCAAGGAATTCACAACAATTCTTAGCTCCACAATGACAAGGTTTTTTATTAACATCCCTACATTTAGCTTTTCTTGACTGGTAATTAAACACCAGTTCTGTACCAGCAGCAATGTCACGTAATGCAAAAAGTCCAATTCTAGATTCCCCATCCACAACCCATTTTACTGCTTCACAATTTGGATCACATGAATGGTTCATAAATCTATTAAAATAAAATATAAATTTTATTAATACAATGTTTCCAGTGTCATAACATATTTCATAATAAACATTTATTTCAATTTTTATTTTTTAAGAAATTAAATAAACACAATAAAAATGAAAAGTTTACTCAAGTTTATGATTAGATTAGATTAATGAATTTAGAAAATGAATTAATATGAAATTATTATATTCAGTACTAAATTTAAAAATTATAATTCAATCATTTTAAATTAGTTGCGAAATATTAAAAAAAATTCATTAAATTTGAATTATTTTGTACTGTATACAAATTATCTTCATATCAATTGAACCATTAAAATTAATTTTACCTTGATAAATTTCCTTTGGGTCCAGCATCAATTATTACAGAATTATCTAAACTCAAAAAATAGAAATTTTGTTCATGATTTCTTTGCATTTCATTCATTCTTTTTTTAAATTCTTCATTATTGAGAAGATCACCAACATACTCAATTATAAATGATCCTAAAATTATAATGATTAATCAACCAATTTGTATTTTTAAGAAAAATTATAAAAATTCAAACCATGTTTTATATTTTCCAAAGTTTTAACACCCCAGCCTTTGTTTTCTGTTAAAAATGTAGCCAGTTGTGGGCCCAATTGTTTTTCAAAATCTTGATTCTTGCATTTTTGACCAGCAGGGCAAGTTTTTGGATCACATTCAAAAAGCATTTGTCTAGGAGATAATTCAAAATTTAGTATAAAATTCAAAAAGAAAATTGTAATAAATACCTATTTATACAACTAGAGTCAAGACTACATGGATCTTCCTCGTTTGGATCACATTTACAAATGGCGTCTTTTTTACATGTTTTCAAGTTCTTATATTTTAATTTGCCAAAAGGGCAGTTAAACTTGATTTTAACATAATGGATAGGTTTCTTTAACAAAAAAAAAAAAGAATTGTAAAGACGAATTTGGTACAATTAAGAAATTTAATAATTTACTAAAGAAGATTTATTTGCTATTAAAGCATCACGTTTATTTTTATTTGAAATGTAAATCTTGTGTGCTTCAATTGCTTCAATAACAGCATCATGGAACAATTGATCTATATCCTTTTTTTTATTTTTCACTGTAGGTGCTTGATCCTGAAAAGATAAAACAAGAAATTTATTAACTCAATTTCGTTAGCTCAATCTACACACACACACACACACACACACACACACACACACACACAGATATATATAGGTAAATGTGATATCTAAAATATCAGATTATTATAAGTTAGTTAACAATTGTTAAAACAGTTAGTTAATTTACCCTGAAATTTTGTTAATTATCTTTTAAACATAAACATTTTGTTATAATTGTATAGATCATTGATGTTTTTGAAAAGTAATGATTATGTTCAACATTTTTTTGTTAAAATTAAGAAATAAACCACTTTAAAGTCAAATATTACCTTTAGTTTTGTAGTTAAAACCAATACAGTATAACCTCCTTATAACAGAATTTGCGGGATATCAGCTATTTTTTCAAAAACAAGGGAGTTTCCAGTTAACTGTTGTTGTCTTCTGTTTCAAGGAGGTTTCCACCTTATAGAAGATTTGTTATAAAGAGGTTTTGCTGTATCGACTTATTATTTCAAAATGGTTACCTATATTATTTAAAATTACATAAATGGATGGAATTTGTTTGATAACATTTTAGTGTTAACAATTTTTTTTTGATTTTTGACAATCTGTTGATGAGAATAAATTTTAAGTTTAGGAATGGAAAGAATTGTAATGTAGTGCTATTTGTATGGTTGCATGTTCCATAAGTGTTCTATTACAAATCTCTCATACCTAGCCAAACTTAAGAGCAAAATATATTAACAGTTAACTAATAGTTTATCTATTTATAGAATTTTTAACATAGGCTGCCATTTGAAAATCAAAACAAGGTAGTCACAAAAAAAAATTGTTATATACCATTTTAAAGCTATTGCTTGTTTCTTAATTTTTAAAAAATAAATACTTTTTAAAATAATGAGTATTCAATGATAAAGCCAACCACACTGTATATATTAGTTTACCTATAGACACATTTTAGTAAATGATAAATTTATAATAGTTTTGATTGCTTTTAAGAAATCAACAAGTGTTAGGAATGATATACTTTATTGTATCATATGTGAAAACAAATTTTTACCCCTTCATCAAACAAATATACTTGTCCACGGTTCATCCAACAATAATCCAGTGTTCCAAAAAATTGTACTACAAATTCTCCAACAGAATGCTCTTTTGCATTAACTGTATCTGGAACTTCTTCTGGAAACATAATTTGTGCCGGCCACCACCTAAAATAAAGGAATAATCTTGGTAACCTTAATTTAATAAAATTAACATTTTTGTTTTTTTTTTTTTTTTTATTACAATATTGTACAAAACTATTTAATTTTAAATTGAAAAAGCTGTCCGAGGATAATGAGAATGAGTGCAGCTACTGTTATTGTAATATTTTGTATGCAGTGATTAACAGTTGCTTGAGAAAAACCGATTATAAGTAGTTCCATTAATAGTGTTGCTTTGTCAGTAATTATGTATGTTATATAAATAATTATACATAACATAATTACATACTCATTATATATTTTCTTTAATAATATTAATTTAATATTGTATCTATTTCTTCGTTTTCTTACATTTTTCATGGTTTTTCCTATATGTTAAGAAAACTCCAGGGAAAATAAAAAAAAAATGACTAACATAAAGTACCTCCCTAATGCGTTTTCCTATCAGAAAAAGTGCTATAAATTGAAAATTGGAGCAAAATTGGCGGTAGAGAAGTTAACCACAGAAAAAAAAAATCGTAAAACCATAAGCTTCTTAGCCCCACTCAGAATCTAAAATTGAACAAAACATATTTTTTTATAGCATACAAATTATGCAAGTAAACACTGAAAAAGGATAAAGTATACAATATAAAATTATGAACCAAAGAGAAAAACTATTTAATTTTTTTTAATGTTAGTATTAGAGTTAAAAAATTTCAGAACCCCAAAAATGTATCTTAGATAATATAGTGTTCATTACAAAGTTTAAAATATAAATATCTTTCAGAGGAATAAACTATAAGATGAGCACAACTATCTTATTACATTTTAGATTCTGAGTGGAGCAAGGAATGTATTGGTTTTATAAATTATGATTATTTTTTTTTCCTGTGAACAAATTTTCAGCAAGTAAGCTCCAATTTACAATGCTAGTGCTTTTCTAAAAGGAAATCGGAATGGGGTGGTATTTTAGAGAGGTCATTTTTTGATTTTTCTAGGAATTTTCCCAATAAATGGGGGGAAAAAAAATTTGGAAAAATAGGAAAAAATATATTTACACAAAAATTAAAAAGAATGCCTATTATAATTATTTTACAATAGTATTTTTGACAAGACAACACTATTAACCTCATAATCATTTTTCATTAGCAATGGTTAATCTTCGTATACAGATAAACAATAAATTATATATTATGTTATGTAGAAGGAAGAGCATTGATTATAGAGATTAATTAATGTCAAGAACAATTAAATCCGATTTTGTTGGGTGAGTATCTCTCTCTACAACCGCACACCCTGTGTTAGCCTATGGCTAGTTAGGAGGCGCGAAGGTTCAAGAGTTTCCTGAGTGGCGAGCCGATTTGGCGTTCTCCTGTGTCATTCTAAGCACTGTGGAATCCCGAAACAACGGAGCCATAAACGCAACGGAGTATACAAATGGGTTAAGCTTTGCCCATTCCCCGCTATTGGTATGGCCGCAGCCTAACTCACTCCTTTCCGTTTTTGGTCACGGACAGCCTTCGGTGTGGTGAAAGCCCGCGGATAGACTGAGTAGGCACCAGGGAGATACCCCAGTTCACAGCCGAGACTGCTTGCGAGACCATTTGACCTAAAGCTTTCCTTGAGTTAGCATGACCCATAACCACATAGTCACTCAGGTGACAGCCTTGATGTCAAGGACAGTCTAGATAATTTAAATGTATCACATTTAAAATTATATAATGTAAGTATATAGTTTATGACAATAATTTTTTTAAATTCAGAGAAAAGTACCTTAAATTATGCAGCAGGCCATAATTGCATTTTCTAATTGATTATTTCTCTGAATTTAAAAAATAATTAAAAATCACAAATTTAATGAAAATAAGTTTATAGATCAAAATTTTCAGAAAAATTTACTATAAAAAGGCTATTATAATATTTGTAGTCCTTATTGCTGTGAGTTAAATATATATATAAAAATGAACAGAATTTGATTATCTTTAATATCTCTGAAGATATTACAATGTGTATCAATCTTTGTAGGACACACTGTATACAAATAAAAATTGATAAAAACAATTTAAAAAAAATATAATAATAATTTAACGAATTAAATGTTGTACTGTACCTATAAGTTCCTAGTTTAGTCCAAACGATTTCACCATACACAGGAAACCGGCCAGATTTGCATTCATCACAAATAAAACCACCATTTTCAAATTGTGATGGATCATCATTTGAACATTCGAAGTGGAAAGAATTTGGACAGAGTTCACAGCGAACCAATGGACCACCACCTTAATGAAATATATTGAAGAATTATATTACTAAATATATCAAAATAATTTAATACCTATTTAATATTTTTATACCCACTTTTTGCACAAATTAAACACCAGCGAGTATTGTAATGGCGTATAGTATTTTTAGTATCTATATGTTTATTGCAAATAATATCAAAGTATGATAAAACTTTACTGCCAGCTGTTAAACAGTATTCACCTACATAATATAAAATATTATAAATATGATTAATAATTCATTTTTATTAGTTATAATACTTCGATGATATGATGTTGGACATTTTATACACTTTAATAGTTTTCCAGTAAGGACATGTGTTTTCCTTCCTTTTAGAGGATTATCAGAAATGCAAAAATGACAATTATGATGAGGACACATAACACGATTGTCCTGTATCCATAGGCTTTGTGGCCATTCTTCTAAGCAATTCGTATGAAAAAAATTACTACAATTTTCTATAAATAAAAAAGACAATGATAGTTTTAGTTATACAAAAACTTATTCTTTTTCCTGTTATTGAATTATATGAGATAGTATAACTTAAAAAATATTTTACCAATATTTAAAAAATAAAAAAATCTTAACTTTAATGATACATTATCAATGGCAATAAAAGAAATAAAATAAATTCAAGTTTTTAATTCATCCATCCTAAAATTTATTAATAAAATTTTTAATTTGAAAAAATTGATTTAAACTAAAAACCCAATATGATACATGTATATTAGGAATGAACTGATACAACATTAACCTGATATCCAATATAAGTTAATGAAATAAAACCAATACCATTTAAAAACTTAAATTCGTTTATTACTTCTTTCATACAGTAAGGATATTATAATCATTTTTCATTAAAAATATCAATTTCTTTTTAAAAAAAAAAAACTAATATTGACAAAATAAACCAATAAATATGAAAAAATTATTAGTCATCCAAATAAAATTATAACACATTTGTAAAAAATAAAAATAAAACAAAAAAGAAAAAATAGTAATATATTTCACTAACTGAATTTACAACTGACTAGTTCTTCTTTCTTATCAATGGGAGATTCACACACAAAGCAGACACTTTTACCATCTGTACATTGGCTGCATTTATTATTGAAATCATTTTGAACTAATTGTTCATGAACCAAATTTTCATTTAAATTATCCATGTTCTGTTTCACTGTTGATGATCTCCTTTTATTCCTTTTACCAGATCCTTTTTTAAATTTTGTTGTTGATTTGATTTTTTGTCGATTAATAGCAAAACAGTGTCTATGAAAATGAAGGTTGCATGAACCCTCACATTTCACAGTATTGTTTGCATCAGTGCAAACAACACACGCATGATACTGGGCTTCCTTTAACAAAGATTTTCTAAATGATTTACATCGTGAAAGAAAAGATTTTGTTTTCTTTAGAATTTGAGTCTTTCTTGTTAAATCAGATTGTCTATCTTCTTCAGTATCATTTTCTTCATAATTATCAGGACATGGTGGCAGTTTTTTTCTAAAACAAAAATGCTTTCTAAAAACCTTTCTAAAAACAAAACAGGCTGTATTAAAATAAGAACATCACTCCAAATTATATTTTTACCACCAGCTTCTTCAAACTAGAAGAAATATAAATCAAATTTAATGTTCTTGAGGTTATGTTTTAAAACTAGCTTAACAACACAAATGAAAGTTTTGAAATATGCAGTCAAAATAGTGATTTGATTATTATGCAATATATTTCTTTATCAGACTTGGAAACTTTTTTTAATATATAAAATTTGATAATAAGTATAAAAATCTATGTATATTTAGTAATATAATGTTATTTAAATATTACCTTTTAACTTTTTTAGAAGATTCTGCAATTGGTTGTTGTATGATTTCTGAATTTCTATCAGAAGTTTGCTGGGATTTTTCTCTGAAACCAAAATTAAGGAAAATGTAATATCATTAAAACCTAACTAGAAGATAAATTTCATAAATTAATTGTAAATGAGAATTTTTTTTTTATAACTGGCTTAACAACATCACCAGAGTAAATTTTGAAATATGCTTCTATCTAGTGGATTTATCATTATTTAAATTATGTTTTTATTAGACTAGGAAACTCTTTTTATTATAAAAATACTAATAATTAATTTACAAATCTACATATATATACATTAAGATTATGTTATGTAATTATTACCTTTTAACTTTTTTTGATGACTGAGCATTTGGTTGTTGTATGTTTTCTGAATTTCTATCAGAAGTTGGCTGGGATTTTTCTCTGAAACCAAAATTAAGGAAAATGTAATATCATTAAAACTTAACTAGAAGATAAATTTCATAAATTAATTGTAAATGAGAATATTTCTTTTATATCTGGCTTAACAACATCACCAGAGTAAGTTTTGAAATATGCTGCCATCTAGTGATTTGATTATTATGCAATATATTTCTTTATCAGACTTGGAAACTCTTTTTATTTTAAAAAATTTAATCATAAGTATAAATTGTTACAAATTAATGTAATATACATAAACATAATATTGTTATCGTTTAGTAATCTCTAATTTATTTTAGTTCCTAATAATATTAATTATTTCTATCACATGCTTAGTCTGTTGTCTGGCAATGTATATTGAATTGGTACCTACTTTTAAAAAGATTCTTTCAAAATGTCTGGTAATATATGTGCATATTTTAATAAATATTTATTTTTTTTAAAAAAAAAACAATATTTATAAGTAGGCGATGAAGTAAACTTAATGTAAGTATTTTATTTTGTTTTTTGAACCTTTTTAACTAGTATACTCAGAAAAACGAAAATTAATACTAAGTTCTACTGCTGTTTTATATTTAACTCTGAAACATTTTTATGATCATACAATGTCCTCACATTAAAGAGTTGATGTTTTCATTTCCAGTTACATTGAAACAATAAAATATACAAACTATAATAAATATGCCCAGCCCTAGTATCAAAAATAAATTTGATTAGGATGATACATCAATGAAAAAAAAACTGAAAATTAATTACAAACACTATTTAACTTTTTTAAAAATAAAAGATGTTGTACTACTTAATTAAAAAAAGAATTTAAACATGTTTAAAAATCATAGTGACATTAATAATATAATTAATTAATTTAATTTTCCGCCAACCAATTCAAAATCAATAGTAACAATGCATCCATAGTCATTGATGGAAAAACAATTATCTTTAACATTATTTTACAAATCTCCCAATGCCTATAATTTTTTAAAATGAAAAAATGTTAATCTACCAGGCACTGGTAACGGATATCCATATCTGTACAGGAAATATGGTGTTGATTTAAAAAAAAAAGTAAGTTGTATTGAGCATGCGGGTACCAAAATGGTTAAAAAATTGAAATTTTTCTGAAAATGTGTATTTGGGTACTCCCTATCATTCCTCGAAAATTCCATTTCAATACTAGGTCATCCAACTGAAATATTTAGTAGTACCTATTAGCATGAATGCACTGTTTTCGTTTTGGGGACCACTTACAGTATACATGAAGACCACAGTTAAGGCAAGGTTGCTATAAAGAGAGTTAATATATACCTCTATCAACATATCTATAGGTCTAGGATGACAGATGATCAGTTCAATAACTGTATATGAAGAATGTATATTATTAGATAAAAAATTTAAATAAAAATTCAAAAATAGAAAATAACTATTATAGTTATAAATATTTCATATACATATATCATACCTTGATTCATGTTCTATTTCTGAATATAACAAAGGATCGGTAGAAGTAGAAGTCATTGGTGTATCTATTAAATCAAATAAGTCATATTTATCAATTAGTGAAACTTTTTAGTGGATAAGTTTTTGTAAGCTTACTGTTTACACAACCATCCAAAGATTTGTTTTCTGTCTTTTTGAACCTTTTTGAACTGAAAGAGGCTTGGTCTGGTATAGGCTGTTTCCTTGAATGTGACATAGACTAAAAGTAATAAGGAAGAGCGGTATTAATCCTGTTAACAATATTTTTTATAAATTACATGTAACTATTTTGACATACAGTATTACTCTCAGAATCATCCGGAATAGAATATTTTGTATAAAATTGTTTTAATCTTCTTTCTCTGAAAAATTGCCCACACATATAGTATATTATGATTTAAATTAATAAGTATATCATTTGAATTCTAAACAAAATATAATCATAAACATCATTACTCATTAAACTTCAATAGCTCTTTTGCCTCTGTAATGGCCAATTTCCACATCATAAATAATTTCTTTTTTTTTTGGAAATTGAACTAAAACATATTATGCAATGTAAAATATTTTTTTCTTTTTAAAATGTAGATAATTTTGGATACTCACTTTATATTTTGGATATGCAGAAAATAAAGCTTTTTTTCCCTGAAACAGAACAGTGTTTTTCACCCAACTTCTTTTTCCCTGGTCATTTAAAAATCGTACGTGTAGAGAGACATTATTATTTTCTGAAAAAAATAAATCTATTTACTACTTAGGATGTTAATGGTGTAACACAATAATAAAAAAAATATCTCATGACAAATTAAAATAATTTCTATGCTATAATAATATCATGATATTCAATAATCCTTAAAAAAAAATATTAGGTATAGATTTATTTTTTATTTAGATTTTATTTTTTGATTTATTTTATTGATGAATTTTATAACTTGTGTTCATTAGAAAAATAAGAAAAATTACTTTAGCATTGAGCGATTTTTTTTTTATCAAAATGAGTACTTGTAAATTAAAATAGTGAAAAATGTTTCTTAGTTAATTTTTCTAATTATGTGGTTTTTATTGCTTTGGTTTTATCCATAGGTTTAATCAAAACTTACTGACTTATTTAATTTTATAGTTGGTGCACATAAATCTTGAAATTAGCATTTTTGGAATTATAATCCAAAATGAGTACAAAAATTGACATTTTTAGTGTTTTTTTTAATTATTTAATTTGTAGTTTTTGATAACAAACCTTTTTTGTTTTAGACATACTAAGTCTATCTGGCTTAGTTTCAGAGCTATACACGTTAAAAGTCCCCTTAATTAATGACTCATCTAAACGGAAAAAATTGCACTTTATTTTTTTAATGGTTATTAGTATATGGTGCATTGTCAACAAAACAGACACCATAATTTTTATTGTAACAGAACTTGAAAATATAACATTTTAAAAGCATATTTTAAGGTGTAATTTTTAGCAATGAGATCCCACTCTTGTAAAATATTAATTACCAGCATGTACATCAAACCATTCATTTTATGTTCTAACATTTTACAAATTTGTATGATCAATGTAATTTTATTATTTTAACTATGAAACAGATAAAAACCATAAAAAGAAAATACTGTTTTATAAACTGAATTGTCAATTTTAATGATGAGCATTTGTGACAACATAGTTTGTTAACAGATAAAGTATGGCCATTAAACTTAATTGAAGATTAATATAAAGATAGATTAGTTTAGAATGGATTTTAAAGTCATTTAAATCAATAAAATTAATGATGCTATTGTGCAAATTGTTTTAGTTAGTTATTTAGCTTTAACATCTATAACTATAAAGCATCTCATATATAATACAGTTAATCATAAGACAAATTGTACAACTATAGGATGAGATGAAGTTTGAATGTGCATAACACCTATTGTTCAACAATTTCGTCATACAACAAATCGTAATATGTGTGGGCTCCTCTATACATTTAAGGTTTGATCCATTTAATATACACTAATCATATATAATATTAAATAACATTATTATGACGCTTTTTACCAATATACAAAAATAAGGAGTTATACAATTTATAGTATGATAAGTTGTGTGAATGTGTGTTGAATATTGTGTACTGCAAGTTAGTATGACTAGTTCATACAAACTGGTGTGGGTATCATGTTTGGAATGCTTAAAATGAAGCCAGACAGACTTATTTGGTCTTCAACAATAAAGCTTTATCAAAAACTACAAAAAATGAAAATATTCATTTTAGATTAATTTTAAAAATTATATTTTCTTTAGATAATTATTAAAAGGCAAGCTTTGGGTATGATTGTATGAACAAACAATCTAAAATTACAGTTACTTGATTTTTTATCAATATAATATTAAAACCTAAACAGTTTATTTTGATTTTAAGCATCACAATAATTATATATAGTGTTAGTAGTCAGAAGGTCTACTTTTATACAATAAATATATACCTACTTGTGATTTTTTTAATAATATAATTAATAAACTGTTATATTTTAAAAAAATTACTATAAGTAGAGTACAACTTAAGTAGATAACTTTGAATAAAACATATTAGATAGCTTAATTTATATTAAAATTATAAATTTTAAAATTCTTATTACTAATCGAAATTATGAACATATTCAAAATCAATTATTTTGTTTAATATACTATAAAAAACTTACTCTTTTCTTTGATGAAGTCTTTGGTATAAGGGTCTGGGCATACTATACAGGGCCAAGTTGGGTACCCGCTTATTTTGGCCCACAAAACATCCCCAATTCTGAAAACTTTTTTCTGTTCCTTTATACGTTTTGAATTATTCAATGCGTTATTGAATGCCATAGTATCTCTAGTATGAAACTGCAATAAGAAGAAACCACTTTCATTATGAATGCATATAGTATTCATATATCATCATTAAGGTTTAATATTAAATTTTTATATAATATAAATTAAACTTTCACAAAATATAAAAGAAATTGTAAGTAGGTAATCAAATATGATAGTGCACTATATTATTATTACCAATACCTACTAATTACAAAGACAATATTTTTGAAAAGAGTAGGTATATATAAATATAAAATAAAATTACTATAAAGTGCACACATGAATATCCACCATATTATTCTACTGTACAGAATGACAAGAATAATGATTCCAACGAGTAGCAATGATCACAAAACATTACTATGAACGAACATGTAGGTACACATTTAAGTACCTATTTATAATTGTTAATTAGTTCCTGAAACTCAGCGATTATAGTTCTGTATTTCTCATCACTTTACGCACTTATGACGTACCCAGTGATCCGTTGAAATCATGGAACATCGGTTATTCCTATCAAAATGATGTTAAAAACGAACAACAATATTTTTAAATGAAATAATAAGATCTACAGCGAATTCAATGAGCAAGGTATTAAAAAATAATTTTAGAAATTTAGAAATTTGGAAATTGTTAGTTTCAAAGTTTGTAGGTAGGTATTGCTAATACCAAAAACATCAATAGCAGTACGTAAAATAAACCACACCAAGTAACGAGAACAACTTGAACAGCTTTTAAACAGTACACATTCATTCGTATACATTTGCGCACGCGTAAAACTTCTACCCGCTAAAATCTAAACCGACCGTTATTCAAGCGATCATTAGTGCCACCTGCAGGGACATAGATAATAAAGATTTATTATCTATGGCCAGCGACTGCTGACAACCATATCAGTAATGTAATTAAAGGTTCGGAATATAGATGGCGCGCAAGTACTAATATCGGTATTAAAATATATTTTAGCATTTATTACATTTTATCACGATTTAAGATAATATATCATGTGATGGCATCGGTGCTATCGGTGTTGTTCCTTTTTAAACCTGGAAATTTCTGGTGGAATACAGACTAAAGCGGCCCTCACACGATCAATACTATTGACAGTATAGATACTGACAGTATTTGAGCATATTGACAGTATAGTCCTCAGATAGTCGGTATTTAATTAGCGTCAATACTCAGTATTAATTTGTGATTGATTGTGTTTGATAAATATTTTTGTTTTATTTAATAAAATAATTATAGTCGTATATGGATGAACAGCAAAAATCATGTATAGCAATTATATTAGCCTTATCCATTCCAAATAATAAACGAGTTTCGAGAAAACGGAAACGTTGGGTAAAACAATGGATTTCCAAACGAAGACAGTACACTTATTTAAATGTTATAAAAGAAGTGCAACTTTCAGATCTAAAGGACTTTATTAATTATTTCCGAATGAAAATTGATAATTATAATCAACTTTTAAGTATGGTAGCACCATTAATTACTAAAATGAATACCAACATAAAAGAGAGTATTTCAGCAAACGTAGTATTTGTCTATCTCGGGATTTACTAGTACACGTATTTTGACTTTTGTCATCCATGGCTGCGAAAAACATACTGACGAACTGTCAGTATCTACCTCACACGGTCAATATAATTATCAGTAAATAAATACTGAAGGCTCGATATCCAATTTTTTCATCAGTCATCAGTATCGTTTTTTCATACTGCCAATACATTAGTACTCAATCAATAATACTGTCAGTATCAAAATTACTGTCAATAATATTGACTGTGTGAGGGTCGCTTAAGAAACCTAACCTTTCTTAGTCCATGGATGGCATCAAAGATGGTTTTATCACTCGCCGTGTTTCCAAGTCGGTTGATGAGATGTGGATGAAAATTAAACACATATGATTAAATGTTATCATTCATATGACAGTGGCCGCGACCGCTAATTAATAATATAAATTGTGTATTTCCAATAGGTCCGTACACAGGTAGCGTTGTTCTGCTTTTGACTGCAGCGGTTCTGCATTTCTGTTTCTGTCTTTATCATTGATACGATATACTCCACTTTATTAAATATGTAATTTTATTGATACATAATTTGTTTATTTACAAGTCCCTACGAACTATTTTTTAAACTCTTCGAGGTGCCATACAATTTACAATACACTGTACTTATTGGGGCCTTTTTAAATTAATTGGGTGTACCCAATATCGTCTTTTAATAATATATATTTTTATTAATTAGTGACGTTTATATAGCGCATATGTCATAGCTATGAATGTTTTTAAGAACTAGTTTTTTAAGAATCTATTCAAACCACCCGACCACGACCTCTGGCAATTAAACCACTCCGTGTGTTAAAGCAGCTTTAATGTTGCTAACAAAATGGCCGCCATCCTTATCTAAGTCGCGCCGCTTCGACTAGTGAAAAGAGGTACAGTGCGTACGACCGCGAGTTGCTCGCCGCGTATTTGGGTACCCGTCATTTCCTTCACGCAATTGAAGGACGACCGACAACGCTGTTCACCGACCACAAACCGCTGATATACATGTTTTCGCAAAAAGCTGAAAAGGTCATCGACCGCCAGGTCCGACACATAAATTTTCTGTCACAACTCATTACCAACGTCAAACATCTGCCGGGTGACGAAAACACAGTGCCGGACGCGTTGTCAAGGTTGGAAGTGTCAGCGACGCAAATAGTTTTGCCCAGCCTGAAACAATGGTCCGCCGATCAAGCCAACGACCCGGAGCTTAGGAACATTCTGTCCGGCGTGGTCAAATGCGCGCTCGAACTGCAACCACGAGCCACCGCCGAGGGTACGATCTACTTGGACAACTCGACGAAGCAGGTACGTGTGTACGTGCCGTTTCAGCATCGTCGCACGATTTTCAACGGACTACACGGTCAAGCTCATGGTGGCGCGCCCGCGCTACCTTACACCTGATCAAGTCGAGATATTGTTGGCCCGGTATGGACAAGCAAATCAGGCGCTGGACCAAGTGCTGTATTCAGTGCCAGCGTACTAAGGTGTCCAAGCACACAGTTTCACTCATCACGCCTTTCGCGCTTCCAGAGCGACGGTTCGGACACATTCACATCGATTTGGTTGGCCCGCTACCTCCTTCCAATGGCCGCAGGTACCTATTAACCTGCGTGGACCGTTATACTCGCTGGCCAGAGGCATGGCCCATCGACAACATGTCCGCTCACGTCGTCGCCATAACGCTCACGACGCACTGGATAGCTCGTTTTGGCGTTCCCGACGTGGTCACGACCGACCAAGGTCGACAGTTCGAGTCCGAGTTGTTTGCAGCTCTTACAACGACCCTCAGCGTTTGACACCTCAGGACGTCGCCCTATCACCCGCAGTCAAACGGTATGGTGGAGCGGTTGCACCGGACCCTCAACTTGCTTGCCGCGCGGGACGACATAAATTGGAGTTTGCAGTTGCCTATCGTTCTACTAGCGCTACGGAACACCATCAAACCGGACATCGGACACACTTCCGCCGAGTTGGTCTACGGTATGACACTGCGTTTACCCGGCGAGATGTTCCACCCCGCTCCGTCCGAAGCAAAGACACCGCCCGAGCTCGTCAAAGCGCTTCGCGATTCGATGGCTTAGTTGCGACCGACGGCCGCGTCGAATCACGTCACTAAAAGGTCAGTTTCCCTCAGGACCTGAGCAAGGTCTCACACGTTTTTCTCCGCGTCGACGCGGTCCAGCCACCTTTGCGGCCGTGGTACGAAGGCCCCTACGCAGTATTGGAACGACGCGACAAGGACTTTAAGATCCAACGCGACGACAACACAGTCGTGGTCTCCGTCAACCGCCTGAAGCCCGCGTTCGTCATCAGGGAGGACCCTCTAACAGTCGATCACACCTACTCAGCTCGCGCCGAGGCCATTGAGAAGCCGGAAAAACCTCGTGTATTGGTGTAACCCACCAAAAGGTGAATGTTTATTTTTATAGTATTAATAAAGAACAATGTTATAATATACCATGTGATAATATCCCATGCCCTATAAAAGATTAAATATTATGTACATTGTACAGTTAAGTTCAAAAATGGTATCTCATGACTTATCAATTTAATTTGTAAACATTCACCTCTTAAATAACGATTGTTGGCGATATTATTTTATACGTATAAGTTGCCGACATATGGTGGTGGTAGCATGAAACGTTGTAACGGGGCCGACATGAAAACTGAATTATTGATGAAAATATAAAATTAAGAATATTGAGAATTGGTATACCCGATTTGTCATAATTTATTAACCACATGTAGTTTTAACCCGTCGATGGTGACGCTATGAGCATTTCGCTCATACAATTGCCATTTTTAGAACCACTGGTTCATATATCATTCTATTTTTACAACATTATATATAATTGCTTCATTGAGTTGTTAACGAAAATGATTACGGAAAAACATTAAGAGTTATAAATAAACTAACAACGTTATCGAAGTCCAATGTTGACAATACCGTACTGATGGCGTTACCATGTTTTTTTTATAAATACACTATTTTTATTTTCGGTTTATTATCTTATTATTATTATTCTTTTCTTATTATTATATTCCATATTATTTTTATTATTATTTGTCAGTACTGCGGTGCATCTTCATACGCTAGCATGTTCGCGTAAAATACATAATTATAATTACGTGTTTACGAAATATTTATACGAAAAATGTCTCGTGAAAGTGCGCACAAAGTATGTGCTTGGTTGGATAAATTTGACGAAGACGTTAAATTGGAGGATAGTGATGATTCTGACACTGATCAAAATTTCGTACCAGATAATGTATCTGACTTGCGTTATAATAATAGTGAAAATGAAAGTGAAAATGATGATGATTTTGACGATTACAATAATAATACTAGCACTACTTCTGCACATGAGTTTTACTTGGGTAGAGATGAAAAACAAAATGGTATAAAAACTTTCTTACTAATAAAACCAAACAACGTGCTCAGAACATTCATACTCAGCGCCCCGGTGTCATAAATATAGTCACTAAAAACGTTACAAGTATTTTAGATTGCAGAAAATTATTTTTCCCTGACTCTGTGATCATTGAAATTGTTATATGTACAAATATTTGCCTAAAATACGTGGGAAATATCAATGATCAAGTATTATACCAGATACTGATAAAGAAGAAATTAATGCGCTTCTTGGACTATTATATTTAGTAGGATTTCTACGTAGTAGGCATGTAAATCTAAAGGATTTATGGTGTGATGAAGGGTTTCAACTTGAATGTTTCCGATCAACTATGTCAGAACAGCGATTTTGTATTCTACTACGGGCACTCCGTTTTAATGACATTGAAACAATAAATTATAGAAGGACTACCAACAAATTAGCACCAATTCTGTTTTTGACGGATTTGTAAAACGTTGCTTTGAATATTATTCCAACGGTGAAAATTGCACCATTGATGAGATGTTCAAAGGGTTTAGAGGTCGATGCAGTTTTCGGCAATATACACCAAGCAAACCGAATAAGTATGGGATAAAAATACATGCATTAGTCGACCATATTACACGTTAAATATGGAAGTATACGTTAGCACCCAACAAGATGGGCTACTCAAGTATGATAATAGTCCTTCCAGCATTGTAAAAAGGTTAATTTCTTCAATATCAAAAACGGGAAGAAACATAACTATGGACAATTGGTATACCTCAATACCACTGGCCATTGACTTATTGGAAAATCATAAATCGACTATTGTGGAAACTGTTATGAATGTAAATCTTATCTATATAATCTACCTTATCTGTCTTATGTAATCTATATTATCTATGTAGCATTATGGTAATATGTGATAAGATTAGTATAGTATGCTATGGAGTGTTATTCTGTTTTGTCTAACAATTTGTATCCACATAGTACCTGCCAAATAAAAATTACTCATAAAATTAAAGTATCTATAGCCTAAATATGGCTCAAATATTTTAACAGTTTTAGCATGTAAAAAAAGCAAATATAAGTTTTTTGGCCAAATTTCAAATCTCTACGAACATTTCCAATTGAATTACAACAAAGACCACAATTGAAAATAAAAACATTATTTTCGTAAATTTACCGTTTTTTTAAGTTTTCTTCCAGATTTTCCCAGATATTATGAAACATCAAAAAAACTTCCCAATGTACCATATAGATAATATTTCCTTTCAGATGTACACATATCGGAGCAAGATTTCTGGTAGAAATTTTTGTCTCAGTGTTGTTAAATGATATATTGATTATATCTATCATATCTACATCTGGGCCAATGACTATGCCAAATGTAAGTCCAGTGCTTTTGGGAGGGGGCGATTGCCTCCATTGCCCTCCTTCCCTCAGTGACGCGCCTGGTTCTGAAGTGAGACCACCTGTTTACCTATTCTATTAGACCAGGAAGGCTGCTGCGATTTCGTATAACGCATAATATTATTTTGTAAAAGGCCATCGTCCAGACGATAAACGCAGAACTAAATGCTACGGCAAAAATTATAAGATATTAAAATGTGTAACGTACTGTCCCGTAAAAGAAAAATATTGTCAATGTACGGGACATAATCGATTTGAAATTGGTAACTTATTTATACATACCCCATGTTACTGATTAATCCGCGCAAATTTAATTTGTACAATAACTATCATTATAGTTATTAGTACCACGGTCTTAGACTGGTAGTAATGGGGTAGTACTATGGATCTATATTTCATAATTATGACATACGATGATACGATGACTATAATTCGTTTTCAATCGTTGATCAAATATTTGGCAAAACTAATATTGTAGAAATGTTTCTAAAATATATTAAGTTTCACGTACACCAAATATTTGATAAAATATTTAATCATATGAACCGCGGGGCTTTAAGAAATCTAATTTTTCACAACCATCCCACAACAATATATTTTTTTCTTAATTTTCCTAAACGCTAATTTTTTTCAAAAATATACTCGTATTACAACTCCGCACGAAAATCCATAAAAACATTTATTCAATGACATTCAAAATTAAATGAAATGTTTATATATCAGTTAATTTTTTTCATTAAACTTCAAATCAGTTTAATTTTAATATTTTAAAATGAAATAATTTACCAATTTATCTGTTATTCTAAAACTGTTGAGGACTACGACACTGCTGTTGAACAGCAGGGCTGATACACAAATGAGTGAGAGCACTTGAACGTAAAAAAAAAGCAAAATAATACGAAAATTATGTAAAACCATGGAGTATAAATATAGGTACACGAGTAAACTTCAGAACTACTGGGAACACACATCCGTACATGAACGGATTTTGAAACTGCCCCGGATTGATGACCAGCCCTTGTGATCACGAGCTCTAGCGGTGACTAGCGGATTAATTCCGAAACTAGTGATCACGAGCTCTAGCCACCCCTGGTGGATTACTTCTAGAACTATAAAATAAACAAGAATGCGCGCAGTGGCATTCCGCCTGATAGGTTATCACACACGTTATACCCCGCGCCACTATACCACTACTACCGCAACTTTCCGTACCACCAATAGTCTCTCCCAAACCAAAATTAAAATTAAAATACTCTTCAATGGATTGACGAGAATCAAAACTTTCCACGCCAAAATGTATTTATATATAGTTTGCCGTTGGAAAATCAAAAGTAGGTACCTGTTTCACCCCCAAAAATAATAATAAATAAAACAATTCGAGTGAGCCCTCATTGTAACTATTTCACGAGGATATCAAAATATCTATAAACTTAAGTAGAAACTATAATAGGTAATTATTTAGGTAAATTTTTACGGTTAATCTCTTAACTGATGATGAATTATTAGGTTTATACAATTTTTCAAAGATTTCAACAATTTAAATATTTTTAATTTTCAATTCTAAATAATAATTAAAGTAACTGATAATAACTGTGCAATATATATTTATAAAGTGGAAAAAATAGTACTTTTTCACGAAAATAGAACGCAAAATGAATATTATTTAGAAATGGCAACGAAAACAAATCGTATTATCGAAGTTGGTAAACCTAATACATTTTTAGAAAATTAAACAATTAGAAATCTTTACATTCGGCATTAGGAATGATTAAAATTTAAAAATTATGACGGAAAAAATAATCCCCCGGTTTAAAAAACAGATTTTGGAAAAAAAAGTTTCCTGGGCGGGTTAAACAATTAATATTTGTATGGAAAAAAACTTTCGGTAAGCGCAACGGACATAGAAAATAATGGGTACGCGAAATACACAAGCATAAAATGGTCGGTACGATGACGCTGCGGCCACATTTCATAAATTCGCCGTTTTCACGAGTTTCGGAGTGGGGCACACTCGTGGGCCAATTCCGTTACGACGGCGCCCGGCGAGAAACGCAAAACTAAATGCCACGAAGAAAATTACGATCCGGTATAAAATAATATAATAATGTGGAACGGCACAGTCCCGTAAAAGAAAAAAGGAAAATATAATTTATAATATTATAGAGAAAAAAAACAAAAAAGAACATATGGGACATACTCGATTTGAAATCGGTAACTTGTTCATACCTATCCCGTATTACTGTAATTGCTAGGGCCCGGATTTCAATGCAAAATGCATCTTTTTTCGGTTAATCTCAGACAACGCTTTTCAAGTTTATCATTTGATTCATGTAACAGAGACTTCAAAGGTGACATTTTTATTTTGCATTTTTTAGCTTTTTTTTTGCATATTTCAATATTTTATTCATTTTTAGAACATATTTTAGCATTTTTCGGTCATTTTTTCGTTTTCAAGGCATATTTGTACAATATGCGAGTATAATATATAGACATACAGTATTTATACATTTTACGGCCATAGATTAATAATATTTGGAATATTAATTCTCAAATACGACTTAATAATCTAAATATAGCTAATTCAAAATATTACTCGTGTTTTTCGGATTTTTTCTTACAATTTATAAACCATTCTATACATACAATATTGTCTATCTTATCTTTATTTATAATCGCTCGGACATGGCAAATAATAAATAATATTATTAATTGGTAAGTTCGTATCACGTCTTGGTGGGGCGTTAATTTCGTTTTTCGTTATGTTGATTCGTTCGTTCGTACAATGTCTAAAATAAAATAATCTACTTCTTCGGGCTTGGGTGACTACGTAAATGAATTTGGTAGAGATGTATTTACAACAGATAGAACTATTTTACTCTGTGAAATTTGTAAAATTAAAGTTACGGCTGAAAAAAAATTTTCAATTCAGCAACATATTTCAAGAGAAAAACATATTAATGGATTAAAATTGATGAAAAAAAAAATGAAAAACCTCAACAACTCTTAAACAACGTATTAAACAATAATAAAACAAACATTTTTAATAAAGAACTTTGCATGGCTATGTTATCAGCAAATATTCCATTTAATAAACTGAAGAACAAGTTACTTAGTAATTTTTTAGAAAAACATACGGACAAAAAAATGCCAGATGAGTCTACTTTGCGAAAAAAACTATGTCGATAAATGTTTTAATGGAACTATTAATTCTATTCGACAATACGTTGAAAATAAAAAAATATGGGTTAGTATTGATGAGAAACCTGACGTCGGAGGTAGTTATGTTGCCAATGTAATAGTTGGTACACTAGAAATATCTGAGCCCGGAAAATCTTTTTTATTGAACTGTGAAGTACTGGAAAAAGCTAATAATAGCACTATTGCAAAACTGTTTGACAGATCTATGGGTATAATATGGCCAGACGGAGTAAAACACGATAATGTTTTATTGTTCGTCAGCGACGCAGCTCCATACACGGTTAAAGCTGGTAAAAATATAAAAGCTCTGTACTCAAAAATGGAACACGTCACATGCCTCGCACACGGTCTACATAGGGTAGCTAAAAAAGTGTGAGATCATTTTCCTAAAGTGGATGCATTGATATCAAATGTACAGACATTTTTTTTAAAAGTACCTTCAAGAGTACTAAAATTTAAATGTATGGGCCCAACTATTCCTTTACCAACTCAACCAATACTGACACGTTGGGGTACTTGGTTAGAAGCTTCGGTATACTACTGTGAATATTTTCAATTTATTAAAACAACTATTGATGGATTTGAAGAAAACGACGCAATAGCTATCAAAAAGCGCAACATTTAATGGCAGACAAAGAAAATGAAGCCAACTTGATATTCATAAAAGCCAATTATGGAAATATACCAAGCTGTATAACACGCCTTGAAGCATCAGGTATACCTCTAGTTGAGGCAATTGGTATCGTAAATAATGCCAAAACTTGTATTTTAAATAACACAAGCAGTTATGGAGAAACAATAAACAAACAATTAGAAATTGTTTGAAATAAAAATAATGGTTATACTGTAATAGAAACGATTTCAAGTATTTTAGAAGGCAACGAAACCTCTCTAAAAAACATACCGGGAGAATTAACACCAGATGATATTTGTCACTTTAAATATGCTCCTATAACATCCGTGGACGTCGAAAAGAGTTTTTCAACATATAAAAATATTATTTCGGACAATAGAAGATCGTTGGTGTTTGAAAATATTAAACAATATATTATTGTTCAATGCAATGCTCAACATTTTATAGGTAAAATACTCAATAGGTAAATTTTATAGGTAAAAACCTAACCTAACCTAACGTAGAATTTAACATAATCTTAAGTGTATATTTTGCTATGTTTAGAATGAACAATACAGCCTCCAATCAAACAGTCAAATACAGCCCTTCAGTCAAATCCATCGTCGCTAGTCGCAAGTCAAATTTTTCGATTTTCAGTTGTTTTTTTTTTTTTTTTTTTTAATAAAATTAAAATATTATAAATTACCAATAAAACAATAATTTAATAAAAATGTAAAAGTCATTTTTTAAGGGCATTTTCCTGGTAAAATGTATTTTTTAAAGGCATTTTTAGTGCATTAAAATCCGGGCCCTAGTAATTACTATTACCCGCTCGACTGTGATATTAATAATTTTATATCATTATACTATTACTCGTTTTACTATTTTTTGTTTATCTGCCCACGCGATAGTTTTTTCGATTTTTTGCGTACCGTGATATTTGCTGTACGTGCGTTATTTTTACACCGAAAACAAACGTTTTCAACGTGGCGTTTATACTTCTCGCCCTATCGCCCAACCGCGGTTCGGCAATGGACGTTCAACGGGTCGGCCGACAACGGCGTATAGAGTCGGGGATTACCAGTTCAGAATGAATAAAGGAAGGTACACAAAATTGTTTTACGATTATTTTTTTTTCGCGATGAAATTATTTTTTACGCACGGCATTATCGAATATATTTATAATCAATTTTCCCGGAACGATAAGAATCGGTTTTTTTTTTTATTCTTAATTTTTCCCAAACGCCATTGTTTTTTTTTTTTTCAGAAATATACTCGTATATTTCTCTGGCGTCTCTGGCTATGCTAAATGCCGGAAAATTTAGTTCCGAACAAATACCGTAAAAACGTTTACTCGATGACGTTCAAAATTAAACGAAATGTTTGTACATCGGCTACATTTTTTTTTGTTAAATTTAAAATCAGTATTTTAAAATTAAATAATTTACTGATTGATCTGTTACTCTAAAACTGCTGTGGTCTAATCGAGTAAACGTCAACAGGTGTCTATATGATATAATACACTACCTTCTTTGGATACTGCTGTTGAACGGCACGGCTGATAGACGAATAAGTCTGAGAGGAACACAAGAACGTAAAAAAAAAGCAAAATAATAACTATGTGAAATCGCAGTGGATAAGTATAGGTACACGAGCAAGCTTCGGAACTACTAAGAGCGCACAACCGCACACGAACGCATCGACTGAAAAACTGCGAGCCGCTTCAGATTGTAAAACTGCCCCGGATTGATGACCAGATCTTGAGATCACGAGCTTTAGCGACACCTAGCGGATTTCTTCCAGAATTATAAAATAAACAAGAACACGCGCCATGCGTGTGCCGTGTTGAATGCTCCGCGCGCGCACGAAGCGCTGTCCGTCGCACGCAGTTCGCCAACCTAACCAAACAAACAATCCCACACGATATACCTCGCGCCGCTATACACTGCGCCACTAGATCGCGCCACTTAACTCCACACCATTAAACCTCATGCCACTAAATCCCGCGCTACTAAATCCCGCACCACTGACCCCGCACGCAGTTCAACTACTACCACTACTCTCCCACGAACCAAAATTAAAAATGAAATATCTTGTAAACGGATTGACGGAAATCAAACATTTCAATACCAAAAAGTATTTAATGAATATCGTCTGTCGTTGGAAAATCAAAAATACTGGTTTTACTCCCGAAAATGATATCTTAATAAAACAATTTTACTGATCTTAAAATTGAGTGAGCCCTTATTGTAACTATTTCCAAAGCATATTAAAATATTTATAAACACATTTAGTTTTTTTTGATTTTTTCGTAGCGTAATATTTTTGTATGCGTACATTGCGCGTTATTTCACACCGAAAACAAATGAAGGGCAACAGGGAAGAACGACAATTGTCAATAGTCCTAAAATTTTCAGTATTGCAGTTTTAAAGTTTCAGAACTACATCAACACCTTATTGAACCATATATTTAAAACTTTGTCATATCACTGACTGTGATCTGTATGCCCCAACTCGATTCGGCAGGAAACAAATGACAAAATGATAATATTATAATTATCGTATTTTTTATTATCTTTTTATTTTTTTTCTACCATTATCGTTTTTCCCCGTAGCCCTTCAAATGTTTTCACCGTAGCAATATAATTTTTCGCCCCATCGCCTAACCGCGGTTCGACAGTAAACGTGAAACGAGAACGACCGACGACGGTGTATAGAGCCGGTGATTACCAATCCGGAATTGATAATAGAAATTATAAAACTGTTTTATGATTTTTTCTTCGCGATGAAATTAATGTTTACGTACGGCAATTGAATTTGTAATAATTTCCCTACAACGATAATTTTTTTTTTCATAATTTTTCCTAAACGCCATTTTTTTTTTTTTTTTTTTTTTTTTACGGTAACTTTTCGAAATTTAACTCCGAACGAAAATTCCATAAAAACGTTTACTCGATGACGGTTGAAATTAAACAAAATGTTTCCATAACGGCCAATTTTTTTATCTAACTTAAAATTAGATAAATCGTCGTATTATAAATTGGAATAGTTTACTAATTTATCTGTTTTTCTAAAAATGCCGAGACGTAATCGAGTAAACATCATTAGGTATTTATATAATATACTACCTTCTTTCGACACTGTTGTTGAATGGTACACGGCTGCGATGCTGCCGTTGACCGGTACACGGCTGCGACGCTGCTGTTGAACGGCACGGCTGATACGTGAATAGGCGTGAGAGCACACAAATGTAAAATATGTAAAAGGAAAAAAAGCAGAATAATAATTATGCGAAATCGCGGTGGATAAGTACAGGTACAGGTACACGAAAAAACTTCGAAGAGCACTGAGAGTACACGACCGCACACGAACGCATGGAATGGAAAACTGCGAGTCGCTCAGAATTTCGAAACTCCCTTGGAATAAGACGGTGTTGATCGTATGCGCGCAACGAAATCGCGGTTAGAGAGGGGGATAAACGCAGTAGGTATACAGTGGGGGTAGAATGTCCACAATGACGAGCCCAAACGACGCGCGGCGCGAGGTGGTGTGATAGCGAACTGTTAAGTTGCTTATATACGGAGCGGTTCAACCGCCAGTGGTTACGGTCGCCGTCGACCGCCCAGATTTATAGATAATACTTATTTGCTAATATTATCCTGTAGTCCTTGGTATACTGCTCGAAAATTACGCACGTGATGTTATCATTCATACAATAGCGGTCGATGGGCGGTCGATGGGCGGTCGGCCGCCGTCGACCGCCCGTCGTATTTAATTTTCGACCTGCGACCGCGACCGCCAGTTAAGAATAAAATTCCCAAACGGCCCGTACACACGTAGCGTTTTGAACGCGACGGTTCCGCATTTATGTTTCTGTCTATCATTAACACGTGTATTGATACGCCACTTATTATATTGGCAAGAAATTTTAGTATTTACAAGTACCTGCGAACAAACTATTTTATAAACTCTCGAGGGTTTACTCGCAGTGCCGCACAATTTACAATAAATTTCCCTACTTGAAGCCTTTTTTTATGTTGGGTGTACCCAACATAATGTTTTTTATTATTCTAATTAGTGTCGTTCATACAATGCATATGTCACAGCTATAGCGTCAACATCATCTAAAAACCCGACCATTTTAAATACCTAATGTACACTATAATATTAATGCATATGATATATTAAACTATACAGTGACGTATTTATGAGAGGGGGGATATGGGGGATAGATCGCCTCCTTTTCGTCTTGTCCTTCAGAATATTTTTCTCTATTAATTCCATGATATAAGGGCTTTTACTCTTATATCAAAACTAAACGAGTTCTGTGTAGTCTGCGTAAATATGTTTTTATTATATCTTGTAATTAAAATACCACCTAGACAACTAGAGTTTTAAGAAAAGTTGCTACACGTAAAAATCGGAGCAAGTTTATTAGGAAAAAACATGTCCACATACTAGAAGAAAGAAGAAAAAAATTAAAGATCTTAGTAAAACCAAAAACCTTTTCGCTACGCTCGGAATCTAAATAAAAAATGTACCAGGCAATTAATTTAAGTGGGTACTCTTATTATCTCGGAAAGTATTAACTTTGTTAAATTTGTTTTCTAGAATATTTAAGAAACGAGCTGCTTCATAATTTTATATTTGTGTTATTTTTTGTCACCCTTATTTTAAAGGATAAAACAATTACCTACTTTTGATTTTCAAATGGTAACCTATAAAAAAAAGTCCATTAATAGATCGAATATTAGTTAACATAAATTTAAGTATTAGAATTATTGATTTATGTCAAGCCGTTGACTATTTATATCACTTTTAATTTTAAGTTGAAGGAGAGTAGTGGTACAATATTAACACGCCGAGCGTTGTACCGCAACACTAATGATACTCCACTACTCTCCTCTAAATCATACTTAAAAGTTGAATATCTCGCAAACCGGACGACGGAAATAAAAANAAATAATTCCTTTTCAATTCCAGAACATATCCGCATCCTTATAGCTAATAAACGTAGAGCTAGGGCCCTGTATCAACGCTCTCGCCTTCCATCACATAAACAAAACTTTATTAGTCTGGCTAACTCTTTTAAAAAAATACTAGCTAAACACAAAAATCATATTCAAGTCAATTACCTTACTAATTTGTCACCAAATAAAAGTCTCTGGGATGCTACTAAAAAGTCTCTAAAAAACGCAGCACCAAACACCCCGTTAATTAAATCAGATGGCAGTCTCGCCTTCTCAGACACTGATAAAGCTGAACTACTTAAAAAATACTTAACTGAAACTTTCAGCCCTCATACTGAGATACAAACTCCTCAAATTACCAAGTTAGTAAAACAGTACCTAGATAGCCCCCTTTCTCTCTATCTACTCCCTAAATTGTTTACTCTAAATGATGTTAAATATGCTATACAGAAATATAGCCTTAAGAAATCTCCGGGCTATGATTTAATCACTGCGGAAGTAGCCAGATGCCTCCCAAAAAGAGCAATTGTTCTCCTAACAGTCTTATTTAATGATGCACTAAGATTGACATATTTTCCTCTACTTTGGAATTTTCAATTATCATTCTATTCCATAAACCTAAAAAGCCTCCTGATCTACCTTCTTCCTATCGACTTATAAGCCTCCTGCCCTTCTTCGCTAAAATATTCGAAAGACTAATACTAAAAAGAATCCTTCCTTGAATCTACTCTAATAATGTACTTCCTAATACTCAATTTGGATTTCGTGTCAATCACTCTACAACACATCAGCTGCATAGACTAGTTGACGCCATATCCTTTTCACTTGAAAAAAAAATACTGTTCTTGCGTGTTTCTCGATGTGTCTCAATCGTTTGATCGTGTCTGGCACGAAGACCTTCTCTATAAATTAAAACTTTTTCTCCCACCTACATACTACTTGCTGATAAAATCTTATCTAACCGACCGACACTTCCAGGTCAGGTTTGGTTCTTTTGTTTCAAGCATCGCAAACATTAATGCAGGAGTCCCACAGGGTGGCATACTCTCGCCAATTTTATATAATATATATGCCGCTGATCAACCTACCTCTCTAAATACAACTGTAGCCGAGTTTGCGGATGATAAGGCAATTATAGCGATCCATGAAGATCCAAATACTGCTTCCCTAAACCTTCAACATCACCTCAATTTATTGTCTAATTGGTACGATAATTGGAGAGTTAAAGTAAATCAATCCAAATCACTGCACACTACCTTTACTCTTCGCCTTGCTCCCTGTCCCGAAGTTTCCTTAGCTGGCATACCTATACCTTCATCTCAATCTGTCAAGTATTTAGGGCTAACCATTGATCGTCGCCTCACATGGGCGCAACACGTAAGGGAAAAAGAACTCACCTTAAATGCACGTATTCGGTTGCTCAAAACGTTATAAACTAATAAACATTCTAAATTAAATATCAAATTGCTTATTTACAAATCATTAATTAGGCCTATCTGGACATATGGTCTCCAACTGTGGGATAATGCCAAAAAATCCAATCTTAATAAAATACAAACTGTTCAAAATAAAATCTTACGCTCCATCACTAATGCCCCCCCTTATATCTCTAATTATACTCTCCACTCTGACTTAAAAATGAAAACCATACACGAAGAAGCTAAAATGTATTACATACGTTTTTTCAACAAACTGTCTGATCACTCAAATCCCCTGATATCCGGCTTAGCCACTCGCACAATTCCTGGAAACCCTCCACGACGATTAAAAAGAAACTGGTGTAGAGGTCTTCTAAATGAATAACGGGAAAAAAAAAAAAAAAAAAAAAAAATGTTAAAAAAAATTAAAAAAANTTCCCTCACCCTATTCATGTTTATTTTTAATATAATGTACCACATATTCTTATTATGCCTTTGGGTATAGATTGTATATTCTCTAATAAAATGTTAAAAAAAAAAAAAAAATATCGAACAGTAACTATACACAAAAATATTGACAACAATTTTAAAGCACAATTAATCTTTTTTTCTCCTACAAACCAATCTATGATGACTACTGTTTGGACATTCACATCGATACCTCTATAAGTATTATAAATAAATCATTTCCCTAGTAATATTATTATCACTAATTTTTTGGTAATGCAGATAAAAATACCCAAGAAATAACAACGTGGTTATAAACACTATATTATTTTATTTCGTATAGCTTATCACAGCCAAAAACTTCCAAGGAGGGGGCGATCGGCTCGTCACGCCCACTTCCCCCCTCAAATACGGCATTATCTTAAGGCCGGTTGCACACCTAGCGTTTTCCACGCAACGTTCGTCGGGAGCGTCGGAAACCCTATTTTTATTTCCATACACACTGTGGACGTGTACCAACCGCCAGTTACGCACGCGTACTTATTACACTATGACATAACGCGCGGCGAAAAAACAAGCGAGAAACATAACAGTATTGCCCACGCTCGTTTTTTGTGATCGTTCATTGTTCTACTTACAACATAGGCTACTTTTTCGTTTCCATTACATTTTATTCAATCGATACTTATTCAAGTAACATCGAATCACTGTGTGTAGTATATGCAACGCATAAACTACGAAGAAAATAAAAATATCTTTAGATATTAATTAAATTACAAAAAAATAGATATCTCAAACATTTAATTAATTTTATTTCGTAATTTTTTCGACGAACAAGAAGCGTTTTCTAGGGTAGTTCTATTTGATGATTTACCAACGTTATGTTATTAAATATTAAATTTTAAAACAACTGGCAATTAAACTTAAATGAGAAAAGTAAATATTGTTTTAACATTCTTATAAAATTGTCGGAACGGCTGCTGTTGGTTATTGTAAATAATTTGCTACAGACATACAAGCTATATGTAACTAACTTTATTTTTTAAAAATAACGAAACAATTGCGTTCGATGTCCAGAAGACAGTTTAACCGTTACACTTCCTGTATTAATAATGGAAAAAAAAAGGTCTAAAAATGTGTCCGTACAGATAACCGGATTTTGCCGGCCGGTGCGTCTGCCATCCGGTCAATGTGTCCACCGGCCGGTAATTTTAGTAAAAATATAAAATATTTTTTAAGAAACCCGGTATTGTTGATAAAAGGCCCGAAGGTCGGCGGTCGAAAAATATGCCGGAGCCGGCGAACTGGACAAACTGACCGGCCGGCGAAAAACGTCACTGTCTGTTTTCCACAATCTAAGGTTCTTTTCACATTGTACGTTTTTGACCATACGACAAAAAACCGTACGGTAATTTTATTTCAGTTGCACGAAGAAGAGCATAATAATGTTATAATTATTATTATGCTAAAATAGAAGCGAAATTATATTTTCAGAAAATGTAAAAACCATTGCTAACGACAAACGATTCGAAGTAAAGTTCGGTAAAATATATTTTGAAATGACGTAATTATTTCATTCATAACATTTTGATTTTAAAACGCTTATGAAACAAAAACTAACGCATTAAACTCAAATTATGAGTTTAGATTACTAAGAAAAACTTATAATGCATTTTATATTCAATTTTCAAGTATATCATTCAAGTCATAAAACTTTAATACCATAGATACCTATACAAAATAAAAGTGTACATAAAAACACGAAAATACCACATAAAAATAGCTTAAACTGTATTGAAATACATAACAAATTATCGAGTTCACCATTTTACGCGGAGGAGTTATTATTATTTAGATACAATAATGCCCTTTCTTTATTCTATTGTGAAAAGTAATGTTCGGTGGTACGCGTTAGATTAAATCGTTGGAATTTACACGCCCCTGCGGATAAATGCGCAGATGTCCGAGACCTTTTATTTCTTTTGTCAAAGCGGCGTCAATATAAAAGGCTCTGAGGGCGAAAACGTCTCGAAAACCAAATAATCCCTTGCATTTCTGTACATTATAATATTGGTTTTAAAACTAGTTTCCTACGTCGGGTCGTGTTCGAGGTTCACCGACTGTGAGGACCCCTACAGTTGGTTAGTACAATTCATTATTTTAGACCGTCCGCGCCGTCGAGACGAAGCCAGAGAAATTCCCAATGGGTTCAATGCGCATTGTAGTAAATACGGTCAAAAATGTATACGTTAGGTATTTTTTCATCCGACCACAATAAATTATTATCGATTTCCATTAAATACTGATGTTTTACACTTAGGTAGGTATAATTTCGTGTACGCCGCCCGTCTCGGTTTTAATACACTGTACAAAACGATAATACATTTGAATTATAAGACCGCCATAAATATTAGTTGTGTCCCGATAGTATACTAACCCTCGTAAAATGTGAAAAAAAAAAAACGATAAATTTTGTTTTATAATACACGACGGGCATCGGAATGTACCGGGAGATTTTGAAGGGTGTTTTTTTTTTTTTATCTTTTATGCAACAAACCAGTGGTTATATTGTTATATTACCTACGATGGTTTCAGTTTTTCAATTATTATAAAACCGTTTGATAATCTCCCTATTTTATTAAATTTACGAAATGTTCAAAATTCTATAAGTAGTGTCCACATACCCCGTCATTCGAGTATAGTACACCGAAATCCCGTGTACTAACAATATTATTTGGAAAAAATAAAAATTGACAGGGGCCGCCGTGAAAGAATGTTAAAAAAAAAAACACAAAACGCAACTACGAAATTTCATAAATTCCGTTTTAAAAACAAAAATTAATTAAACGTGTAAATTAAATTTATATACAATTATATATTTTACATATTTGAAACCATTCGTAAAATGCAGGGATCGGCAACTATTTAACTGTGTAGGCCGTATTTTTTTTCAAACATTTCATCGTGGGCCACCTTAATCAAAAGACACATTTGACAAAATGTATATTTTATCGCTAATAATTATTTGTAATATCATTAAAACCTATAATCATATCTGATTTATATCTGATTAAATGTGTGTTTTTAGATAAACACAAAAATGATGAATAAATAGAGCGCACCAGTAATACCAGTTTGCACGTGAATGCACGAAATTTCGTGGTTTAGCAAGTTTCTCGCGTTATTGTTTGTAATCAAAATACTTGAGCAGATTACACAGAACTCACGTAATTTTGGTTTCAGAGTAAAAAATCTTATTATAAAACCAAAAGTGAATAATATTCCGATTTTTTTAAAGTTTTTTAAAATCACTAAAACTTTAAAAAAATACATAACTTTAAAAAAAAAATCACAACGTCTTGTCCTTCGGAATATTTTTCTCTATTAATTCCATGATATAAGGGCTTTTANAAAATACCACCTAGACAACTAGAGTTTTAAGAAAAGTTGCTACACGTAAAAATCGGAGCAAGTTTATTAGGAAAAAACATGTCCACATACTAGAAGAAAGAAGAAAAAAATTAAAGATCTTAGTAAAACCAAAAACCTTTTCGCTACGCTCGGAATCTAAATAAAAAATGTACCAGGCAATTAATTTAAGTGGGTACTCTTATTATCTCGGAAAGTATTAACTTTGTTAAATTTGTTTTCTAGAATATTTAAGAAACGAGCTGCTTCATAATTTTATATTTGTGTTATTTTTTGTCACCCTTATTTTAAAGGATAAAACAATTACCTACTTTTGATTTTCAAATGGTAACCTATAAAAAAACTCCATTAATAGATTGAATATTATTTAACATAAAATTAAGTATTAGAATTTTTGATTAGAAGGCCGGTTACACACCTAGCGTTTTCCACGCAATGTTCGTCGGGAGCGTCGGAAACCATATTTTTATTTCCATACACACTATGGACGTGTACCAACCGCCAGTTACGCACGCGTACTTATTACACTATGACATAACGCGCGGCGAAAAAACAGGCGGGAAACATAACAGTATTGCCCACGTTCGTTTTTTGTGATCGTACATTGTTCTACTTACACCATAGGCTACTTTTTCGTTTCCATTACATTTTATTCAATCTTTACTTATTTAAGTAACATCGAATCACTGTGTGTAGTATATGCATCGCATTCAATAATTGAATTACAAAATACCTACAATTTTAAAATATAAATAAAATATAAGATACAATTTTAATAATATAAGTATACAAAATAGATATCTCAAACATTTAATTAATTTTATTTCGTAATTTTTTCGACGAATAAGAAGTGTTTTCTTGGGTACTTCTAGCTGATGATTTACCAACGTTATGTAATCATTTGCGTTTAATGGCTAATAACTTTGTCAATTTTGAATTTTTTTTTCTCATCATCTAATAGGATCATGTGTGTTCTTTATTAAATTCTGATCACTTAGTTTCACGCCATGTTTAGTTAGCTATAATTTAAAGTGTAAAAAAAAATACATCCAAATTGCGTTAATTACCAAAAGTCGCTGCTCGCAAACTGGACAGTTTTTTTTTTTATTTTTATGACTCGATAGTAGTGTCTTACATGTACAGATTAAATATAAACATACGCTCTCGAAAAAAAAAATAGTAAAGTCGAAAATCTCTATAAGTCGAAGAAATTGCGTTTCCCTTGAATCTCAACTTATGATATCAACCTTGCTGAGTACCTATATGTATTATAGATAGGTACTCGGTAATGTTATATAAAATTACAGATTCTATAACAACACTATGGATAAGAAAGTCTAAGAGATCCGTGCTGTTTGGTGCTTTGGCCTTAACGTTTTTTGGAAACCGATATTATTGTACACTTGAATTGTGTTGTCGTTTTGTCAACAATTATTTATGATAGAATATTAATATTGCAATGTTTGATTTCGTATACCTATAAATTATATTTAGTGTTTTCGCAAAAACATGCGGCGCTTCTAAAAAACTGTAAATTGCATACTACTCTACGGAATCGATAGGCTTTATTAATGACACATAAATATTATTAAATAATACTACAATTTATATAAGAATAGTACTGCGACTATTGACTATCATAGAATATTCCATAATATTATCAAGAATATTATACTGTACGTGTATTGTGTCGCGTTAGTGTTTAATTTTTATCACCGAGGAAAACCATACGTTTAGTCACCCACGTCGGCCATACAGGGCAAATATATTTTTAAATTATTTTTATCGATAATCGTTTTATCTTGGTATTCACGTTTCACAATGAAATATGATCTATATTCTCTACGAAATGTACAAATCTAACTCTTGATTACAGACGAGCGATCTCTCTTTTCATCTAATAAGATTTTCGATGGCGTTGTTCTTATCGCACCGTAGTCGCGGCGAACACGGCCGGTCGTGTCGCCCGCACAACTGTTTTCAATTAAATTCTTTTATCGTAATTTATTATAACTGTTGATCCGGGCATCCCGCTGAATGGGAATCCTTTTAATATGATAATAATATGATAAAATAATATTATCATTTGCAAGACTATATATATATGTATACTTTTTTTTCTGCTCATAATAGCGTTGTGTAATAACTTTTTTAAACGTAAATACTGGTCCGACTTTTAACTATAATACCTCCCGTAAACAGAATATTATTCTCACAACACATTCGAAATGACACCAACCTTGACAGTCGTATACTTGTTTTGTACATACCCCCACTTTCCCCAGCCCGTTACAAATATTAGATCCTAATTAAATACCAATCTTCAACTAACATTGGCTCCATAAGAATAATAGTCAAAATTTAAAATTTATTTTTAAAACAACTGACAATTAAACTTAAATGAGAAAAGTAAATATTGTTTTAAGATTCTTATAAAATTGTCGGGACTGAAACCTAATTATATCAAAAATATGCAAAAATATAGTATGAAAATTTAGAAAATCGTGGCGGAAATATTAAACGAATTCGCTGTTTACAGCCAGGCAAAACGATATTCACCGCGTATAGCCCCAGCCTAAGGGGGGGGGGGTGGGAGGGTGTCTGCTATTGGTTATTGTAAATAATTTGCTACAGACATACAAGCTATATGTAACTAACTTTAATTTTCAAAAAAAACGAAACAACTGCGTTCAATGTCCAGAAGACAGTTTAACCGTTACACTTCCAGTATTAATAAAGAACAAAAAACAGCTCTAAAAAGGTGTCCGAACAGATAACCAGATTTTGACGGCCAGCGCGTCTGCCATCCGGTCAATGTGTCCACCGGCCGTTAATTTTAGTAAAAATATAAAATATTATTTAAGAAACCCGGTAGAGTTGATAAAATGCTCGAAGGCCGCTCGCCGTGTAACGTGTTCCTATAAGTGCGATCATCGGTCGAAATATATGCCGGAGCCGGCGAACTGGACGAACTGACCGGCCGGCGAAAAATGTCACTGTCTGTTTACCACAATCTAAGGCTCTTTTCACATTGTACGGTTTTGACTATACGACCAAAAAACCGTACGGCGATTTTATTTCAGTTGCACGAAGAAGAGCATAATTATGGTATATAAGAAGCAAAATTATGTTTTCAGAAAATGTAAAAAACCATTGCTAACGAAAAACAATGCGGAGTGAAGTTCGGTAAAATATATTTTGAAATGACGTAATTATTGTATTCATAACAATTTTTTTTTTAAAACGCTTATGAAAAAAATAACTAACGCATTAAACTCAGATTTTGTTTTTATATTACTAAGCAAAACTTATAATGCATCTTGTATTCAATTTTGAAGTATATAAATACGACTCAAGTCACATATTTTAATACCATAGATACCTATACCAAATAAAAGTTTACATAAAAACGCGAAAATATCGAACACCTATAAATAGCTAAAAAAAATATCGAGAAGGTTTGGAAAATGTGTACTTTCTATTGTTTATTGACAGTTTACTATATTACGCTGCGGCAGCGTGGCCAAAAATGTGGCATTCGGCGTAAAAATATTCTATTTGTGAATCTTTTGCACGGGGTTTTTTATGAAACACAAACGTCCACAAACGATTCACAGTTCAGGCTAGGTAGGTTCACATGGACGTTTATCGCGCGACGATCGCGATAACGACGCAAGAATCTATTTTCGCGCGTAAACGCGCGCAATGAAATACTATACAATATAATTGGACAGTGCATTTGACACGCGCGCCTACAACGAATACCACTAGTCCACGTTGTCTACGTTATAAAAACGTTTATTTATAAAAAATATATTTACGTTACTATAAAGAAATGGAAATGGAAACTGATTTTTTCATAAATGAAATAGGAAAAAGTCCGGCTATACGGAATATGAAATCAAGCGAATATTCGAACAGAACGCTTAAATGGAACGCTTGAGAAGAGTAATTTATACTCATATATGAAATGATAGCGTTTGTTTGTATGTTCGGGATAAGCTCCGAAGCTACTTATTTAATCGTCGTGCAGTTTATTTTTAAATTGAAGAGGACATCACAGAGGAGGTTTTAGGCATAAATTTAGTCCGATAAAGTTAGATTAGTTATTATTAAATTAAATAATTAACGTATAAATTGTATACCAATAATAATATATTATTATTTTTATATACATATTGTGAGGCACGGCGGCCCGCGGGTTTCCAGCTACCTGTAACCTGACCATTTTTATTTTGTTTGTGTTTTATCGGCGAGTAGGGATGAATAATTGGACTTTCCGTTCCGTGTTATTTCAAAAATTTTATTATCATAGGTTTATATATTAAGCCGCGTCCACACTAGTAACAATTTACGTCGTGCGTCGTATTCGGCGCAAATTTGTTCGTACGGCACGAAAATACGTTCACACTAGAATGAAGTGACGACACAAATTTATGTTGCGGCGCAAAAAATCCACGGTCCACGGATCGTGTGTGTGAAATGCGCCGAAAATATTTGTGTGCGCTCCTATGTGGCGAACACGTCCACACACGCACATATTTAGCGCCGCACGAACAAATTTGCGCCGAATACGACGCGCAACGTAAATTTTTACTAATGTGGACGCGGCTATAGGTACTAATATTGTTGTTATATATTATACTAGTGTATCTGTTTAGTTGGCAAAAACCACTCGAAGAGACGAGTTCTTTGGTAAATAATGTTAGTAAGTAATAATTAATAAGTTACATAGGTTTTCTATGAAATATGTTCTAAAAATAGAAATTTATTATTATATTATTAGTGTAGATAATAGTGCGTGGTTTGGTTCATGAGTCGGTAAAGTTCAATACGGAGTTTAGTATATTTTTTCTTCGCCTGTAGTAACTTATTTGGGTACAGGGTACGTACGTAGTCATGCCAAAGGCAAAATCTTCATTATCAAGAAGAACTTCAGATTATAGAAGAGTTCAAAATACGAGGCTACCAGAGACTGCTGAACAACGACAGAATCGATTATCGAAAACGGCTCGGCGTAATTCAACCGTTCGTGCGCTAGAGGATTCTGTTCAGACCGAACTTCGATTATTACAGGAAAGTGTACAGATAGGAGACAGGATAACCCGTGAGTTAACGGTTCAACGATCAACGCGTCTTGAACCACAGCGTAATAATGTGATCGAAGCTACAATTCTTACGGGTCCAGCCGTCGCGGAGTTTGCTTTTATTCCAAGAATTCCTTCGATTTCTTCAGACTTGACGATTGAGTTAAAAAGAGTGCAATTTCCAGTTAGAGTTTCTTTCGCAGTCACCATCAATAAGTCGCATGGGCAGACATTTACATGTGTGGGAGTTGATCTACGCGAAAATTGTTTTTCGCGTGGTCAGCCATACGTAGCTCTCTCCAGAATCGGAAATAAATTGTGAATAAATTCATTTTACTGCCGACGACGGGTAAAACAAAAAATATTGTCTATACAGAAATTTTGTAAATTTCATTTTTTATAATAAGATGAACTATTTTTTTTGCTTAGGATACAGTACATTAATACAATTTTTTTCGAATAATTTCTGCGTATTCTAGATTTATTTGCAACCTACTCCTACCTGTGATAACTCACACTCACGCTTGGGCGGAGCAGAGACGGGTATGCTAGTGTAATATAAAGTAATGTTGTGACTTGAAGAAAGCCTTGTTTTCAGAATTGGATGAACCCAAAGTTGTCTTTCCCTTTCCCGTCATTGTCTCCTCATTCTTCTGTGGACGACCCACAAACACACAGCGTATACGCACGTCCATGTGAACCTAGCCTATAACATAGATACCTGCGTTAACCGTGAATCGCGATTAGGTTAGGTTATACCGTGCAATACCACGCCGTCGGCGCTGTCACAAACGTCACGCACGGAAAACTGTTTTGAAAAACATAACAGATTATCGAGTTTACCATTTGCAGCGGCGGAGTTTATATTATTTGAATACATAATAATGCGTTTTCCTTATTCTATTGTGAAAGGTAAGGGTCGGTGGTACGCGTGAGATTGAATCGGTGAAATTTACACGCCCCTGCGGATAAATGCGCAGCTGTCCGAGACCTTTTATTTCTTTTATCAAAGCGACGTCAAAAAAATGGGCTATGGGGATGAAAACGTTTCGAAAACCAAACAATCCCTCGCATTTCTGTACAATACAAAATTGATATTAATAGGTAGGTATAATTTCGTGTACGCCGTCCGTCTCGGTTTTAATACACTGTACAAAACGATAATACATTTTAATTCTAAGACCGTCATAAATATTACTTGTGTCCCTATAGTATACTAACCCTCGTAAAATGTGAAAAAAAAACAAATACGATAAATTTTGTTTTATAATACACTACAGGCATCTGGATGTACCGGGAGATTTTGAAGGGTGGTTTTTTTTTTTTTTATCTTTTATGTAACGAACCAGCGGTTATATTGTTATATTACCTACGATGGTTTCGGTTTTTCAATTATTATAAAACCGTTTGATAATCTCCGTATTTTATTAAATTTACGATATGTTCAAAATTCTATTATTAGTGTCCACATACCCCGTCATTCTACGTGGGTGCCTATCATAAACGGCGTAAACGCAGACGGACTTTTTAATTTTAATTTTAAATTTCGATTCTAAATAAGAGTCGTTTTCTTAATATTTTTATACGCAAACTACTGTATTAATCTTTAATCTCTCCATACAAAGTCGGATTGGTTACACCATTCATTACTCGGCCGGACCGATTTTGATAATATCTGATTTGTCGGATTCGTCTCCGCCCCGAATAGTAGAATTAAAATATCCGAAAGGTTCGCGTGGAAAAAAAACTAATAAACAAAATATTAATCTAGAAAGATATTATTTATTTAACGGTTTATAATAATTGAAGTTACGTAATAAAATTTCTTCTATTTTTTTTTCCCCCCGTTCACCGAGCAGCACGCCATAACAGGTCGCCGTGCATTCGTCGAAAACAAAACCGCTACGGCGACGGGATTCCCTGTGGGAAACGGGCGAGAACGACGGTTGTACATTATCGCGACCAATAACGATCCGAGTTGCTGTTGTCTGAAAATTATTTTTATAATCGCGCGAACGTCGGCGTCGAGTACAGTACACCGAAATCCCGTGTACTAACAATATTATTTGGAAAAAATAAAAATTGACAGGGGCCGCCTTGAATGAATGTTAAAAAAAAAAAAACACAAAACGCAACTACGAAATTTTATAAATTCCGTTTTAAAAACAAAAATTAATTAAACGTGTAAATTAAATTTATATACAATTATATATTTTACATATTTGAAACCATTCGTAAAATGCAGGGATCGGCAACTATTTAACTGTGTAGGCCGTATTTTTTTTCAAACATTTCATCGTGGGCCACCTTAATCAAAAGACACATTTGACAAAATGCATATTTTATCGCTAATAATTATTTGTAATATCATTAAAACCTATAATCATATCAGATTTACATCTGATTAAATGTGTGTTTTAGATTTTTTCAATAGTTTTCTCATCAAATGTGAAAAACTCGTAACAAAAAAAAACTGAGGAAAAACGGGAAAATGTACGAATTATATTACTAAAATATTACGATTTTTTTTTACAGTAAACAACTCTTCTACCAATTATTTTGCTGCAATTTATAATGATAGCAGTGGAGGTACTTTAGAGGTCATTCTCTCATTTCTTTTTTCAGAAATTTTCTCAGAAAATGTGAAAAACCTAGGAAAAATATAGGAAAACCGGAGTAACGTAGGAAACCCGGGGAATCGGTACAACATTAACAAATATTATTAAACAAATATGTAAAGCCTATTCAATTATTTTACTATAATATGGCATACATATTGTTGACAGAGTATCACTATCAACCGAACTCCGCTCAGAATCGTTTATTCGTAAACAATGGTTTATCATAGCAATGTTTATATGTATACATTAAATTACTTATAAAAGTGGCTGCAACCGTCTCCATTATCCTAGGACGTCTTTTTCAATTAAAACATATTAATATTGATTATTGCTAATACATACATTGGTCAAAAACCTTTTTCTATATATAAGAATAACGAAGTCGGGGATAAATTATAAACATATTAAACATCAGTTTCATATCATTCTATATAATTAAATTTGAAATTATTATAATGAAACTACCAAAAAACCTTTTTCTAAATTTGATTACAATATGATTATATTATTCTAAAAATTCTCTATGGAATTCTATGGAATTATCTGCATCGTATTACAGTAAACAATAATATGTTATTTAATTTATATTTTACCGACTTAAAAAAAACCTTTTATAGTTTATACATTTGTTTCTTATCTGTTGATTATAAATTAGTAATATTATAATATTTATATAATAAATATTAGATTATCTCGCATGTTGATAATTTTAAATATATTTTCAGGTTAATATATGTATTTGAAATTATTATGTTTAACAAATAAATGGTAGAATTATGGAATATAGAATATATTGTTAGTAAAATTTTTTTTTTTTCATTAATACCTAATAAATAGGAATAAACTGTTTAAAAATTATTATTATAGCAAAAGAAAAAGAGCCAATAATGGGGATGGAAGTGGCTACTGTTGTAGGCGAGAATTTGGGGAGGTTTTGTATAAATAATACCGTATTAGAATTTCGTACATCCATTAGGGCGTGGCCACACAAACGCGATTTTGCCACGTCCTTTGCCGAAAACACAAAAATGATGAATAAATAGAGCGCACCGGTAATACCAGTTTGCACGTGAATGCACGAAATTTCGTGGTTTAGCAAGTTTCTCGCGTTATTGTTTGTAATCAAAATACTTGAGCAGATTACACAGAACTCGCGTAATTTTGGTTTCAAAGTAAAAAAACTTATTATAAAACCAAAAGTTTTTTCCCGACTTTTTTAACGTTTTTTAAAATCGCTAAAACTTTAAAAAATATATAACTTTAAAAAAAAATCGCAACGTCTTGTCCTTCGGAATATTTTTCTCTATAATTTCCATGATATAGGGGCTTTTACCCTTAAACCAAAACCAAGCGAGTTCTGTGTAGTCTGCGTAAATATGTTTTTACTATATCTGGTATTTGAAAGACACAAACAACAAATGCACGTTCTCTTAAGATAGTGAGATATCGAGATCTCAATAATGAAGAAGGCGTTATAACAATTGTAATACACCACAAAATAACATGAGGAGTTTCCTCATCCCCCCCCAAAAAAGCAATAGTTATCATTTTTTTTTTTATAATTCCTCTTATTGACAACTGAACACAATAGTTTTTAGATATAAACTAAAATTAGTAATACAAATAATATAAAAAAAAAGCTAATATTGGGGATGGAAGCAACTACTGTTGTAGGTGAGAAGTTTTGAAGATAGGATACATAAGGTTATTTTATTTATATCTGTAAGCAACGATAAGCCATTGCTTGGCGAAAGAAGATTCCCAGCGCAGTTCAGTAATACATAATTTTAAGTGCCGTAATTTTTTTTGCGATTTTCGTTTAAATTTTATTTCAAAACGCTTGTAAAAATAAAAGTAATCCGTTGATTTTGGAAATTCTATCACGTCTAGGTTAGTCCAATATAATTATTATTATTATTAAGTTTCAAGTCTCTACGTGTATTTATAACCGAATGACAGCAAAAAAACTCCAAAAAATTAAAATTCCTTAAAAGCTCAAAAGTGACTCGAATGTTTTGGCTATTATACCGTAAAAATGTAAATCAAAAAGGCAAAAAAAAAGGTTTGTGATTTTTCGATTAAATCATTTTTTCTGGTAGAAATCGTCGTCCGTGTTTTTATAAAATAATTAAATCGTGAAATGTACGTTTTCCTACGTTTTTTCCCATTTAAGTGCTTTTAAATAAAAAAAATGGCGTCGAAAATTTAATCGATATTTTTGTCGATTTTATTTCTATTTTGTTTACTGAAAGCATTGCATATCATGGGAACCATAGCCGCCGTTCTAATGGCAACACACACCGCAGCTGTAAAATCATAGATGTTTTGTTTTCCATTATAAATATTTTTCAGATTTTACTTCTGGGATTTGTTAGGGACCTATAGCACAAATGGAAAATGCCGCACGGTCGCACCCTCGAATTCCAGTTTTATACTTAGGGTAGCTCTGACTCACCAGATGCAATAACAATACGATACAGTACGCGTGTTTCACCCTCACGCGTTGTCGGGATAACAAAAAAAATAATTTCGATCCCTCGACTACGGGCGATATTGGAAGCGACGTTGCCAAATTTATTGTTATAATATACAATAAGTAATCGTTAGTTGGAAACACTCTATAACTCTTCACATGGTATTAGGAGAAAAAATCCCCCGACCAAAAACCATACTGGGAAAATAATAGGCTCCGTTGTACATT